CTCTCTCTCTCTCTCTCTCTCTCTCTCTCTCTCTCTCTCTCTCTCTCCATCTATTTCTCTGTGCATTTTTTTCTCTCTCTCTTCAAAACAGTAATCCAATGTATAGGGCCTACAAGGAGTCAACGTCGCCCTTGATTCCAATCCCACCGAACGTTTATGTTGAAGTGCCATCAGCACTCAAGTTTGTTTTATGCTGTGAATTCCCCTGGTACAATTCATTGGACATAAAGCGCAGTGAGCACAGTTCGTATGGTGTATCGATGGCACATTCCCATTCACATATCCATACGCATACATAGCAGACGGGTACACGTGCGACACCCACAACAGCAACCACCACAGCCACAACCATAACCGCTCAACCAAATACATATAGGGCCTACAACGGACATGATGACCAGGTGATTGTTGAACATCGTGAATCGGGTGGACGCGGAATTGTCACAACTATTGTATAAGATTTAAATCGCCAGAAAACAAACTCAAAACAATGCAACAATTTTTTTTGCACACAAACACTCATTCTTACATACACAAAGGGGTTATATTCACCATCCATGTACACGAATAGTTTATCAATGAATTTATATATTTACTCTAGTCTACCAATCGAACCTTATATTTACATTTACACATATTTGAAGAAAAAAGAATGAACGAGTTACACATATGATGTCTAAAAGAAAAACCGAAAAAAATCAACGCAAATTAAGATTTATCTATTTTTATTAAAACAAAAATCTAACCAAACGAATAATAACAAAAAAAAACCAATTAATTAGTTAAAACAACAAAAAACACACACACACACTTTTAGGTCTGACCTACATTCTGGAAGCAGCCACAAATGTTATTACTACCGCCACACAATTTAACAATGAATATTCCACTCAAGGTTAACAAGAAAATCAGTATTTCGACTTCAGTATTATATCGCTACCATTCTTCATATGAGATAAACAACAACAAAAATCTATTTTTAAGTTATTGATACACACATCTCCCTCCCTCTATATATTTGAAATTATATCAATCTTTATGAAACTATCTCAAAAGGCTCATATCAATGCAACATATTGATGCATTTAGTACTTTTCCGTATCACGAACAACAACAAATTCCCCACGGAGTAGACGAAATGATAAGAACAACAACAACAACAACAACAACAACAAATAATTATTTACAAATCTAGAAGTTATCATAAACTGAACTGTTTTAATTGTTAGACTTTTTCCTGTTTAACAATACAAAGAGATGAAAAAAAACCACAAATTTATCTAAAAAAAAACCACACACAAAAATCTATATATATATATATATATATAAAAATGAAGTAGGATTTAAACAAAAGCTACAATTAAAAAATCTTCTTCGATATTCACATATACTTGAATTATATATAAACGATTATTTTCGAATGATCTGGATCACATTTCTATCCAAATGCATCCAATTAAATTTGGATATAAAATTTATCATCCGACAAACGAGAAGATAGAGAGTAAAGTTTACAGATCGAAGACCGTGGAATAGTGCAAGTGAAAAATTCAAATCGAACGACATTCGGAAACATGATCATGTGCCAATTTGAATGTGCTTCAAACTACTGTTAGCTGGTTCTTATCAATTTGTAGGCAAACGCGTTGCGAATAAAAAATAAAACCAAAGATTTAAAGAGAAAATTCAAACAAAACAAATGATATTACTAATGACCTAGACAAATTTTAGCTAATAAATTAATTTAATTAACATCTAATAGAAGATGATGTAAAAAAAAGTAACAAATTACCATTTAAAAAACGTAAGAATTGATTCATGTTTGGAGAATTTAATAAAAAAAAATCACAAATATTCTCGTTAAGTAAAAGAAGAACAGCAACAGCAACTTTTTATTCTATGCTACGATTTTATTTTCATTTTTCAATTCCATTTTGAATGAATTTAATTTTTAAATGAATTTTTAATTTTTTTTCTTCATTGATTTGTCAAATTCGATTTTTTTCATTGGCATGAAACATCCAATTTTGGTAGTTTTGCCTCCGTAGTGCACTCCGTGTCATCTTTTACTTCAACGTTGGTGTTCGACTCATTTTTGGCAGTTGCTTGTTGCAATTGCACTTGATTTGCCACCGAAGTGTCACATTTTAGGATTTCCCGCAGTGCCATTGTGGCATAAGAAGACGATGGCAAGGTAAATTCAAGAATCAGTGCCTTTTGACTGCCACCTTCAATGCTTTTTGGCTCACTTTCTCCTCGAATTTCCTCAACATCCGATCGTATCAACTGATCCGTATCAACGTTGTACTTCATGAAATACCAATTCAAATCGATTGGCTTGATGAAAGCCTTCCGATAAGCACCTGTCAATGAGTAAGTCCTGAAAGAGATTGGAATGATGAGTAAATTTTTTTTGCAAAGAAATCAATTTCACAAAAATTCAGACCGAATTTGAAATATTCAAAAGTTCATAGCAGTTTATTTGACCTTACTTTTGTTTAGTTTTCAATTTTTCCGACGATAAATTGTCTTGATTCAATCGTTCCTCATACCATTGGGCGCATTCATTCGCCGGATAGGTGATGTCATGGCCAGGCAATGGTAGAACAATATCGAATATTGTATATTTATTCGATTCAATGTCGTCTTTCGTTAGCGGTTTGACCATGCCTTGGAAACGAGACGTATTTGTAGCCTCCTGTGTACCGTCGGTGTCTGGACTTGCATCCTTCTTTTCATCATCATCTTCGACTTCGTCATCGATAATTTCATCGGTTGCACCTTCATCAACTAGCACCAAATCACCTTCACACAATCGCAAACCGTGTGTTGCTATACGACGCGATACCATCTCATTCCATATCAAGCTTTGATACGCGTGAATGTACATAAGGCGCACATTACGGGGAACCTGCAATTCAATTTCATCAATAATTCAAAATCAACATACAGTGCAATCAGCCCTACAACCAGAATTTGATATTTTTGTGTGATTTGACATACATTTTCTAATGAGTTCACATAGTCGTTCTTGTTGTTTTTAGCAAATCCATCTAAAAGTTTGTATTCAATACTTCTGCCACCGCGATCGTGGCGTTTCAACAAGTCTAGGGCTGCTTGAGCATCTCGCTTCTCCAACCATAACTCACGGACGGCATTCATTTCCGGCACATCATTTTCACGTGGCTTCAATATCCACTCACACGCCTAGTGGAAAATGTCATTTTTTTTTTCAATGAAACGAAAAATTAACAATGAATTCAACTCAAATAATAAAATGAAATGCAAGTTCAAAATGTACACTACCTCCTTGAAGTTGCTTTGCACCAAAAACAAGCCAATTTGATGTGTTGGCACAGAAGCGTTGTTACCAAATCGCTGATGACCGTAATAATTAATAAAGCCTTTCTCTTTGAAACTCTTGACTGCTTCATTGATATCTTCTTCGCTGGCACTTATTTGACGTAAAGCGACTCGGAACCTGGATGTAAAATAATAAAATTCATTTTAATTTCCTGAACAATTTTTACTGAATAGAAAAATATTCAAAAGTTTCAAACATTTTTTTTTTCAATTTTTGGAAGGTCAAATTGAGTCAAAGAATTTATTGGTAATTTTTTTTTCATCGTCTAAACTCTTAAGAGAAACAAAAGAAAAAATGGTTGATTTAAACTCAATTTACCGATTGCCTTGAAGCATTCCCAGCTTCATTGGGATTTCCCGGAATTGAAAGCCTCCTACATACATGTTTCTTGCTTTTTGTGCTGCTCTTACAACTTGCAATGGTTCACGTCGTCGTATGCAGGCCCATTGTGTGGTTCGGGCACGTTTATCTTTCGTGCCAGCATAGGTAATCGACGATGCTCTGGCGTTCAGCAGAGGCGCCAAACATGAAACCGCTTGCATCGTATCAACATTGTCTTTGTGCAACAGAAAATAAGTGTATTCATGCGGCCAAACCCAGTTTGATCTGCGATCATCTTAAATGAGAACATCAATTTGTAATTTAAATTAATTTTCTAAACTTCAACTGAGAGAAAAATTACGAAGAAATTTTAAAGATTTTAACAAGTATCATGACGTATCACGGAGCAGTTTTTGAACAGTTTTTGACATACTTTTCTTATTTTGTTTCATGCATTTTATGAACTTGTTGCCATCTTTATCAACTGTTGTGCTATTCACTGAACTGAAGACTTCTTTGATCATTTGATGGATTTGTGTTCGTTCCGCCTTTTCCATGGCCGTCACTTCAATCTGCAATGCAACAAAAATTGTTAATAAAATAAGCAATTGTTTGTGACTGCAACATTATGCACCGCAAGTAATCAGGCACATACCAAAACTTCGTCGCTACATTTTTGATCAGCCTTTTCAATAGCTAGAATTGCATCATATTTCTCCTGGGTTGCCAAACGAATAAAATCATCGGCGTTCACCGATGCAGCTGAGGTGAAGAGAATTTTTATTTCAAAATTTTAATCAAAATGATAAACAGAACTATTTTCAATATGAAAATTAAAACAAAAAAAATCTAATGAATAAAAACGAAGATAAACTCACATTCTGGCGGTTTTGGCAGTGAAAAATCCGTCAATTTACATATTTTCCCATCAAATCCGATTTCATTCACGTGAAAATCTGAAATTCTTCAATTAAATTGTTTTATTTATTATTCGAGAAACCTTTTGCTGGTCAAATTGTTCGACCCGCGGAATTCACTGCGAAATAAGAAAAAATGTAATGAATTTTTTTTTCCTAAGACGTACCTTTGTTTAATGATTCCTGTGAATCCGTTCGTCGTTGTGGTGTATTCCGTTATGCCAATTTCATTTTCCTTCAGCGATGAATAAACGACATTCTGCTTCGATTGTCTCGACGGTCTCGGTGAATTATTTCTACACAGAATTTTCACTTTTAAATCAATTTAATTGTTTAAAAAAATTGCCAAAGAAAATGCCTTACTGAAATGATTGATGTGGTCGTTTTCGATGTTGATTATTGCCAAACTGTCTCCCATTATTTCGTCGCATATTTTCACAACAAAAATTATTGTCTTATTTCAATTTTAAAATGATGTGTTGGTCCAGCGATTTATTTACCGCATGCTTGACTACTGTTTTCATTGACACAATGTTTGTTTTGGTTAAGTGGGGTGCGTTCCATCATTGCACAGCCAACCATTTGAACACGATTGACATAAACGTCATTGTTGCTATTCTGACACTTAGTGTATCACTAATTTCAGACAACCAACACATCGCAGTGTTGCGCTTCGTAACAGAATTTTTTTTGTTTACAACTTGAACGAAAGCCAAATAATTCGGTTTTAAGCCATGGTTTATATCACATTTCCCACAAATTATACAGAAGAGGAGCAAATGCTTCAGGCAAAATATCAAAAATTGAAGAAAAAGGTGAATTATCCAAACAAATATGGCTTGGTGACGCGCTATGTTTTGAAATTTGTGTTTATCAATTGTGAACCAATGTGTTTTTTTTTTATTTTGTCTACAGAAAAAGGCGCTACAAGCTTTAAAGGCACCAAAACAAGAGGCTGAGAAACAATTGATCCCAAAACGTGCGGTTGATGCGCGTGATGCTCGCGAAGTGGCACGGAAATTGTTTAAGAGTGGTGCGATTCCTGCCATTCAAAAGCCACAAATGAAACAGGATCAGATGTCATTCAAACGGCCGAAGGGACAAGAAAGAAAACGTGTCATACCAGACTCAAATGTTGCATCTTATCAACCATTCTCAGCCACACAGGGCTCAGACAGTTTCCAAAGTACCAACAGTGGCACAACGCTGGACAGAGACACAACTCGAGTTCATAATTGTATGTCATTCGACTCTGACAAATGAATTCTCGTTTTTTTTTTCAACGTAAATTGTTAACGATATTATGATAATTTATTCGATTTTAGTGTATCAACAAATCGCAACCGAAAGAGATCGAGAGGAACGTGGCCTGAATGAGAAGAAAGCGATAGCAGCTGAACCAGCCGCAATTACGAATCGCATCGAAAAACAGCGCACCGGCAATACGATATGCGTATCGGGCAATAGTGTGACCGAAGAATTTTTACGCAATCAATTTTTAACGTTTGGCAAAATTGTTAGCGTATCGATGGAAATTGAAAAGGGTCGCGGTTTCATAACATTCATCAAAACTGAATCGGCCGAACGGGCCATCAATGATATGCATTCGAAGACTGTGTCTGGGATATCACTGCAGGTACAATTGGCACGTAGACAACCACAAATTGAGGCGATCAATTCGGGTAAGGATTTTTTTTTTATGGCTCTGTTACCGATTTCTGAACATTTTCGTCTGTAATTGGACTTTTTCGAAAAATTCTTTTTTTATTCTATGAATTTTTCGAACATTTTTTTTTCAAATTCTTGTTTATTGAGTGTGACAAAATGCATGAATTAGAAGAAATTTTTCTTGATTACAATTTTCAATTTCCAATGTCCAATTTCCCATTTTCCAATGTTTTATTCGCAGCATCCTCATCGGTGGTATGGTCGACTTTGGCTGCCAGTCATTCGCAGAAAGGAGGCAGTGCAAAGGACAAGCGGAAGATGATCGAATACGATGATTCAGATATATTCAATTGAATCCAAAACACATGCACCATAGGCTAAGATTCCATTTTTATTATTCGTGAATTGTAAGAATCCAAGATGAAGAAAATATCAATAAAAAAAAATTAATCCATTAAACAATTTATTTCCTATAATCAAATAAAAACGAAACCGAAATGATGAAATTGCTTATTGTTATTTTTCATTTTTAATTTTTATTCAATTTGAAAAAAAAGAACAGAGTGCATTAAGTGTTTTTATTATTAACATTTTTTTTGTCGTAGAGAATTTTTCGATTTTCAAAAACCAAACCAAAAAAAGAAGAAAAAAAAAATAAGTATATGTATGTCAAAATGTTCGTCCATGAATGATGAATTTAGTAGTAGTAGTAGAATGACGTTATTGCCAAAATCGACTTCAATCGTTTGAACAAAAAAATGCAACATTTTCAATGAACCAATGAGAAACAATGGGTGCGTGTGTATGTGTATTTGAACATGAACGTTATTTGCTTTGTTGTTTTCTTTTCTTCTTTGCAATTAGAGTATAACCATTTACAATGTGTGAATATATAAATGAATGAAAATGATTTAATCTATTTTCTATATCGCTAGCATCTGGTTTCTCTGGGGGCGCAATTATTATCAATTAAAGATTTTGAATTCGATTGTGCGATGAAAAATAAAATAGAAACGGAACAAAGCGAGCTATTTAGCGTCTGCCAAGGTTGTCTGGTGGATTGAAGTAGTCCCAATGATGATGATGCACTGATCGATCTCCGCTGATACCGAGCATCATTAGACTTGCCACGATTATGATTAAAATTACCAAAACTAAACTAAGGTCTTTTTGTTGGTCATCCTGATTTTTGGTCAGACTCCGAAGGAAATCGACGAGCGAATGGCCAGCAGTGTTGAGTGACGAGCTGAGAGCACGACCACAAGCTCGAATCAATTGTCCACTGAGGTCGGCAATCGAAAGATCTTGACTTCGTGATGATTGTTGGCTGTGGTGTGGATGATGATGGTGTCGACGGTTGCATTCTTCGTCGGAGGATGATTCGGGGCGGCGGGCATGTTTGCGTGGCCTATGTTTTGGCACTGCTGAAGGCGGTAATGATGATTCGTCGTCTGAAATGCCGGTGCGTAGTCGATAGAATGAAGCTGGAATTTCGGATGTTGGCGTGTAGTCAGTCGGTGTTGGCGGTCTCTTTGGTGGCTCTTCACTTTCTTTTGGCTCCTCACTTGCTTTCTCTTTGGCTTCGGTTTCTGTTTCGGTAATAACCTTTTTCATGATTTCTTCCTGAAGCTTTGGCTCGCTTTCAACCGACTCTAGTGCTGGTTGTGCTGAAACAGGTGGTTGAACCGGTAACGTTTCGCGTACGCGTTCAATAATCACTTGCATGACTTCCGGTGTGATTTGTAAATTGCTAACAATTGGTTTGGTTTCTGGTTTCTCGTTGGTTTCACTTTCAGTCGATTGAATATTCACCACGGTCAATGAATCAACTTGTGCATGTGTTGGTTCAACGTTTTCGCTGGATAAATCATTAACTGGTTCGGGTGTGTATCGATTCAGGTCCTGTGTCGATGCTACTGACAGTGTTTCGGGTTCGGCCAATGGGACATTGATTGTGTCTGTGATTTGAGTGGCGTTTGCTGAAGACTTTCTCCTTGGGGGCGGTTGTGGTGCTTCGATTGTTGATTTCGTTCGAACATCCAAATTATTTTCATCCTCTGTTGCTTTTGGTGTTGTTCCTCTTGGCGTCGCACTGTGTTCATCTAATTCATTACCTAGCATTTGATATCGTCGAATAGCCGCATTAATTATACGTTCGTCTTCCGTGTCGAGATGTGTATCGTCAACGTCATCAGCGTATGGAACATACTCACTCTCTGCTGAATCGGTTCGATAATCAACTTTCGGTGGATCATCCACTGGTTGCATAATTAAAGTGGCATCCATTTCAACCGGTGATCGAGTAATTCGCTGTTCAATCACCAATGCAGATGGGGTTATTGGCCGACTTGATTGCCTTTCCGTTGATGCACGCGATCGCTCTGAATACGATCGTTGATTCGATTCTCTGAATTTTTGAATCCCTTTCGCCAAATTATCATTGCTCGTTCGAAATGTTTTTTGGGTCGGTTGTTCATCGCTGCTTCGCAGAATTTCCTCAACCGTTCGCGTGCATTGTTCGGTAGAAATATCTTCGATTGGTACATCATCGTTCAAATACAAATCATCAATATCCATCGAGGTTTGCGTTGCCATCTCAGCTCCAACGAATTCACGTGTCGAAAATTCGGAATCATCAAATGATCCAGCAACAATTTGCTCAGCATCATCATCGTTATCATCGAATTTCTTATCGATATTCGATTTATTTCGCCGTCTTTTGTCCCTTGGTGGTCGTGGCGGCGGTGGCAATGGACGATTATGCATTTTATGTGGATAAAATTCATTTTCTTCGTCATCATTCAAATCATCGTCAATTTCCTCGTACTGTGTACCATCCGATGGAGCAATTGATGGCGGTCTGAAAAGAAAGTTACATTTGACGTGACATTTTCGTTTTAAGAAGTGAAATTTCTGATATTTGTCCTAAATTGGTTTTGCTCAAAGGCAAATTCGTATACATACTTGTGCTGGTCTACCAAACTCGAGCTTGAACCTCTCCGTGGCGGCCGTGATGGTGCGTTAAAGCTACGTTTTTGTCGCTCTGGAAATGGTGAATCTTTAAAAATTGACCTTGATGTATCTGGTTGCAATGAATCACCACCATGTGATTTGGTTGAACGTTTGTGGCGACGAGCCGGTGCTGGTGGCCGAGCAGGTGGATCCTTTTTCACCGTTGCATATCTAATTCAAAAAGAATTCAATGGAAATCCACATTATTCATAATTTTGATTATTTTTTTTGTTGTTCACAATTATGGCAGGGATTTGCACATTTACCCATTTGTCTCTTTGATATCAATGGTGTATCGACTGTTACTCGGTGAGTATTTTTCGATTGTTTCCGGTTCGCGATCAAGTGGCTCTTGGTTATCAGGCGCCAGGTCTGATTTTGAAGAAATGGATCGATTTTTGCGTACGGGTTTTACAATGAAGTGAGTGTCAGAAGGTTCATCAATTGGCACCGTGAACGATGGCTCACTTCGATAGACCAATACCTAAGCAGAATATAATAATTGGAAGTTATTTTAAAATGATTGCGTATCAAATAAATGACTTAATCAATGGGGTATTTACTTTCTTCGTTCTACACGAAAAAGTCTATTTTCTATTCAAATTGTCATCGACCACCAGACCCTTTTTTTACTAGAAGAGAAACAAATTCAACCAACCTCTTCGTTAGCTTCAATAGAGTCCTGTTTGGTTGGAGCTCGTCCCTTGTGACGTCTCTTGGGCACTTTCGGTTTGACTGCCGGATGTTCTTCATTATCAATATCCGAGTCGAAGTGCTCTTCGCGGCTCAAAATATTCGGATGATCCATATCGTCGACGAAATCATTATCATAGAATAAAATGTTTTCATCATCGTGTCGTGGAAAATATTGTGTTGCAACGGGAATTTCATGATCCGAAACATTGTCATGATAGTCATCGTACGATTCGTAGCTTCGATTGAAACCACCAGCTCGTCGTCGCAATGGTTTACGTGGCCGTTCAGTGAAGTCCTGATATTCTTCGTCTGGAAAATCAGCGTTATTTTCGTCATACGGATAGCTTGCATGGCCTTCACGAATGGCCGAGCTGATGTACTTGCTGATCTCGGCATTATCCTGTGAAACGCCACGTTGTCGCAAGAAGAATTCGTCATCGTCGATGTCTTCAATGACACCAGTGCGTCGCCGATCGCCTGAGCTGCCCGACGACTGTGTTTCTTCGGTGGAAAAGTTCGAATCGTTTCGAAGGCGTCGACCCCGTGAATCTCTCTTTGGCACATCATCCTCATATTCAAAGGTGCGTTGTGCGCCCATGATTTTGTTACGCATCCGCTCACATTCTTCCCAATCAATGTCTCGAATACTCTCATCCGATATTATGTCTGAATCTTGATGCGTTAGCGGTTTTCTTGCCTTAAACTCATGTTCGCGTGCCCGTGAAATTTCATGAATTGCACGATTCTCCTCATCATAACTGGCCAATTGGATTTGTTCTTTGGTTTGCAAAATGCCAAGCGGCTCTTCTTCATCTTCCATTGACATTTTCGATGCCAATCGAATGCGACGCTCAACCGAATCCTCGTGCACATCATTATGATGACGTGGAAGCGATCCGGACTGCGGAATACTTTCACTATCTTCACGATCGGCGCTTCGCGAAAACGATGTCTTATTCCATTTGGAAATCAGGGAGTTCTTAATTTTTGATGCTGTTCGCGGTACGGTGGCAAAATGTGTTGAAAAACTAGACGATGATGCCTGTGTGGCCGTGTCACGTTCGGTGTCTTCGCTCACAAAATCGGTTACATCATGTGGCAGTTCATCGGATTTCGTTGGTTGCTGTGATTTGAAGCGATTGAAAATCTTTGGATACGAGCCAAATTCGAAGCGTTTTTTCGGTACGACTTTCGTTTCAATTATTTCTTCTGTCGTCACCACACTAACTACAGTTGGTGTGCCATCTGCTGTGCCCAATGCACTCGGTTCATCGACGCTTGCCTCGGTTGTAACTGTGGTTGTTGTAACTGGGGCATCTGTCGCTTGAGCTTCGCTGCGTGACATTTTAAATTTGTCGGGCATTTTGAATTTGGGCAATTCGGGTCTCGACACTTTTGGCATATGAATCGATTTAAATTTATTGGTAAAATCGATACGTTTGAATTTTTTACGCTCTTTGGGGCTGGTTTGTGATGTTTTCGGACTGGATTTCAAACTTGATTTCAAGTTTGAGCCACTCGATTTTTGACTACTACCAGCGCCGCCGCCACTGCCACCGCTTGACTTCAAACTACGTTTGAATTTCGTTCGTAAGTTTGATGCTTTCGAGGAAATTTTACTCTGTAAATTCTTGGTCGTCTCGCCGGCATTCGTCATAAATGATTTCTTTTTGCGATCCTCACGCCGCAGCGGCAACTCTTCAATGACACTATCATCAATTTGGCTGGTGTGCACGTCTTCGGTGCGTGAATTATCGGTGTATGGGGTAATCGATCGTATTGGACTCTCTGTTCCATCGAAGCTAATGCGCTCCTCGTGCACAATGATATCGGATTGTGGTGGTTCGGTGATGGGTGATTCAGGTTCGGTAATTTTTACAACGGGTCGTTCAAAGCTTTGTTCTGGTTTTGTGGTGGCAACCGGTTCACCGATTGGCTCATATTCGTGATCGCTATGATTTGAAAGAAAAAGACAAGCAATACCAAAGATTAGGTACACAAAGAGTAATGCGAAATTACGGTACAATAATAATTACTAAAAAAAGATACAAATGACTATATTGCTTTTACCGAAATGGTCGTCGACTGGCCGACGAATTCGAAAAGTCAAGACGCACGATTTGATCGATTGGCAATGATTTTCCAAATTCAAAGCTAACACCGTTGGAAATTATCACCGGTGTACCGGTGTATGGAGAGATGTGATCGGAATCAGATTGTGCGAAATCCTTTTCGAAACTGATCGTTTTCGTAATTTTGAGCGGTTGATCGATCATTACAGACTCACGGCCCAAACTTGTTTGCGATAGATTGCGACGACGTCGGTTCAGAATATTCGAAGTTCTCATATCTTTTTGACGTATAAATTGTTGGTTCATTTGTTGATCCAAATGTGGTGGACTGACTTCGCTGGCCCGTCGTTCTGGATATTCTCCGGCTGGCGGAAGTAGCTTTTCATGGCTTGTCTTCAGCTCCATATCCATTGACATTGGCATCTGCTTGACCGCTTTTCTTTGTCTCGGTGTTGGTTTTGGTGTTGGCACTGGTGTTGACGTTGGCATCGCTCGGTACCGATTTTGCAAAAATGGTGACTGTGACGGATCCCTCTGTCTTATGTAGCCCGGCCCTTGATTTCGTAAATCTGGCGTTGACATTCGACTATCTGGTACCGCTGGTGCCAGTGTTGTCTGTGAACTTTTGTAGTTATCAAAGATTTTACTGTAACTATACTCATTTGTTTCAGCCTCCTGCGGTCGCAAAGTGCTATCAAATTTGGCCATATATTGAATCTGAACTTTCGATTGCGTTGGCATTTCCACCGTTTGCACATCTTCAACTTTCATCAATTGCAAGCCTCGTCTGGTTGGTCTCGGTTTCGGCTTCGGCTTCGGTGTGGTTCCTTCGTCACCGTCCGGCACATTCAAGTTCTGTGTCTTCGATAGCAGCAAAACTTTTTCTTCGTCGCACACATTCTGGCCATGTAATCGTCGATTGTGTTGCATCAGCTGCTTTTCAGTATCGGTTTTTCGTGGTGTATCTTCGATAAAATTCGAATCGATACCACTATCTGGTTCGGTTTCCACTGACGTTTTTGCATATAAATCAGGTCTTTGTGGCAAATTTTCAGTTGAACCTAAAACATAGCGACGATTACCTTGTGATTGCATACTCAACGGTTCCACTTTTGGTGGTGCAATGTCTCTCGGCGGTGAGCTTTCCGTTTTCGGCGATTCAATTTCCATATTTGAATCGCGAAGAAATTCGTTGGAATCATGGTAAAATGTACGTTCGTTTGGTATACGAGATTGTTGAAAATGGAACGGTTGAAATCGTTCATTTGATACCATTTCACTGCTGGCCCGATCAAACGATGCCGACGAGCGATTGTACATTTTTCGTCGTAAAATCGTTGATTGTGATGGATCTTTTTGCGTTATAAATCGATCACGACTCACCGTTGACTGTGACATTCGTTTGTTTAATGTTGAAAATCCTTGCTGCTCTTCACTCATGCGTTTACGTAAGAGTGACGACGTTGACGGGTCCCTTTGTTTCATGAGCTGTGGTGCAACTCCACCCATATTATTGCAGCTAGCACTTCGATCGGACGGCGAAATGGCTGTATTGCTGTCGGTGATGAGATTTTCCGGTGCAAATTCGGGTGGCAAATCATAAACATTTGACTGTGGTTGACTGGGCGAAAACGGTTGTGCCATCGTTGGCGATTGCACACTTGTTGATGATACAATCGGAAATCCCGTTTCCGATCCGCTTTGAGCAGCTGGCTCACCAAGATTTTTCATTTTCGCCTGAATATGAACACATGGACCAAATTCCTCAGCCGTATTATAACCAACGGGATTGACTCGCTCGGGTAACAGTGATTTAGTTTCATAAAACTGACAGGCGCATCGAACATCCAACGCAACAGCCTGTGCACTTTCAGCTCTCGATGGGTGATGCAATCTCGGTTTCGGTTTTGAACCCACCGAAGATGATCGCAATCGTGTTGACATCTTTCTCTCTCTCTCTCTCTCTCTCTCTCTCTCTCTCTCTCTCTCTCTCTGATTTCTCTTTATTCGTTAATATTTTCGTTTTTATTTATTATCGATGTTTACAATCGTCGAATGTCGCAAATCGTAACGCGTTCCACACTAGTCGCAATTCCATCAATAATAAAATCATCATCTAAAATTAGCGTGAACGAAAAAAATATGCTATAACAGGTTTGTTTTTCTTTTCAATTCATTCATAAAAATTAAGACCTTCCACATACACATACGCGAACGCGAAACAAAATGTTCGATTGTAATATTTTTTCTATTCTAAATTACATAATGTCCATTTTCATTTAACTAACTATCAACTAAAATCGATGCTGTATATTGTTCGTGTTAATAATTCGTTGTTGCTTATCTTGTTTTCGTTTTTGCTGCATTTTCGTTGTGATGATGTTTTATTTTCTTTCTTTTTTCTCTCGCGCGCTGTGAATTCTCAAAAATTTCAAAACAAACTGGAGTTTGTGTCTATGTGTTTACGGTTAGCTCAAGTAGAGAAGTTAAATAAATCAATCGAAATTTCGCTAACTTGAAAAATGAGCGCGCTGCACTTCTGTTCAATTACACAAAGAGAAGAAGAAATTTAAAAAAAAAGAACAACTAGCCAATGCAGTTCAATTAAACGGGGGGACTGTGAATGAGTGTGGAACGGTTTGCGAAACAAGTTATTCGAAATGAATATCGCGACTAATCACAGAAAAATAAATGTGAATAACCGTCTCTTCATGCGCGCACGCACACACACACACACATTCGAATATGAGGATCACTTTCTGCTTCTTCTTTTTCTTCTTTGCCTGTTTGGTCCGTTTGCAGAATATAAAAATAACGAAATGTGGGCTAAAAAGACACAAATCTACGTAAATTCAATCTTTGCATACAACAAACGGGCCACAGATCTCGGATTAAGCTAACAACATTTTCATGTCGTATTTGCTCTGTTTCGCTCACTATTTTCTTCATCGTTGTTGTTGGTAATTTGTTTTCCTTTATTCGAGCCTTGTTTCAATGTATGCACAAAATGCAGATGTTAATAGATTTTAACAAGCTCTGCAAAAGGGATCGAACAAAATGCGTGACTAGGAAGCTGTGTATGCGAACAAAAATAGTCAAAAAGTTGAGAAATCATCGATAGTTTAGGTGAAAAATAGCAAAAAGCATGGCTTATTCAATTCGTTACATTGTATGACACACACACACTCATACAACAAAATAAATAGCAACGACTGTCTTTTCTAAAACAAAACGTTTTGTTGCTGAATTTATGTATATATGCCTTTTCTTTCGCTCGTATTCCATTTGGTACGTTTGGCGTACGGAGTTTTCGTCATTTTTACTCGACGTAATTATATGCGTCGTATTTGTTTGGCATCGCTTAAATTGAAATGTGAGCAGCATCATTCAAGAGAGAGAGAGAAGAAACAAAAAAACACATCCACAACCGACAATCTCAACGACGAGAACGGTCAACTTGACGTCGTCGAAAAATTAAACAATTTTCGATTTTATTTTTATCTTCACCGCGACGAAGAGTGAGCCGCTCAAAATGTACGAGACAATTTTCTATCTCTTTCTATTTAATCATCGTTGTCATTTTGGCACACAGGCAAAAACACTGAAATTTCGTTTTCATTCTTTAGCTTCTTTAAAGACGACAAAAAAAACCTCTCTTCTGCCTCAGGCACAGGCATGTGTCGCTCATTTTCTGTTCACAGCGCAAAGATCCGTCGACGCCGTTTTAACAACTTCCTACAGTTGAAACATTTCATACTTTTACTTTTTTTTCCCTACATGAGTCGTGTTTCTCTCTATATCTCGTCTTGGCCTCGTTGCTCCTGCCTCGTTCAAACGGGCCGCCGCAAGCGCGCAATCAATCTCCTGTGTCGAATAGCTTCCGAACTATTTTCTTAGCTCGCGCGGGAATTATGTAATTAGACTAAAACAAATGTGTCTGCAATAGTCTTTTTTATTCGCTGCTCAAAGTGCAGTTCAGTTAGTGTGCATTTTTTTAAAGAGAAAATTTGCCCCATTTTCGAACCGATCGACCGAACTGACTTCTCGACATTTCAATGAGTCGACGAAATAAAGCTCGAGCATAAAAATGCGACTGAATGATGATAACATGGGACAATTTTGTTTTCTTGTGCTTAAAAAATCGTTTCGAATTAATTGAAACAAAAATGAAATATTTATGACATACTGACCTCATGTTAGACCAACGATTGGATACTTTGATATGCTCCGGTAGCTCAACATCCTCTTTGTCGGGACCTTTTTCGGCGGCTAACTTTTCTTGATATCTTTCCTCCGTCGATTGTGAAAATTTCACCTTTTTCTCTTCCTTCACCAGGACGTCTTTCCTCCCATCGCATTTTTTACTTTCCTTCGACTGTGATGGACATTCGCCCGATTCAACCGCTACTTTTTCAACATCAGCACTTTCGTCGATTTTAATTTGAATTTCAGATATTGGAAATGCGTCACTTTCGTTTTGCTCTTGCACTTCTTCGAGATGTTGTGTTTCGATCGTTTGAATTTCTTCGGCTGCTTTCAAATCGATTATTTCTTCGGGAATCGGTTTGGTCGCGTTTTTTGAACTATCCGCCTGTGATATAGCCAATTCTTTCTGCGTTGACTCGTCAGCTTCTTCCAATTTGATCCCTTCAACTTTTTTCCGTTGATCCTCTTCGATTCGTCCCAACTCAGCTTCCTCGGCTTCTTCAATTTCATTTTGTTTCTGCAGTCCGTCTTTGAATTCCTCCTTATTCAAAACCGAATGTAGTACCGCACTCGCAAAGAGATTTCCTGGCTTCTTCAGTTTGTGTGCGTTTAAATGTGTTATGGCACCGGGCACTTCAATCTCTTCGTAAATGTGCTCTTTGGTTTTGCGTGGCGCTTTTTTCGGCGGATCATTTTTAAACTCTTCTTCGAGAAGCTCTTCCACCGTTGGCTCCGTATCCGTTGGTTCGGTCACATTTTTCGGTACCACAAAACCTTTGTCATCATTCTCACTTTGCGTTTGCTCCTCTTTCTCATGCTCCTTTTCGTGTTCTTCCACCTTTCGAATTTCCTCACGTCTTTTTCGTGATTCGCTCGGCGATTCGTCCAATTGTAAGATTTCCACAACCTCATCGCTGTCACGTTTCTCCAGATAGGCGGCTACATTCTTGCGATCAGCCTTTGGTGATCCCTTCAACCGTATGATTTGCGTTTGTTCGGCCAGTACGATTTTCTTTTCATCCGACAATTGTTCCGTTTTGATGGTGGTTTTGGATTTTTTCGAACCTTTCTTATGCAATTGCTTATCGGCCATTGTTTTCAATTTCTCAACAATTGGATGGCAACATTTGACTTGCGGTGGTGATTTTTCCCGTTGATCCAAATCGTCGGCCCGCGTTTTTGCCACCTGCACTTTCTTCGGTGCCGAATGGCTGCGCGTCAACAATGATCGAAGAGCAAAACGTTTTGATTCTTCTTTTGGTTTGAACTCCGTTAAATCTTGATGTGATTGTGTTGTTGATGCGTTCAGTTTTTTGCGCTCTTTTTCACGTTCTGCTTCCGCTTCAAGATCTTGCAACACCTCTAAAATGCCGGACGATGAATTTTTCACCGAACTTTTCACACTGTACGAATCAATCGCACGCTGTGTATCAATATTGTCGAAATTGAACGAAAGAACGTCGGTTGGTGCATTCGGATCGGAGAACAATGATGTTGGCACTTCCAGAGTTTGTTGTTCAATTTGAATGGATGCCGCTTCTGCTCGATCCAAATGTTCAACCACTTGTTCTTTTTCTTTCTCCACCTCGTCTTTTTCTTCTTCAATGGGTTTGTCGCTTCGATTCAGAACACAGATTGGCCGCTTTGTACGTTCATCAACGTCCTGTGGATTCAAATAAGTCCAAGGATAACCACCCTGCATTTAAGATAAATGATTTCTTTTTTTACAAAGCCAATTCAACTAATTAAGCAGACACACACACTGTACTCACCTTTTCTTTGTCACGCCGAATGTCTTCCCACTTGTATGTGATCAGGGGATGTGGTGGTGGGCTCTGGCTCCGTTCACGATACAGTGAGTAATCGAAGTATTGATTTGCGCCCTTTTTATCGATGCCTTGACTTGATCCACACCTCGAGCCACCCTTTAAGTCTGGATCTTTCGCGTCGCTGACCTTTTTCAGTTCGTCTTGTATTTTACGGGATTCCTTCAATAAACCTAACACTTCGCTGTTCAATGTGGCCAATGCTTCATCAAGCGGGGCATCTGGTGAATTGCTTTTCACATTCGATGCGCTGGCTTCGTCTAACAGGCTCGTCACTTGATCATTTAAATTATCTAGGGCCGCATCCAAGTCAGACAAACCGTCATTCGCACTATTTTCATTTGTAGCCGCGTCCAAAAATTTGACTTGCTTCGATCCGGTCGGCAACGAACTATTTTTAACCTTTGTTTCCAAATCGACGGAATCGGGCACAGGGTCAGTGCTTTCTTTCACAAAAATTGTGTCAGTGGCAGTAGCTATGGGACTCGTTGCCGAAATATCGGTATCAATTTCCACTTTGACATTGGATGTGATTAATTGATTATCATGTTGCTCGTTTGCCACTGCCGTTGCTGCCGCCGCTTCTGCTTCGGCTACTACTTCTGCTACTAAAGCTGATGCTGTCTCTTCGATTGTCGTCTTATTCGATTCCGTTTGATCAGGTGCTGGCGGATTTTCTATTCAAACCAAAAATGATACATTTTTACATGAAATTCAAACCAATCTGCTCAATACAAACGGCAAATCCCGAAAAAAAACGTGAATTTTTTTGGAATCTCATTCGAAAAAACAGTTGTTCAGCTGTTTTTATTCCGAGTATTAGGACTATTTCTGCTATGGCATGGATTCGGAAGATTTCAAAATAGTGTTGTTAGGCATTTCCGTTCGAATCATTCCATAGATGAGTAAATTATGCGAAATGGCAAATTGCCGTCCCAAAAACCATATGATATCCCATCTTAATAAACCTTTTGTGAGCGTGGATTCATTTTATTTGCAAGTTTTTTTCCAATCTCTCTCTTTGTTTGACGCACACAACGATCATAAGTGTGATGGATAGAGAGAAACTTGAAACGCGTTTGTAATACACGGCATTTTGCTCTAGAAAACCGAAAAGATATTTTTAGCAAATTTTATTGATGCAATGCTCAGTGCCTCAGATCATGCTTCTTCTTCTTCTTCTTCTTCTTCTTCTTCTTCTTCTTCGTTTCGTACAGCTATTAATACACACAGGTTTGTTTTTTCTATCGTCATTTCATTTTCGTGCGCGGCGTTCACTATGTTTTACATTTTTTATTTACGTATAGTTCACTCTCTCTCTCTATCTATCGTCATCTCATCCGCTGCCACTATAGTTATAATAATCCAGTCAATTAACTACTGGGGCAATGTTTTTTTCTTAATCGAACAATGTTTTTCTAATGGTTTTTATTTTTCATGTGTGTGCGTGTTTTTTTCGGTTTGGCCTGTTTTTGTATCGTTTAAATGTTGAAATCATCAATAACGATCGACGACGTAGTTCGTGTTTTGGCGGGTGATGTGAATGCCATTGAAAAAATAAGGCGGTTCAAAAGGAAAACCACACGCGAAAAAAAATCTGCTACAAGTTTGCTTTTGAAATTCTTTTCCATCGTTAACATCATGCAAAAACACAAAAATTGACGTTTCGGAAAATTGCTTTCAATGATGCATGCTTCAATGGATTTAATGAGACTTTTGGTGGTTTTGTTTTTGGTCGTGTGTAATTTTCCTCGGGTTTTTTCATGAACAGTCAAAAGCAATTCAAAATAGCTCTCTCTCTCTCTCTCTCTCTCTCTCTCTCTCTCTCTCTCCCAACCTCTATCTCGCCTACATTGCAAGCGAAATGAGAAAATAAAAAGATTCGCGCCCGAATATTAGGTCAGTGAAATTGTGGCTCATACACACCACAATTACCAATATGAAAGCAACCATTTTACCGGCGGACAAATTAAGCTCAACAACATTTAGATTTAGTGTGTATGAATAACATATGCAATGCGATGCGTTCAAACGCTCAACGAATTGTCGGCAAATATTTGAGCGAAAAAGATACAAATAATGAGCCGCATAGAGAGAGGGAGAAGGGGCAAATGGTTTATTTTTATTTTGCGTATAGAGGAATCAGAAAAAAAAACACAAACACACAACTGGCGATGGTGACTGATACCGGTGTTAATCAACTGACTTTGATTCGAAATGGCCGAGAAGTAAAAAGAGATGGCGAGTCAAATGAGACCGTGATAAAATTAGCAACAAATGACAAAGTTCATTATTACTGCAGTTGTATGGGTGTTGTTGGTGTGTTATTGCTAGTTGCTCGGCAAAGGGTATTGAGCAATTGTTTGATACATGAAAACAACAAATAAACGCTGATTGATCGATCACATTCTTACGGATTCATTCACAAAAAAATCGAAATAAGCAAATGACAAAGGCAAAAAATCAAACAAGCCAAAAACGACCAGAGCAAAGCTATGCCTGAATGAAATTTATGAATGATGAAATATAAAAGATGAGCGAATTTTGAGTGGAAAATTCTCGATGATGCTGTGTATGTGAGACAGTGACAGAGATAGACAATTTGATTGCACACTCACATTTATCTAGATATGCACAGAACAATAAATAGACTTATGATGAAGATTTTTTTTTGGTCTCTCTCTCTCTCTCTTTTTTGTTCTAAACAGTAAATCGTCAAAATTAATATATATATTTTGCTGGTCAGTGGCAAAAAAAAACACGATGATGATGATGATGATTCCTTTTATTTATACTCAGACTCAGTGTTATACAATAGCGCTGATAAAACTAAAAGCGAAATTTTGATTATTTTCAGCTTATTTCGTTTCGTTTTTTTTTTTGCATCGCATGATTCTAAAAATTTATTGAAATTTGAGTTTTGCTCGCGTTGTGAGTTGATATAGCGTAGCGATTTTTTTGTTGTATATTTCCGAAAAAAGAGCATTTATTGACGGTTAAATTTGATGCTTGTGGTCACAGACTTAGACGCTTTATGGATGTACCTGTTGTTTTGGTTTGGTCACCGTTATCCATTTTTTTTACCATTTTAATTTCTTTTCAATCACACTCGTTACAATTTCAAATGCATTCGCTATTTTCACATTTGTTCGACATAATAATTGGATTATTCCTTTTTTGCTTAGATTTAAAATGCGTTTTAATCAGATTCGGATCATTATTATTGGAAACGAACACTAAAATCACTTAAGCACAGCACTTTCAGGCACTGTAATCGAGTTTTCATCCACGACCAAATGAATCACAGTCATATAAAAAGTCACTTTCAAAATGGTTTTATTGTGACAAAAGTGAAGAATAAACTGTTTCGTTGTTTGTTTTGTATGCACTCAATACACATGCATTGAGAGAGAAAACGACGTCGTCCAGTGAACGTGAAGGAATAATTTTTTTTTAACGGTTGATTAATTTTGACGGATATGTTGACCCTTGCACACTGAAAAACGGAGTGTTTGAATTCGTGGCACGAAACTAAAACGACCGAATCAACTGGTCTTTTTTCCCTGTGTGATGTGTTTGCTTCTCTATTCGACTCGTTTCCCCTTGTACAGTTTCCCTTTTGTTTGCTTGACCACTCACTAACTATCTTTCTCGCTTTGTCACATTTATTTTTAATGTTCTTTTGTTTTGAATTTGCGAGAAACAGTTTTTTTAGTTTGCAGTAATGAAGCACGGTGACTCTCTGTTGGACACACGATTCACTGATCGGCCGTTAAGAATAACGTATGATTTTCGCAATTCGGCACAGCACACATTTTCGTCATAATGTATCATACATAGAGAGAGAAAGAGTAACAACTCTCTCACACACCATACACACAGCAAAGACAGCACACGCTTGCGTGAAAATCGACTCAATATACGATCATATATTGATATGTCGTATGGTCTTCTCTCTTTTTTCCCTATCCTTTTCTCCGTGTTATTTCGTTCGTGACAGAACAGTTCAGCAGCAGCAGCAAGTTTTCGGCCCGATACTGGGAAGAGGCGATTACTTGATGCTGCCGTGTGTCATCTGCAAAATTCGATTTAAATGCTTACGTTGTGTCGTAAATTCTCTCTTTTCTGCCTTTTCCATTGGTATACATATATAAATTTTCATGTGAAAATGCTTTACGCTTCACATGCCCGTGTGGATACACATATACACACATCACACATCGTTTCAATTACAATTTGCGGATTTAAAAATAAACATTTCATGCTAATCTTTAATCCTTTTTATGACTCTAAATTACCTAGAGACATGGCACACAATTTATGACCATCAAGGCTATTTTATTATCACTTTCCATCTGTGGAACACCACTTATTACTCCACTCAACCATACTACTCTTTGGAATTGAAGCCAAAATTGATCAGATCAAATCAGATTGTGAAAGTTGAATAATAAGATCGTATTCAAAGCCTAGAATAGAACTTATGAATAGTGGTCATTTGAGCTGTCGCAACCTTGAGAGTCGACAATCAACAAGAAACAGATCAAAATACGAAAATTGAAATATGTATGAAAAAAATAAAAATTAAGAACATTTTATGTAGTGTATTGATCATAAACACTTTATTTACCTTTTTATTTCATGATTTTCCATAACTGTGGCGTTTCTTTGAAGACCGTCTCCTCTGTTTAGTGATCATTTCATTTCTTTTGAATTGTTGATTCTTTTCGTAGCTGTACGTAGCTGTATCGTTTATCGACACAATCGTTTCTAATGATATAAGCATGATCTACCCTGGAATTTATGTGGAAGTTGCACATTTATACAGGATCAACTTATTCATTTGAAGGTAATGGTGCGTTGATAATGATTGATCAATGAAGCTTGAATTGAAGATATGCATGCAGATTTGAAAAACATTCTCAAACATTTTTTGAAATCCGCATAACACGCTATGATAATCCACTGACTTTCACATTATAAATTACACAACGTTTTGCAGCAATGGTAATGTGGATTAAATTTTTTTCGCCAACAAAAATAAAAAATCCCTGAAACAAAATAAAAGTTTTGAAGTTTCATCATGTAATAAGATAGAAGCATGGATTACACCTGCTGCTGAGTCAGGTAAGCACCAATTAAAATCCTTGAACTTCCATGGAATTGCAATGATACTTATTTATAATTGCTACTGTTTTTAGCAAATGGGATTCAATTGTTTTGGCCATGGATAGAGAAGCTTCAATCATAATCATGCAATCATTGTGTGCTCTGCATCATTAAATTACGAACAATCCATACGGACATATGCACAGCATAATACTTCGCAATGATATCGAATGTTTTGGAAGTTAGAAGTGATCTGAAGTACAGATTGTCCGAATCAACCGTAATTCGTGTGAATTTACACATAGATGATTAACAATGAACAATCAACCTGAAACAAGTAAATCACAGCTTTCTGAGCTATGTAGCAATATTTTTGAGCATTGAACGTTGCCATTTTTGTGCCAATAAACATTTTATATCTTTATTCTTCCAACATTTGGTATTTTACATACGAGAATTTCTACAACAGTGTAATGACTATACTCATTTCGAAGCTGTTGAGCCTTGTAAGGAAATAATTAAAAAGTATTACTTAAAATTTTCGTGTACTGTTAATAATGTTCAATATTATCAAGTGCATTTATAAATTATTCCATATCATTTAATGCCAGCAGTGCTTTGTTTGAAGTAACAGAAATAAAGGATTAAAAGACTAATTGATCTCTTATTCAAGTAGATTGTCCGACTACTAACGATCCTCACCATACTTTTAAGCGAAAAGTGTAAGTAGCAACATTACACATCCGTAGATTTTTTTGGTCAATTGAAAAAAGTCAAGACGGGGAAAAACTCATTTTTGCCTTGATCAATCTACCGTTTCAAAACTAATTTCGGCCAGGGGTGCAATGGTAAAAAACCGTCAGTTTTGAAAACGATGTATCATCCTAGGGGGAAAGATCAATTTTTTTCCTCTGAATAAGCCTCAATATAACAAATAATGATAATTTGTAACGATTCTATCACCTTTTACAAATATTTAACCGATATTTGAATATTTCGCCGATATACCAATATTACGTACTAAAATTGGTAGGGATATTTAGGTGAAGCGCATTTAAGCTATTGCTCAAGTATCGCGTACTTAAGTACTTATTTATCAGTAGACTTATCATTTCATTTATTTCTAGACCAGTACTACGGCAATTAAGTACTATCTTAAGTACGTGGCACTTAACTTTATCAAGTGTCATGAACTAAACATAATTTCGTAAGATAATCCATATGTGATTGTTCATAGCTAGGTTTATTGAAAATAATAATTAAAAATAAATGTAGGTTCTGGTTTCTATTAATTTTTTATTTCATGCATAATCAGTTTTCAAAGATTCGTTTGATATAAGAAGCAGATACAGGTAGAAGTATAGCGTTAGGTACAGCGCTTTAACCAAAAGTACGTGGCACTTAAACGTGAATTTAAACGAATTCGCTGATGTATTGTTATTTTTCAAAAATAAGCGTTTATCTGCATACTGTGCCAGTACATCGGTCTCTATTGTTCTATATTTTTATGTTGAGTTCACATTAAATGTACACGATTAACACGAATATTCAATTTATTTGACCAATTCACACCAATATACCAATGAATAACGATGAATAGCCAATAACATAGATAATAGCGTACGACCAATTGATCTTTCCCCCTAGATGATTATGTCGATAGTAAACTTGGGAATCCCCACCCTAGACAGTTTTTTCGTTCATGAATTCGTTTATTTCGTCGCATACTTTCGCGCTCCTGTCTCTATTCCCAAATTCGACTTGGTTTTAGTTCTATATTCTTGAGTTGAAATATTTTTTCAACATGATCCATTATTTCGAAGAGAGTTATGATTATGTCGATAGTAAACTTAGGAATCCTCACCCTACTCAAGTAAAAATTCACACTAATAAAATCGCTATGCTGTAGTTATGCTCACACTGATTGTCGTTCAGAAATGAGTGTGACCCATACATTTGTGAGCGACAATGAGTGTGGCATATATTTAGAGTGTGTAGTGTACGGATGTAACACTCGTTGACGCTCACAAATGTATGGGCCACGCTGAATTTTGGACGATAATCAGTTTGTGCATTGTGTACACACTCCAATTCGATTTCCTGGCACGTTAAAGCAAACGAGTGTACAATATTGTTTGAAAGAGAGCGAGCGATAAACACACAAATTGACACCGAAATTGCTTTGCACTCGACGCCGAGATCTCAGTGTCTAGTGTCCACTCTCTATATGGTAACCGAGCGTGAATTTTGCTACTGACTTGCCACCAGAAACCATAAATGAATCTGAAAATCTTCTGAATCTGTCGGAGCACTTCTGAATACTTTTGAATAGCTTCCAAAATGGAGCAATCTACTGAAAATGAGTAATGGTCCGCGGTCAGTCGCGATTTTCGCGAAGCTGATAAGAGATAGAGGTTTGGTGTCTCCGGCAAAGTTGTAGTGACTGCTATGTCTTATCTCTTATCAGTTAGGCGCAAATCAAAAACACGCGCATATAGCAAGGTTTTTTTGCTTATCATTTTTCGCGTTTTCCACGAAACTGATAGGAGATAACTGATAATTGTCTAAAACAAAGTTGTAATGTGGCTCATGCGCTATAAATTTTTATAAGACGCTAGGTCGTTATCTCCTATCAGTTCCGCGAAAAACAAGGTAAACCACGACTGAACACCAAATTTCGCGGTTTTTCGCGGAAGTGATAAAAGATAAAGAATTGACGTCTTCACAGTTTTTAAAGAATTTAAAATTTCCAACAACTTTGCTCCAGACAGTTTCCAGTTATCTCTTATCAGTTTCGCGAATAATGCGAAAAACCGCGAAATTTGGTGTACATCCGTGGTTTACCTTGTTTTTCGCGGAACTGATAAGAGATAACGACCTAGTGTCTTAGGAAAGTGCATGAGGTCCTTCACAACTTTGCTTTAGACAGTTATCAGTTATCTCTTATCAGTTTCGTGGAAAACGCGAAAATTGATAAGCAAAAAAACCTTGCTATATGCGTGTGTTTTTGATTTGCGCCTAACTGATAAGAGATAAGACATTGCAGTCTTGAGCAAAATTATAGATTGATTTTCTGAAGACTTGTACTGAACAGGTCAACTCCCTTGTTACTAACTTTTTTTGCCTTTTGTTGGTCATCACTTTTCGAGTTATTTCCATGCTAGGTGACATTGGTCGACCATATGGGTGTTGGTAGGTAATGTAAGTGTCTAAATCGGTAGAAAATCACATTTTCTTTGATTTGGGAGTAGGGATTCTCAATATGTTGATTTTCTGAAGACTTGTACTGAACAGGTCAACTCCCTTGTTACTAACTTTTTTTGCCTTTTGTTGGTCATCACTTGGTTTTTTCCATGCTAGGTGACATTTTTGATAATAACTCAATTTTCCCACATGAGATATCGCTCAAAATTGGCTGAGAGTCTGGTTTCATCGTCATGAAGCTGCCATTAAATTTTCAGAACGGTTTTCTAGAAGTGAAAGGAGTTACAGCGCCATATGTGGTCAGAAAAGTCATTCTTTGAACATTTCTTCGTTTGTTCCATGCTAGGTGATATTGGTCGACCATATGGGTGTTGGTAGGTAATGTAAGTGTCTAAATCGGTAGAAAATCACATTTTCTTTGATTTGGGAGTAGGAATTCTCAATATGTTGATTTTCTGAAGACTTCGACGAGCACGAAGATTGATCCTCGTCGGCAATTTCATCTCTATTTGTCGGTGTAATGATCGTAAATCGATAGCTTGAACAAAAAATACATTGCTTCTTATGGAGGCTAAATGGATGGATTTTTGTAAGAGCGCCTCTGGTGAAAATATTTTAGAATGATGGAATATTTCGATCTTTAATGCGCTTTTCTGCTAATTTGTCCAAACTCACCTCTTAAGTGGTAAATTAAAACCAATAAATATTTACACATCGAAATATCTCGAAAACGGCTGGGAAAATCGGCAAAATGGACCGTGGTGTCACTCCCTGGGGGAGTGTAGATACCCGGCTGGTTTGATGGTCCAAAGTTCAAATCCAATGGATTCGGGCTGATCCATGGGTTCTCAGGATTTGGTCTGATTCCCAGATTTTCCTTTCCTGTGAGCATCTTTACGGATTAATTAATTATGATCCGAACATATGGAAAATTACCAGAAAAATATCAAAAATGATCAGAAGAATATTCAAAATGATCAGAAACTTTTTTATTAATTTGATCAGAAAAAAACCTAATATGATCAGAAAAATTTGGGAATTAGCCGAAAAATATCTAAAATGATCAGAAATCTTTTTTCAAAATTGATCAGAAAAAAAAGTACAATGATCAGAAGTATATTAAAATTATCAGAAACCCTTTTCGTAACTTGATCAGAAAAATATAGAATTTTTCAGAAACATATCGAAAATTAACAGAGAATTTTTCGAAATATGATCAGAAAGAAATATATTTTTATCATAAAAATATCCGAAAATGACCAGAATAAATTCGCATTTTGACCAGAAAACTTAATAGTTTTACCATGAGTTACATTACCTATTTTTGTGCTGTTCTTACCTTTTGGCTCTTTATTTTATTTGTACAAATGTACAATCTGATATGAACACATGGTTCATAAAATCATTTGTCTTCAAATAGAATAGACACTATCATTGCACACATACAAAGAAGTTCATTTAGTCAGAATAAGGGGTCATAAGAAAGTGCCGACGGACACGGACGGACGGACACTTTTTAATTTTTTTAAGAGTTATTTGGAACGGACGGACACCGGAAAAAAAATTTCTTGTCCGCTCAGAGAAAATTTAGCGGAACAATGATTCCGATTTATCGGCATTAAAACCAATCGGAATGATAAATCAGAATAAGTGTTCCGAGATTCCGATTTATCAGAATTCTTCAATGTAAATTACTTATTAAAAAATTTTGGTCGATTTTCCCAGCCGTTTCAGAGATATTTACATGTGTAGTTTAATGAGAAAGATATCGGCCATGACAGCATTTTAGCCCGCCATGTTGGTATTTTGGTTTATATTGACAGAACATTCTCTACTTTAACAGTCAACGTTTCTAAACGTAAACACAAATATGATCTGTCATAATCACATTCACCACTTCTAATGTGCTTCAGAAAGCTTCTGACAGCGCCATCAATCCGAAGCGTTTGAAACATTAAAGGCTTTTGCTGATTTTTTCTGCCGCATTTTCATTCATGCTATCACCTTATGGTAATGATAACGATGACAAAAATGAAAAGAACCTTCAAGTCCATTTTCTTGATTGCGATATTCAATTACTTCACCAAAAAGACTAACGAATTTAATTCTCTCTTCAAACGTGTGTTGCGAGTTCACTGTTTGGATCCTTGCATTTGTAATTGCTACGTAGCAGATATCATTTGCTATGTAGCAGATATCAAATAAAACTCGAGCTACGTTCAATTCAATCAAGCTGCAATAGTCTCGATAAAACAAAGAATAAGAAAAAGTGGCGCCAATGTAAGTACAAGTTAAAATATATTTTATTCAACAGTAATTCTCATTGTTTGTTACACATTTTCTTCATTTTCATGTTCATTTAATTAATATAATACTGAAATTATGTATTAATGTATGCGATAAATATCTTTTTTGTTGTTGTTGTTAAATCTTGGGATACGTTTGACATAAGTAACATGCTCGTTGAATGTAAAAATAAAAAACTCTACAATAATAATAATTATAAACAATGGACAAACGACATTAAGTGTGTGTATGTGTTTGTCTGTGTGTCTCCCATTCCAATAAAATTAATAGAATTTCTTGAGGCTGTGCTATCGCGGCAATGCCATCATTATTCCGATTGCGCCAGTCAACCTCTAAACTTAGTAGTTGAATACATTTCATTCAAATGCGTTTCGTTAAAATGAAAGTAACTCATCAAAAAAGAATTCTTATCACGAAAATTGGGAGGAAAACTGTGATTTTTTTTTTTCATATTTTTAAAATAGGATTACAGAATGTAAAAAACAAAATCCATTTCCATCATCGCTCATTTGCGGCACACTATCATCAGTATATCAATGTAAATGTGACGATACAGGAAGTGAGTAAAAACCAAAAAAATAGATGCGTCGCTAGAAAAAAATCTATTTGTCCATCTCAATTACACATATTTTCTCAATTCAGTTCGAATTGGTAGTGTTGTGCTGGTGGCCCAACCGAAAATTTTGTTCGACATTCCGTCAAAGTGCTTATACGATGCTTCTCACAATACATTCCTATTTGGTATGCTTCTTAATAAATTTTTGATTCAAATTTGCAGACTTGCGTTCTCTTTTCTATATTATACTATTAATATGCTCGAAACACACACCCTTTTCTCTGTCGGTTCTGTTCAGTGTTCTAGTTGTTGTTGTTGTTTGTTTTTTTCATTTTCAACATCACTGCTAATTCAAGTAGAAAAATATAAAAGCGTTGAGAAAAACGTAAGTAATGATGAATTTTGTTTGTTTGTTCTTGTTCATTCTATCCCCTATCTCTCTACACCAGGGATCGAAAACGGTTTGACGTTTCTCATACAAACCGATTTTGGAACGGTTTTACTGCTTTGCTCTCTGTTCATCGCAGCAAACCATATCAAGCGAAACGTTCTGAGAATAGTTTGTATGAGCAACGTTCAAGCGTGTTGTCACTGTGTTAGTATTGTATACTAATACACGTGAGCATAAACGTTTCTGTGTGCCATACAAACCATTTTTCAGAACGTACCGAATGGTTTGGTTTGTTCACACACTCAAACCAAATATTCGGTTTGATTTGGTTTCGATCTCTGCTCTACACATCTTGTTTGCCTTTCATTTCGCCTTTCATTCACACAAGACCGATGAAGACCATTTCAAGCATCGACGACGATCGAATATTTTTTGGCTGCATCGACATATGTCGTTGAAGGGAAAAAGAATCGCATTTTTTTTTTTGGTTAAACACTAGATGGGCAACGGGGAAGTATTTGAAATTGCAGTTAATTGCGCAAACAGAAAAAATTAACTAACCAATATTCATATTTCATCGAGAGTTTTTTTTCTGCTCGGATCAATTGATTTCTACCGTTGAAAATTTTTGAACTAAAAATTCCAATTTTTTCAACTGAAAATTCTGATAAAATGAAAAAAAAAAATCGGAAAAACTCAAATTTGATGTGACATAAATGTTGTTCTCCAAATTAAAATGAAATCAATAGAATAATAAGTCAAACTATCACAGTTGATCCTACTTGTTACATTTTATTCATCAGCTTGTACGTACATATCGTCGTCGTCACACATGTTGAATGCCCAACGCCGAAAATTCTTTTTTTTTTATTAATTTCAAATGAAAAACAAGCAGAAAAGAATTCAGCAAAATAAAGAGATTTCTCTCACCATACACTCAAATGTCAGCGTGTGTGTGGATTTGTTTTGTGGGCACATTTTATTTATGTTTTTTTACGTTTATTATTTATAGTACCTATATACAAAATTATAGGAGCAATGCAAATGCCGTCCAAACTCTGTGTCTGTGTCATTAGATATGAATCAGAATTGTTTATATCAATGTTTGGCCAATTGCACACAAACAAACAAAAAATGTTTTCATCAAAATTTCGATAAGTAAATTAGTTATTACAAGTGTTTTTTTTGTTAGTTTTTGTCAAGGTCCATATATAAATAAATTCCAAAGACAAATAATTCAGTCTTCTGACAAGAAGGAAAGAAAAGAGTAAAAATGAAGTAAAAATTGGGCAAAAATATTTGATCAGCAGTATCAGTTCATATACTGATTGTTTGAAGTGTAGATATGAATATGTTTATCATCGAAAGTGATAAACTCAATTCTTATGACTTCGTTTTCAATTTCTCCTGATCGTCTGCGCATGGTGGGGAAATAGCACCAGGTTTCAAAGTTAGCGCGTTGTCCTCTGCGTGTGTGTGTTTTACTTAAAAAGGCTACGTATTTCCAATCTTTCCCTATTTTTTTTCCACAGTTGTTTTCCTCATTTCTTATATATTCCATCCATATCCAATGAGTATGCTTGTGTGTGTGTGTTTATTTTTTGTTTGTCTCTTTTGTTTAACGATAGTTTCACAACAAATCCTTAAATATTGACTCATTAGTTTTCTTCTGTTTTTTTAAATTGATTATTTTAACATTGTACTTCATTTTTGTAATGATTTGTTTGCTCTTCTCTGTATCTCTACATATATATATAGATCTATATGTGTCTGGTGCGATTTTTCTGCGCTAGTTAGCAATTCGACACTATAATAATAACTAAAGTCAAGTGATAAATCGACCGATTAGCCTAAAAAAAATCAAATTGAAAAGAAAAATAACCGAAATGACTACAATCGATTTATTGATTGCGCTTTGTTAATGTTTTGTTCGGTTTTTATATTCCATCTCCGATTCGTACGTAAATTCACGTTGTGTAGATCTAAAGCCAAGCGATTTATTCTCTTGTTGAATTTCTGATTTGTTTTCTTATCTTCAAAAAAAAAACGAGGAAAAGAGGTAAACAACATCTAATGAGTGAGCTGCTTGCGAACGAGTGCGTCAAGCAGCCGTAATTTGGCTTTTTTCTGTTTGTACAATGCGTACGTTTCTTCGATAACAGTACGATCGGATTTTAGCATCTTTCGGCCATTTTGCTCTTCAAACACTTCTTCGAATTCCTTGATGGTGCGTCGCAATTTCTTCTTTTCGTCGCGAACAATCTCTAGGTTTCGGGTGAGGCCATCCAAGGACATTTCATGAACATTTTCATTGATCGAACTTGATGTGTCGGTGGAATCGGTCGATGAATCGACAAAGCCAGCACCACCACTACCACTGCCCGATTGCATCTCATTGTCAGATGGTGGTGGTGTTAGTGATATTGCGGCCACAGTAAATGCCATCGCTTCGTGCTCAAGAATTGTGGGCAATTCGGATGGATTACTGACACCCGAACCCGAAATCGATACGCTCCGATTCACCAATCGTTTGATCACACGATATCGATTGTAGAGTAGCCGAGCTGCGTCACGTTCATCACGCGTTATCGGTCGCCCGTACAGTGATTCCAAGTAGAGTAATGCTCGTTGCACGGCTGTCTTCTCCTGTACCAATTGATCGGCAGTCATTTCTTCCAAAACTCCCGGTCGATCTTCTTCGGCGCGTTTGACTTGTAAGCGCTGTTTTTTTTTGTATGAATGAAGAAAAAAAATGAACAATTAGAATGAATAATCCATTATGTCCAATTGAAAAGAAAAAATCAAAGCGATTTGAATATTCGTCAAAAATAAACCTACCTTTTCAATTTCAGCAATGGTGTCTTTCATCTTCTGAACTTTGTTATCATTGGTAGCGTTCAGTGAATTGTTGCCGCTCTTGTTGTAGCCCATGCCAACCATTGGATCCGCTTTGAGTACTTGCTTCTCTTTGCGCAGTTTATGTATTTCGGCTAGTGCATTTTTCACATAGCGTTCGTTCAATTTGATCGAAAGTGATGGCCGATATCCATTTTCCATTTCGAAATTTTCCTCAAACGCGGCGACACGTTTTTTCAATGCAACCAGCCGCTTGTTGATTTGCTTGAGCTTTTCATCGGGCGTGGTGTGGTATACAGTGTGTGGCAATGGGCTGCTTTTCAATAAATCACGTGGTTTTATTAGATTGGATTCACCCTTTGCAAAGTGCGGAATCGTCGAGTGTCCGATAAACGATTCATTCCGTAGCTTCATATCGATATCTCGCGTATTGTTGACATAATCGAATTTATTCTCGGCAAAGCGTTGACTTTTCACGGGAACATCGTCTTCGCGCCGCGTATAATCCCATGGCAGTGATGATTCGTGTCTCGATGTTGTGGTGTTATTGGTGGTGTTGGAAATTACAGATGATGACTTGAGGGCCGTCGATGGTGATATTGGCATAAAATCGGTGTAATCGTTATTGTCATTGTGATCGGAAAATGAAGACGATAGATCGTTGTAGTAGTCATCGCCCAGACCGCCGCATTCGCTCGATACCGATGAATCCACATCCGATTGTTGTTTGTAATCAGCAGCCGCCTCTGCGGCAGTTGTAGCAGCAGTCGCAGCCTTTGTGCTGGTAAAACCTCTTCGCTCTGATTTCATGGCGGTTATGTCGTATTTATAGGCGATTTCATTCTGTTCACTGTCCGTTGAACTCGACTGTCGAATCAATGATGCCGGCAATGGTGCCACTGCAGCTGCTGCTGCTGCAGATGATGATGATTTTTTGCTTGACGATGACTTACGAAATCCTTGTGCTGCGCGCGCCTTACAAAAACGTTCACTGCTTCGCCTGTAATTTCGATAGAACGTCATGAAATTAGAACGAATTCGTGAAAAAAGGCTCAAACACGGATAATACTACTGATTCAAAAGAACGTTAAACAAAAATTGATTTAAAAAAAAAACTGCAAATTACCGATCGTGCATGTTATCGGCGGCCAGTGCATCGTCGTTGCTGTGACAATGATTAATGGTGTGATCTCGTCGACTGGGTGAGACGCGTAATTTGTGGGAAAAATCGAATGTACGTGATCGTGCTGGGCTGGTTTCGGATCGACGATATGCTTCTCGCAATATTTCCTGTACCTCGTTATTGGCCGATTTGCTCGATGATGACACGTTGTCGTTTGCTAAATGATACGACCTACGTCTATTGTTCATAATGCACTCATCATTGCCATCGTCATCATCATCATCGTCGTCGTTGACGTCATCGTAGTCATCATCATTATCGTCGGGCGCCTGCTTTGATTGCAGCAATGGTGTGGATACACCATCGTTTTCATTGCATTGCTGCGGCTGTTTAATTTCTTCGTGTGACGATACTCGACGAATCACTTCGTACGCGTCAATATTTGGCAAATATTCTTCACTATTCGATCGCACCAATTTTCGATCCTGTGTTATTGACGACGTCGAATCTTGACGCTCTTTTCGTTTTCGCGAACCATTTTGCTGTTGGTCCGATGCATGATTTTGCCATTCTTGTGGATCGATCACTTGCGGTAGATAAGTTGAGGTGAATTTCGCTGAATTGTTGTCCGAATCAACCAGTATGCCGGGATACTTAGCATTGCTTTGATCGCGCGATGACGTCGATGAGCTGGTCAAACAACTCAAATCATCGCTCTTACCTCTCGTGGATGGATTTCGCATGCCGCACTAGAATATGAAAAGAGGAAATATCTATTACTACTACTGTCAAGGCTTGACTACTGTTCTGCTGCTAGGTATTAATCCATTTAATAAATTCAATTGAAAATAACTATCATCATTTGATTCGTTCCATTGATTTGTTCATTATTCGTTCGTTCGTTTGTTCGATTGGCTTTCATGTGACACGTAATCGTTTGTGTTTCCGTTTGATTGAAATTGCAATTGTGATTGCGAAATTATGAAGAGAAATGGATTTCCTCAAAACAAAAATAAGCCTAAAATTGCCATATTTTTGTTCTGGGAAATATGCGAAGCCATTTCAAATGGGCTATTTACATGCAAACAAATGTCAAGCTGAATGGAATGTAATGAACAAATTGTCTGCTCCACTGACGAAACGCGAAAATGACGAAAGCAAGTTAATAACAGAGAAGAAAAAATGAAATATTTTCCCATGAAAACGCACACTTTTTTTTAAAGTTAGCACACTATACGTAGTACGTACCAAGAACCTTCCCTACCCCACCTACTGAAAAAACAATCACACATTCCAAAGTCATTTAACCATTTTACACGTGCTGATGTTTGTCAATTTTCCGTTTTTCCATTTTTGTCACCAACAGCAGCAGCAGCAGCAGCAAAAACAACAACGCAAAATCATTTCGCCCAGAAGGTCACTTTGAGAAATTGGTTGTGTCTAAACGTGTACTACCATACAGCCGAAGCCCTTTTTTCCATGAAACGCCAAATATGATAGATACATCAGCAATACACAAGAAAAGCACCAAAATGTAAACGCAATTTGTGTGCTGGTTTTTTTTTGCGTAGCAATTTCTTTTTCTCCCTCTGCCACTGATTAGCATTTAGATGGTCATATCGTGGATTAAGTTATGCGGGATCGGGTGGAGAGACATTTCCGTGAAACGGATGGAAATGAAAATCAAAGAAATGTTTACGTGCATTTTAGCACTGCGTAAAATTCGGTTGTAGAAAATCAACGTACGTACGTTCAGCTTTTCATTCATGAAAAATTGTGCATTGTGTGCGCATGCTCGGGATACAATGCTCAAATCATTGCATATTCCCATTCGAATTTATTGGGATAGGAAATGTTTTTCCATGGAAGCTTACGTGCCGTTTTGCACGATTTTTCGTCAATTTCGTGCTGTTTATCGCCAAGATGTACTAAGGTTTTGAGATCAATGGCGAAAAAGACGGCGTTTCTGCTCGACCGAATTACAATCGGATAAAACACAGCCGAATGTGAGAAAAAGTGACAAATATTTGCCGACGACGACGACAGGAATGATAGAAGTCATTTTTCGTCTTGTTGATTCCAACCCATGGATTCGTTACTAATTTTATTTCACACTTCACATCACACACGCAGAGAGAGAGAGAGATAGAGACACATTCAAAATTCCCATCAATAAATCATTTTTTGGTTTAAATTCTGTTTGGAAACATTTGCCTCTGATGGCATTTGCAAGCGAACGAACTTAAACACACCTGAATTGACTTTCCGGTGAATGTGAAATGTCGTCGAATATAGAAAAACAATAGCCAAAATGGAATTGACATTTACATTTACATTCGGTGTGAGTGTGAGTCGAAGTGTTTGCATTGGGATAGGATGAGACGCTTTACATACGCATTCCAATACGCATAAATTGCGACGCAATAAATTCAATGGATGTCAAAAAGGAGCGTCGTCGTCGGGAAGCGGCCGGAAGAGCTAAATACCGTATTCATACACATCGTTCTGCATATATTTAACACGCAATAGCCTGGAAAACTTAATACGCACTATTTTCACTTTCACTCAAGAGCAAAGACAACGACGACGACGACGACGACGGCAACGACGGCGACGGTGACGACGCTCAAGTGCTGCAAAAGTATTTTTGATATATATTATAGGGATAATGGATGAGTGTTTATTTACGTTTTATTTTGTGGATAGAGCAAACAATTCAACCAATAATAATAATGCTGATCACCCCAATGGTGAAGATGTAAGATATTCTATCTAAAGGCTTAACGAACTTACAACAAAATACTTTGTCGGCATACCGTCGACCACCACTACAATACAATTTATTTGCTCGTACTGGGGTGAAAATAAACACGAAGCACAAGTGTCAACCGTCCGAACCACAGACGATCCCACAATGAAGGGCAAATCGAAAAGATCTCTGATCGGATCCGCGATGATTTGCAGCGCGCGAGGAAGTTTTGATAATGCGCGTTTATTCGTGCGTTAGGAGCTTAATTGGAAAATAACCGCCGATTAACTATTTAAAATCAAATCAAGTCGAGAAAGAAACTAGTTTCATGTAAATATCTGTGGTGGTAACGAGTACGATCTTGACTTGGGCTTGAATTTATTCAAGCTGACACGTAAAAAAAAGACCCGAAAAAATTCCATTCACATTGTATTTTGTTTGGCTGGCTTCCATGCCTCTCCCCTCTCACTTCTTTTGTATTCATATGTGTCTCTTTTCATTCTTCTTATTTTGTAATTTGTTTATTTATTTACACATGTTGCATTCATGCATTCACACACGCATTGTTAATGCGTATCGGGGAGCATTCTGCGTACTGCGGCTGTTTCGTTTTCATGAGAATGGAATGTATAGAAAACAATATCAGCGCTGGCATTTCGAAATCCGATTAAAATTGTATTTATGTCTGTTCTCAGTGTATCTGTTTAAAAATCTCACCTTTATTTCATTCGCATCATTATCATCAACATCGAATCGAATTGAATCTGAATGATATGGCTTCGGCGTTGCAAAATACTTCATAAAAATGCCCTTAATCATTTTCGTAGGCGTCGGTACGAAAATAAAACAATCGAATAATGGAGAAAAAAAAACAAAATGTGATTAAAGCACTCTCTCTCTCTCTCTCTCGATGTCTTTCGACACTTCGAAATGGAAAATTCCACGATGAGAATTTCGATTGATTGGTTTTGGTTGTTTCACTAATATGGATGCTTCCAGATTCTTCTTCACACTTGTTCTGATCGCTCTGTGATTCGAGTCAAGTGGACCAGTGGGCGGTTGGCATGTCGTGTTCAAGTAATGCAACTCAAAAATTCAATTTAGCCAAGAAAAATTGTAAAATTACAGCAAAACCACAAACAATTAATTCCGTTCGAACATTAACCACATTTATCATTTTTGTGTGAAAGCGCACTTATTTCAATGGGCCACTGGTATGAAGGAAGCACACGATTCACGCACTCTATTTCTAATTGACACACGCACACCAATTTCGACTTTGAATGGCGTTTTTTTCCACTCGCTCTTAACGGAACACTTAATTTACCGCCACCGACTCAATATGTGATTTGAACCGAAAATTATTAATTGCAATCAACTAGGATGATTGACAATAAGTGGGAATAGTCACACTTTTCACTTGGTGACGATTCGTTTTTAAATTCTATTTTATTGCTTTTTTAGATACTTGGAGTATTTTAGTCACTTTTTTTTAAATTTGTGTCTTAAGTTTCTTGTTTTCGCTCTGTTTCTATCTCATTTGCTCGGCGAGAACGTTGTCGAATTCCATACGACTGAATGTAACAATAGCAAAACAGCAACTGCTGTGCATGGCATACATCGTGTGTCGAGCGAAGCTATTGGAAAATAATTTCGGTGTAAACACTTGCTGTGCTGAGTACAACTGCTGAGTGTGGCGTATGTGGTGTATGTGGTGCGCGTATGTGTAAATACAAATACAGCGGCAATGTATCCCATTCACAGAGCGCAAGAGTGTGACAGAGAAGGAGAAACGGCGAACCAGAAGAATTGGGAATGAAATCGGTAACGCCGATAGAAAACTGGAAGAAAAACGAACAGCAAAAGACGGACTTCAATGGCTTATGCATGTTTGGGCACGTTCAAACACAAGCAACACAGGCCCATACATTAACTTCCCTTTTGCATGTGCAAAGTGTGTGCAGTACATGTTTCGTTTACACGTTCACAACTACATCGAAATGTATGCCGTAATTTAGTTTTTTCATCTAATTTCTGCCTTTGTCTACCAATCCCAAAGTGCTCCGTTCTTTTTCCGCTGTTTTTGTTCGTTCGATTTTACTAATTACAATCTAATGAGCATGAGACTGTGTGATCAATTTACGGACGAACGGCATCGTTTGAAGTAAATGCTCTCACACAGACACACACACATGGGGCCCGAGTGTAGGCATTTTGATAATAATTGTCTGATTGACGACTGAAATCATACGGATTCAATCAAACTGGAAATAACAGTGCAACGCTTTTAATAACACGTTTCGTTCAACTGTTAATTTATATATTTAGCCGCCTCTCTCTCTCTCTCTCTCACTCTCTCCGTTCTCTATTTTGTTCAATGCAATTGACTTAATCAACTGCATCATTTTCCTATCCTCAAATTTCCTTGTTCTCTCTATCACGAGCGCGGGCGCGCCGACCGCTTGCACAATGCACATACACAAAAATCAATGCGGATAAATTCGAAAATGCAATTTGCATTTCCGATCGATATTGATTTTGCTGCCGTTTTTATCTCTCTCTCTCTCTCTCTCTCTCTCTTTCTCTGTCTGTCTCTCTCTCGCTATTTCAAAATGCTTTAATTGTCCCGATTTCATGTTGTTTTAATAGACGATTTTTCGATTGCCAAACCATTTGATTTTGGCATCTTTTTTATCTGTTCTGTTTGCATTATCGCAAAATCTCCAACCATTAGTATCATATAAAAGCTAATATTCATTGACATTCGGTAAAATGTTGTCATTTTGTTGCTAACAGCAAATCGACGATATACTTAAATGGAGTTTCTCTATTCTATGTTTTTTGTGTGTTGTATTCGCTTCTGAAAGATTGATGGTACGAATGGGATTCGCATGTACTTGCCTGCAGAGAGATCACCGGTTTTGCCCATGTTGCTGTTGTTGCTGCTTCAAAAACCGGAAATCTAACGATTCGATTTGATGTGTGTCATAAGACAAATAGCATTCGCTTTAGATTTTTTTCTTTCGACAGAGCAAGCACATTATTTTTCACCACCAAATTCAAGCCGAGCGCACATGACCTTGAAACGAACTACACTCAGTTTCTTTTTTGCATCGCTTGCGTTCTCAATAACATGTAATTTCATCTGCCATTTTTTTTTTTCGTTGCTTCTACTTTTGTGTATTGTGCAAAGCAACATATGGCATCGTGAATTCATAATTGGTTTTCTTGAGAGTGTTTGCCTATTGAAATTTGTAATTTCACATGTGACAAGAGGGTTCAAACAATAAATCGTTGTATTTCGGTGACTTGATTGAACGAAGCGGCTTTAGAATCGAAACAATACAAAACAACGCATGAGCTAAATTTAAAATGTACAGTAAAAAAGAAACAGTGGAAAATTTTACGATCTCTTACATTTAGTTCGCATTTGGCAAAAGAAAGGGGAATGCGAAGAAGGCGAATGAAAAAAATATTTCTTGAAAAAACGATTTGCGGTCGCAAATATTTCGCAGAGTTTTTTTTTCTTCTCGAAAAAAAAAACGCTCACCTCACGTGATTCCATTCACTTTGGCGTTAAAATAGCTGGGCTATAATAAGCAACTGCTTATTTTGGTTGGCGATCGGGCGATGATGTAATTTTGCAATGTCGCGCGTTTTAAAATCGCTAGACGTGCGTTCGCGACACACAACGATGACTTAGAGAATTTCGAGCGTGTGTCTAAATCGTTAGACTCTAATGTTCTGACAACAAATCTGGCGAACAAGTGAGCGTGGCCACGTGATTTTTCTTCTTCACCGGAATTTACACGCTTGTTATCGGAGAATTCACGTAAATACATCATTTAATGATGTCAATTCATTTCGTGAAATGACTTGTTTGTCCGATATACGAGCAGCCATATCAACTGAATGTATCTAATATATCTTTCACTGCCAGACCGAGATAGGAGATGGTGTTAAATCGTCCATATTGTTTACGAATTAATTTTGTCGAGCAAATGTTGTTTTCCGCAATAATGACCAAACAAAAAAAGAAATGAAAATTCCTTCGAAACAGCACGTTGCTTGACATAATATTGGAAAACGAGACTTGATTAATGTCTGGCTGACCGATGAAGACGAATAAACACGTAGAATCGGCGAGCAGAACTCGGTATTTGCACAACAATCCATCAACTTTCATCTTCCTATATAAAATGTTCATTTTTTTTGGCATGTATCTACGAAACTTTATCCAGTTCGATATGATGTATCTTTGCGAGCAGGAAAAAAAATGTTCATGATATTCTGACTTGTTTCACAGCATCATGTTTGACCTGTTTGATCTTGACTTGAGTTGTGTGTGTATTTTCGAATTTTCCTCCCGCATCGTTAAGCGATTGTTTTTCCTTCTTCAGATTTTCTTTTTTTCATGTGTGCTTCGAATCGATCAATTTCTTTTCAATGGAAACGACATTTATTCTTAGAAATAAAAACAATTTTAACAACAAAACAAACTCATAATAATACAGTCATTAACATCATTTTTTTTTCTTCTTCACTGTTTGCCAGATCTTTATCCAATATATTACTTTTTATAGGCTTTGATTGGTTTTATTACTGTCAATCGATTTCGATTTGACTATACGTTAAATTAATTGAATTCAAAGCGGAAAACCAGCCAAGTTTTCGTCGTTGTTTGCTTTTTTTTCTTCTTGTTTATTTTTTTTTGCGTCGAGGGGTTCTTGAAAATCATACATACTGTATCTAAATTAGAATGAAATATCTTCATTTTTCATCTCTTCTCTATATTACTTGTCGTACTTACCAAGCAAGCCTTTAAAGACTTCCAAACGTTTCGTGCAATGACGTGTATTTTTGCTGTTTGCGGTTCCCGAATGTATATTATTAGATAGTTGCATCTATTGAATGCAAAATATCGTTGTGTTCGATCGTCTGTGTGTGTGTGTGTGTGTGTGTGTGTGTTGCAGTCAACTGGAATATTTTCTTATTGCTGCGACAGAATTTCGGTCGTATTCACACTCAAGCGGGATGATGATGATGATATTGCGTGCAAAATCACGATAATATTTACGCTGCTTGCCAAACGCTACAATTCTACAATAAACCGGCAGTTTGTTCTTCGATTCAATTGCCGTTGATGTCTACTTATTGTGCGGCTACAGAAGATATGTTGATGATAAATCAATCGCTGTAGGCGTACACCGAAAATCGATGTGAAATTGTATAAATTTAAAATTTTCCAATTTTCAGAAAAGCAATTTTTTTTCGTTCGTTGGATTTTCCGTCACACGCACAACAGCACGACGGAAAAATGTAGAAATCAAAAACGGACGTCCGTTCCAACGCCGTGGTTCGTCTTCTTGTTTTTATTTCTTCTTCTTCTTCTCGCTTCGATTGAGAATGATTGCGTGTGTGTGTCTGAGTGCTTTTAGTTTTCTCACACTTTGCGTTTTTCTCTGTGACTAAGAATTAGATAAGGGGTGTGTGTGAGCGTGTGTGTGTGTGTGTCTGTTGTCGTCTTAACAGTTATTTGCTTCCTTATTTTTCGACAGAAAAAATTGTTTTGTTGTTGCAAATTTATCCAAGTGGATGCATATCCCGATCTCTGCACATTTTTGGCGTATTTACTAGAGCTTGCTAGGCGTCGTTTAAAATATCAAAATCGTCGAATATTTGAACGAAAAATGAAATTATGGCTGTTTTAGGAAATGAGTTGACACTAGACGATAGTTTAACATGAATGTGAATTAACGCACGAAGAAATTAAATGATTCCTAGCTGGATCTTGGCTATTTTCTTTTCGGTGTGGTTTTTTTTTCGCACAGAATGTGCGCTTTACTACACCAACTACACCACTCGTTTCTCTTTGTATCGTCGGCGCTTCTTTCTCTCTATAAATGCCCGTTCATCGAAGTAGAAAATTTTAACATTTGCTTATTCGCTTTACTTTCGATTTATTTTCTCAATTTCGGCCTCACTTGTCGTATACTTGTTAATTGTCACAATTTTGAGTTGATCAAATTTTCTGATTCAAATAAATTGTACGCCAAATTCGATTTATTCACATTTGATTTCGTATTGCGTTTCAAATTACTTGTTCCAATTTCATATTGAGATGTGTGGATTCAACTTGTGATTGGATTGATATCAAGAGTTTTCTGTATCATTTGGCACTGATTGCTTATTCGAACCGGGTATTTATAAATATTTTGTTCAAAATTGTTCAACAACATCAAATGAGAGCTGAGATGACACTTTATTTATAGAAAATTGTTGGCTCTTTTATGTGTGTTTGTTGTCTCCTGTCGCTATTGTGTCGCTGTAATAATAATGATTCGTCCTTTTTCTTCCTATTTTGTATGTGTGTGTGTGTGTGTGTGTGTGTGACTTCTTTCGGTCTAAATGCTTTCACTGTTACGAAATGAATGGTATGCAAGCGTGAGTGTGTTGCGGTTTTGGTACACGCAAACACAAAAGAAATCACTATCAAGCGGCAGGCTTGATGATTGACGTTCCAAAAATAAACTACGCAGTTTGGATTTTCCACAGAAATTTCAGCCGAGTCTTTTTCGCAAATTTATATCTCGGTGCACACAACACATGTGCGAGTGTGATATCAACAACAAATCAATGCGAATTCGGTAAGAATATGGTGTACTATGGCTGCTGTCGTCGTCGTCTTTGCTGTCGCTTTTTTTTAGACGCAATACCGACCGTCGTACAAGTCGTCGTCGTAATAAACACAGCAGAGGAATGAACCTCTAATTCAATTCACTGTGACTGAAAGAGATGGGCAAAATGGCACGCAATCGCGGAAAATTCGGCTATGTGCTATTCCAATTCCTATTCCACCGAACTCATCAGACTGTGAGAAATAACACAACGAAAATTGTATTACGGTTGGTCTTTGCTGCTGCTGCTGCTGCTGCTGTTCCCGTTTGTAGTCGTCAAATTTTCCGGTTACGCATGTACTTCTTCTTCTTGTTTCGTAACCTCCATGCGTTCGATGCGTACCGTAATTTTGTTGATAATATTCATACACAACTGTATATAGTATAGATATTTCGCATCTATTCAAATCGATTTTGGCTGCTGCTGCTGCTGCTGTTGCCACTTCTGCTACGATTTGTTTAGGCGTCTCTAATGCGTTTCCCTCTGAATAAATTCTCCTCTTTAAATTTGTTGTTGCTGTTTTGCGTCGTGCAATGTGATGCGATGTATGTCCTTCAAGAAATTAGCTGCAAGTAAACAGAAACAAAATGATTAGTTTAAATGAGTTTTTTCCCAGTTCACAATGGAAATGTGTGTAATGTTGAAGTTCAATTGAATCGATAAACATTTTTACTTTTTTTTCGTTTCGTTCATTAATCTATTTATTCAATTGCCATTTATTTATTCATTCGTCATTGTGTGTGTGTGTGTGTGAATGTGTTTTGAAATGGAATCGAATTGTAATGAAATCGAATCGAAATCGAAACGCATAACAAAACAAAACAAACTCAACATGTCACGTATCCCAAACAAATTCAATTTTTATCATGTGATTACAATTGTTTTTTTTTCTGTTCTTTTTATTCTTGTTTATGTTTACTCATGCAGAATGTGACACTTGGGCAAAAAAGGGCTGTAATAATTACTATTTATTTAGTATTTCACAGACGAAATTCGCCATCTATTCGGCAGAGAGAGAGAGAATGCGAAAGAGAACAGTTATGACTGCTGTGTAATATGTTTGCACAAGTGTACGTTGCTAATTTTTTTATAATTTCGCGGCGACGTCGATTGCCACTGTTACTTCCACTGCTATTGTCAATAAAAGTCACGCAAATGCCCATCGAATCAAATGTGCTGTCATCGCTACTAATAATAATTAAAACGAAATATAACGCGAAGATTGGGTTAATTGGCATTGTACAACTGTGTGTATAGATGTTGCAATTCGTTGAAATTTACGTGTGTTTGCTTTTTATTTAGCACAATTTGCCCATTAATCGCCAAGAGTTAATCCAATTAAAAATTCGGTAATGTTGACAGCAGAAAAAAGCCATCGGATAATTTTCGAGAAGCCATTTCGACCGAAGCACGAAAAGACTTTTCTTTAAATTCAATTTACAGTCAAATAGTTAATTTCTTTTTCGGTATAACCACCGTCATTTGCAATTAATTAGCTTAGCTCCGAAAGAACGTATAAATTTGCTTTTTGACAGAGAAAAAAAAACAATCGTCGGTTTTTATTTGTTTTGCACACATTTGAATCGAGATTTAATTGTTGAAAGAACAACACACGCGAAAAAAAAGACGTCCAAACGTTGGCAAACAAATTAAGACCAACAAATAAATTCATTGAGCCAGTTCCAGAGATGAGAGAGCGAGAGTGAGCGAGAGAGAGAGAGAGAGAGAGAGAGAGCAAGAGAGTGAGCGAATATGACTGTGGCGAAAAAGGAACGCAGAAGAAATGCTTGTCATGTGACGCGCAATGCAAAATGTGGATTATGGAGGATTTATTGCAAGTTGCAACTGCACACAAATCAAGTCATGGACGTTCAACGAACCCTAAAGAATGAGCAGTGGTTTTTTTCTTCTTTCTTCCTCCCTTCCTCTCTTGCTCTGCTCTAGAGTACAGTGCATGCTTTCCCGATTGACGTCTGGTCGACGTCATTTGAACCGTAAGCACTTTCAAATGCATTTGCACCTTCTGCACCTTACACACTGCATTCGCTCGTTCGCTCGCTTGCCGTTTGCTTACTTGCTACCTCACCAGCAACTTTTCTACATTGAATACACAACACGATTTGTAATCTATGGCTAGCGCTTATTATGACTCTCGGTTACTTGCACCAATGTCACCTTATGTAACATTTCTTTTAACTAACCGAAATATTTTCGCTTTTCTTCTTCGTTTGAAACACATAAACACAGCGGAATTCGGAGCAAAACGGGAGAATATTCGAGATGTTGGATATGATATTTGGTACAGTGTTGAACGTTAAAGTTCATGGGAAATGGAAAACTCTCGAAATGTATAGCATTTTTAGTGACAAAAATAGAATTTGGTATCAAGTAAAATAACATTTTCCATCAATTATTCGGAATGACGGCAAAATGATGCATAGCCAACGGCTTTGAAAACAACAATAACAACACAGTCACAAACCTGTTTTTCATTAGCTATACACTATGTGATTGATGGGACAAAATATCAATTCGACGGATAAAAATTGCTACGAAACACGAATCGGTCATTTACAGGTGTTTTGTCTACCAATCTCACTGGCTCACAGCTGAAGCGATCAATTTCCACGTAACCAACGAAATATTGAGAGAAAATGAAAATCAACTGACAAAACTAACTCACTCACTAACTCACTCAGTCGTTCACCAGTAACGACTAGCAAAATAATTAATTGGAGAAATTCACAAGTTACCATCTGCTTATGTTGCTGCACCGTACTAAGGAACTCATAAAAAGTGAATCGAAACAACCGAAAATATTTATCCATCCCATCGCTTTTTGTGTTGCTCCCAAGCGGATAAAGTGCAATTCACATATGAATGTAAACACATACATAAATTCACACACACAAACACAGACAGACATGCACGCGTACAATGATCGATTGGATGGGGCCAACAACTCGGCACTCTTTCTATTATACACGAGAGACGAAAGAGTCGTGCTCCCCGAGAAAATGGTATGGGATCTGTGTGAGTGAGTGAGTGAAAGAGTGTGTGCGTACGAAATTGTGTGCTTGTGTGTTGGGGTGCGCTTTTCGAGCTGCCTCACGAAAATTCTTGTTGTGCTTGTATGGAATGAAAGATGAGTTCTGATAATGTTGTTTTTCTTCCTTTTGTCGTTGTTGTAAGGTTTCCAACACAGAACAAAATGGAAAATAAAGAGGAACATTTTTAGGCAAAACACTAAACATTTTTAGGAACATTGATGAATTGCGCATACGGCGGCAGCAGCAGCAGCGCCAGAAGCAGCGTTGTAAGCACACTTTTCCATCCATTTTATCTCATGGTGAGATGCGAACCGAACCAAACCGAACCGGACCGAACGATATGACCGAAAGAAGGGATGGAAGAAAAACAAGAACTTTTCATAAACAACATAAAAATTGTAAACAACATTAATCGATATGTTGATATACAAAAGCATGTTGAATGCATATGGTCCAACGGCAGAGGCAGAGGCAGCGGCAGCTATTCAGCTTTGAGTGTGGTCAGGGGAAAATGCTTACAAATTCGATTTTAATGCGCATCAAATGGAAGTGCTAGCCGTGTAAAACTAGCCATTCGCAGTGAGTATCAAACGCTTCATGCCGTGTACAATGATGATCCCCTGGGTAGTAAGATAAGGGCTTGTTGTGTCATATGTATTGGTAGCTTTTTTGTTTTTATTTTCCGTTGTTGATACTGCTGCTGCCGTCGCTTTTGTGCTTACAATTTTTTTTTACTTATTGTGTGGGGAGAAGAACGGTAGAGAGGAAAAAAAAGTCTACCCATGTTACGGCCTTCTGTTAAATCAATAGAATGAATCTTGCGCAATGCACGCGAACAAAACACAAACAAACGTAAGGTAGGTCTCTTTTTTTTAACAAGGATATCTTTAAGCTTTCCGTGAAGTCTAGCGAATTTCATGTATCTGATTTCTTTCCATGTACTCTCGCAATCGCTGTCTATTTTATTCGTCTTTCTCTCCTCTTCTCGCTATCCTCTCTCTCTATATCTTCCTTTCTTTCCTTTCCTTTCTCGTTTTGTCTCTCTCCCCTTTTCATTCTTTTTCGCTTTCTATTTTTGCCCTATCTCCCTATTCATCCATCCATCTTCTTATCTTTGTTTCTTCTTCTCCGTAATTTTTTTTGCCATCACTCATTCTCTTCGACTTGTAAATATCATCGCGTGCGACAATCCATCCAAAGAAGCAGTGTTTGCCACCAAGAAATCAAGCATCAAATCTCGAAAACAATTGCTACCCTACTTAGAACTGGTTTTGCCTCATTCAAATGAATTCAAAAGCATTCGATGCCATTCATACGATTCAACAAAATACTTTCGAGAGGGACATTCCATGGGATATTAACGAAAATACTCGATCGAAATGTTTGGTAAAACATTTAGAATGAATGGAATGAATGGAATGAATGAATTTTTTAGTTACATCAAGCAATTATGGTATACATTTGGTAAACATATCGAATGGAAAACCTTATGTATTTATGTTTGCCGTTAATTCATGGTCAATAATTGGTGTGTTATGGTCCGAAATTCATCCAGCCGCAAAGGTTTGAGCGAAAATAACAACATTTATTCATGGCTGACGATAACAAAAAAATACATGCTCAAAAGTGGTTCTTAGCAAAAATGGTGCATTTGGTTAAAATGATATGAAATGGTTGATTGGATTTTTGCCTATACGAACCGATTCCCAACGGAAATCGACGCACAAATTTATAATAATAGACAATAGCCATAATAGAAAGAGAAAATGGAAAAAAAAGCAAAGCATACGCTTGTAAGTAAGAGCATCCCACGCAAAATAGAAATCAGAAAAACATCAGAATCTTGTTATCAACACACAACGCACCAGTGAATGCGGGCGAAAGAGAGATGAGTTCTGGTGTATGATAAGTTCTCGGTTGGTGGATGGCTTTCATTGTACATGCGTGTTCGTACGTACAACGAGCGAGCGAGCGTACCGATTTGACAATGGAATGAATGGTTACTGTTGTTATTTTCTCGCAAAGAACAAAACGATGCGATTCCATTGAATTTGGCGCTATTAAAGGTGATATTCTTCTCTGCGTTTTCTCTTCTTTGCCTTCTCGTCCTACTCATACATAAAACAGAGAATGCTTTAATTCCTCTTAGCTTGTTAATACGTTTTGGATGGCAACGATTGTACAGCAGCAGCAGTAGTAAACCACACGTCGCAATGTAAGTGGGTGCAAATCGAAGAAACAATGCTTGAATGGTGGTTGCGACGGCAGTGGTGTTGTTGTTTGGTTGATGCTCTACACTAAATAAATTGAGTTTGGTCATGATTTCGTCTAATACCTATAATAACGGAACCAATCTCGTCCAATTGACCGTTCCCATTGTTTTCGGTTGAAGTTTTTTTTTATGTTCGCATTATCTTAAATGAATGGCTTGTCATTGGGCTATTATCGAATCGGTTTGACGCAATTTCGGTTATTTCTTATTGGGAAACCAATTATTCGACCGAAATCATTTCAAGCTATTTAGTGCGTAGTGAATGAGAATCAATTCCATTAAATCGAGCTACTGAGTGAGAGAGAGAGAGAGAGATGGAGAGAAAAAAATTGAGCCGCAAACGATGTCAAAACGTTTGTACTATCAACTGTCGCTCTATGTAAGTGAATCTGTGTTCTCAATGGAAATGTGCGGACATTAAGAAGCAAAAATTAAAAGAAGAAGACATTGAGTTAAAAAGCCAATGAACACATAAACACTTTCTATTTTTCTCTCTCTCTCTCTCCCTTGATCGCCCTGAGAAACCGCTATAATTCAATGACTTGCACCCGATCTAAATTTAAATTTCCATAATGATGCATCTAAACTAAGCTAAAAAAGAATATTTGCATATCGCAGCGGAGCACTCACCTCAAACAATCTTGAATGACAACAGCAAAGAAATAGAAAAACAACGAACGAGATTTTGCTATTTGACAATTCTATTTCTGGTCTCCGTATAATAATGCTTTAATCACTTGTTCCTCAAATGTTGTCAAGCGTTTGTGTGGTGTACAGTTTTTGCATCGATTAAAAATGTAAATCGAACGAAAAATTAAAAACTTCCGCGCACACTACTCCCTATCGGCTGATGTGTAAATTGTGGTATAATTTAAAACAATTCGTGACTCACTTTGAATCATTTAACGAAAATAATTAATCACTTTGTTTTTTTTTCTCTGCCTTTTTTTTAATGACACACAACGATAGCTATCGAGAGAGCTCTACAAGACTTTTCGTCATACACTGAAATGCATACGGAATTTTTTCTAATGCAAGTTCATGTCACACACATACGTCGCTTATATGTAGTACGAGTGAGATACAGCCAGTTGTGGAAAAGAAACAGGCAGAATAAGATATACACACATACTCCGTACTCTCCGTTCAATTGAATGAAAAAACATATATATTTATCTCTTTCTCGCTACATTGAGTCTAGCAAAAAAAAAAGCATACAAAATCTGACACACTAGCTTATTTCATTCGAAAATATCATTTTGATGCGAGTGTCGACGGTTAGATGGCGACACATACGCTAAACTTTATGTTCAAACAAAATCAGATGTTTTGTTTGTTTGTTTGTTGTTGTTGTTCACAGCGAATAATATCAAGAATAGATCGGAGGTGTAACATTTCCGTCTTCCGTGTTCAATTGCTCCACATAGCTTCCTCGTTGCCGGTAAATGGTAAATGCATAAAATCCACCGTAAGACATTCCCGAAAATAGAAGCAGTGCGATTAAAATTATCACAACTTCCCATGCCGTTGAAATAGGTAATACGTCTGGTTTAGGACATCGTTTTCCTTCATACCATATATTGCTGGTTCGATTGAACTGCGCGGGAAAAAAGTTGGTTTTAGATTCTTCAAAATTGAGAAAAAGAAAAGTTCAAATATTTTACCTCATCCACAGCCTCGAAACAAACTCCATTTGGTGAAACGGGTAACTTTTTGTAATTATCGTCTATTGCATTGAATGCTATCAAACAATCCTTACACACATCTCCACGATTCAAATCGCTCTTATTGAAACATGCATGTAATTCCACGGTGCTATTGTGAAATGCAATCATTTGTGCATTTAGCTGACAAATTGCAGTGACGTTACTTCCATTCGCCGCTATTTTATCCGGATCACATTGCTCAACGAAACAGCCTACAATGTAGGAAAATTAAACGTGATATCAACTGAACTGAATCATCTGAATTATATCTATTTTTATACTGTGTCACTTACTTGTGCACGCCGCATCGTTCCATAAGTTTCTTGAACTTTGATATCGTTGCCAAACGACATTCAATGTGTCTTGATTCATAAAGTGATCGCTGCATCGGGCACGAGGAACCTTTGGATCTGTGGCCAATGTCAAATTTTGAAATGCTTGCATATTTTCCACATACTTTGATATGCATGAACGACACACACGTACTGGCACTGCATTTTCCAGTAAACAATGATCCAGACGCAACAATGAGTCAGAATACTTATTTCGTAATGTTATACATTGATCTTTGGACGATTCCAGTATCTCCGTTCTGCGGGTGGCAAATGATGAAATATTGTGAAATATGTTGAAATTTTGAGAAATAATCGCCTTTTTTTGGGTGAGCGTATTATTTATAAACATTTTATGATATAAGCATGATATTGCTCATAAGAACATTGTGTTTTGATGAAAAAATTGGAAAACATTGTATTTTAAGTTAAAACAAATCTATGTGTGGATCTTAAAATCTGTTTTTGATTCTTAAATTTTCATCAAAAAATCAAAATATTCATATTTTTATTCAAATTCATACAAATAGAAAAAAACGAACCTAATTCACAACAAAACACATTTTCAAAAACAATTGTAGACCAAAAAAAAATATATTGAAGAATAAGTCCGACTTACGTTTGAATGGAATGCAAAATTGCGAACAAAATTAGTGAAAAAAACCAGTTGAAGAAGTCCATAATTATTTAAATGTTTATCCAAGTGTTAACAGCATCGTACTGATGACTGCAGTCAGTATGAAAGACTGTCGAGTCCGTGTACTCTGCAATATTATATTATATTTGCTTTATTTTATATATTGTTATCAATGAAGATGTCGAATTCATGGCGAAAGTGTATTGTTTAAAGAGTGTTAATCTATCTCATACTGTCTGTTGATATTTTTATGCACATTTCCAAGTGAGATTTGTCTGCTGAATAAGTTCAAAATGTAACATAATATTATGTTGTTTATTATAAACAAGCCATTACCATGTATATAACACCGCATGCATTTGAATCAGACAAACCGAAATTATTTATTAAATACTGCGCTCTATAATGATGATGAAACTTACGTTTTTTTTTTTCCATTGACCGTGTATTTATGCAGCGGCAAAGAATTCGGCGTAGTTTTGCCGGTTTGATAATGACATTGGTGCTAAGCTTTGTTATGATCATTTCGTCAGTGAATGAAATAGGTAAATTTTGCGGTTAACCTTCAAATGTTCGAAATTCGAAATTCGAAATTCGAAATTCGAAAAACTAACAATACACACATAAATTGCGCGCCATCGGTCCCGCAACAAAGTGACAAGTGACAGATAGACGACATAACCAAGCATGTTTAGCGCGTCTCTGTTGAACACCATTCACCGCACATCGTTCATTTGTTGAGCAAGTCAAACGTACGGATATTTCAATAATTTTGTGAACAAAGAATTCGTTTATTTGGTAGTTTAGAGAGAAAAAGAGACGAACGTGCATTCAATATGGTGGATACACTGGAATATTCGGATATTTTGTGCGAAAACAAGGGTCACATGGTAAGCAAATTACACAAAAACAATGCATTTTTTTCTGCCAATGGAAAGTTCCATTGCAAAATGACGTACAATTTGCTAATTTGTGTGTGTATTTCGTTGTCTCTTTGTGCATTTATTTTTGATGCTGTAGACCTCGGGCCGGCTCAAAATGACCGACCAGAATATCATTTTCAAAAACAGCAAAACCGGCAAAGTGGACCAACTCAATGGCAGCGACATTGAAATGGTGAACTTTCAGCGATTTGTCGATTCGATTGGTTTGCGTATGTTCACAAAGAACGGTTCGTTGCATCGATTCATTGGGTTCAAGTCGGGCGAAGAGAGTAAATTGGCGGAATTCTTCAAGAAGAACTATTCGAAAGATATGCTGGAAAAGGAATTATCGTTGCGCGGCTGGAATTGGGGTACCGTACACTTCAATGGTTCCGTGCTGAATTTTGATTGTGAAAAGAAAACCAGCTTCGAAATACCGTTGCAAAATGTGTCACAGTGTACGACGGGCAAGAATGAAGTGACATTGGAATTCCATCAGAACGATGACACACCGGTGAGTTTGGTCGAAATGCGTTTCCACATACCAACCACCGAATCGGCCGAAATCGATCCCATCGATGCATTCCATCAAAATGTCGTCAAACAAGCATCCGTTTTGTCGGTGTCTGGCGATGCGATTGCCATTTTCCGCGAACTACAATGTCTCACACCACGGTAAGTTACAATCGATTCTATTGTTTTTTTCTCAAATGCATTCAAAGTTGTGATTTTGTTTATGCTCTCAAGTTCAGACTCAGAAGAGAATCTTTTAATCACTTCTTTTCTTTTATTTTCTCCAATACGCAGTGGTCGTTACGACATCAAAATCTTCTCATCATTCTTTCAACTGCACGGTAAAACGTTTGACTACAAAATCCCCATGTCAACGGTACTGCGATTGTTTTTGTTGCCACACAAAGACAATCGTCAAATGTTCTTCATTCTGTCGCTGGATCCGCCAATTAAACAAGGTCAAACGCGTTATCATTACCTAGTGTTGCTGTTTGGAAATGAAGAAGACACCAGCATCGAACTACCATTCACAGAAGAAGAGCTGAAAACCAAGTACGAAGACAAATTGCCAAAGGAATTGTCTGGTCCCGTGTACGAAGTGCTTGGCAAGATCATGAAAGTATTGGTGAATCGAAAATTGACCGGGCCCGGATCATTCACCGGTCATTCGCAAACACCAGCCATTGGATGCTCATACAAAGCTACCGCTGGTTATCTGTATCCATTGGAACGTGGCTTCATTTATGTACACAAACCACCCATGCACATTCGCTTCGAAGAGATTGCCTCGGTCAATTTTGCACGTAGCGGCGGATCGACGCGTAGTTTTGATTTTGAGATCTTGCTTAAATCCAGTGCGACGCATACATTCAGCAGCATCGAAAAAGAAGAATACAACAAATTGTTCAATTACATCTCGAGCAAAAAGATTCCGATCAAGAACACCGGCAAAAATGTAAGTGTCAGTCAGAGACTGTGTACGGGTACGAAAGCGAGGGATTTTCATCATTGTGCGTAATTGAATGTTTGGAAGCATTTTAAAGTAGCTTCAACTTGGCACGCACAATGTACATTGATTTTCATGGCATTTTTCTAAAAAAAAAAAAAAAACTTTTTCATTGTGTTCAATGAACACTGTTCATAATTGATTGACTTCATTTTGTAAATAATCAATTTTACTATTCCAAAAACAGGAGAAAACTGCATCGTATGACAATGACTTTGGTGATTCGGAGAATGAAGCCGAACCGGATGCCTATTTGGCTCGTGTGAAGGCAGAAGGCAAAGCTCGTGACTCAGACGATGATGATGATGATGGTAGCAATTCAGATGAATCAACTGATGATGACTTTAATCCGGATGCTGGTAAATTATTCATTTTATCCGCTAAATTTATTTTTATTAAATCGCATTGAGTCAATTACCTATCAATTGAAATTCACTTCATTCGAAAAATAGAAAAAGTTGAAGATGTTGCCGATGAATATGACAGTAATGTTTCAACCACGGAATCATCGGAAGGTGAATCTGGTGATGATGCGACGCATGAGAAAAAGAAGAAAAAGAAAGAGAAAAAAGAGAAGAAAAAGGAACGCAAAGAAAAGTCCAGCACCTCATCATCGGTTAGTATAAACTTGATAAGAAAAAAAGTTCAATTTCATTTTCAATGAGACAATTTCATACTCACAAACACTCGGTATGTTACTTCACAGTCAAAATCAAAGAAAAAGAAGAACAAAGATGAAAATGCACCGAAACGAGCATCGACCGCGTTCATGTTGTGGCTGAACGAAACACGCGAGGAAATCAAACGCGAAAATCCGAATTTGAAGGTGACCGAAATCGCAAAGAGAGGTGGCGAAATGTGGCGTGAACTCAAGGATAAATCGGAATGGGAAGAGAAGGCGGCCAAAGACAAAGAACGTTACACCAATGAAATGAAGAATTACAAACCAGCAGGCGGTGGTGACGATTCAAGTGGCAAGAAACGCAAAAAGGAATCATCATCGCCAAAGAAAACGACCGCAACAACGATGGCCGGCGGCGGATTCAAGAGCAAGGAATACATCTCCGACGATGATAGTTCCAGCGGTTCTGATGATAATAAAAAGAAGAAGAAGAAAAAGGTTAGTTTTAAATGGAATTTCATTGGATTTTTACCCATTATAGATTAAAGAGAAAGAACTGTTATTGTGTTATTAAAAATAGAGTTCATGACAAATAAGTACAGAAACCATTTGATAGTTTCGAAAGCAAATTAATACCAATCCTTCTAATGATTTTGATTGAAATTTCCCCGTACAGAAGGCCGAAACCGAATCTGAAGAAGAAGAAGAAGAGGAAGAGGAAGGAAGCGGCAGTGCCAGTGATTAAACAAAAGCAAAAAAAACGAAAATCTATATCGAATCGACCTTTTGCAGTAAAACTCAACTACATTGTTCTAGATTAAGTTGACCAATGTTAAATGTTATAAGTGTACTTGTTAAGCAACCAAACAAGCAGGCGAATTAAGAGTGAAGAAATATGTATGTTCTTACTTTTTGTTTCTATTATAAGTTATTGTAAGTAATTTCAGTAAATCATCCAATTCCATTCATTTTTTCCCCTTCTACCGCTGTCTCTCTGGGACATAATGAATAAAACTTGAAAATACTTGAATAAAATAAAATATCATTTTCACATACAACTTAGAGTCTAGTATCAGAGTAATTTGTTTCTTTGTGAATCTAACGACAAGCGTTGTACGGGATCGTAGATGGGTCGGAGAGTCGAACAGATGTTCTATCAACAAACAGTTCAGTTATTGAGTTATGATTTGGTTCCAATTGACATGAATCGGTGCATAATCATTGTATCGCATGCGATATATAATGTGTTGATCCCAATAAGATCTGGAATGGTCCGTTTTTTTCTGCGCTATTATATTGAAATCTAACGTTGTTCACACGAGTGAATGTGTTCAAGAGTCGTCTGTGTTCAGAGTCTCATGTGTTTGAGAGAGAGAGAGAGAGAGAGAGAGAGAGAGAGAGAGAGAGAAACGCACCGAGAGAATAAGACGCTGGAAATGCATTTGCCGTGTGCTGGTATTCAACGAACGAGCGTACATTTGTTGTGACCACTCAATTGTTTTGTACTGCTTCACTCCGTTCTTGTCCATCGTTTCTGTTTTTTTTTTGCCTTGTCTTCTAACACAACAACAAACCCCAATGATTTAGTATTATGGGCAAATGCGAACGAACGAACGATCGACCAGAAAAAAAATGAGAAAAAGAAAGAAAAAAAAATTGTTCTGAACGTGTTCATATGTACGTAAAAACATGCACTGGAATTTGCTAGCAGCACCAACGCACACTCAAACCAATTCACGTTGTGATCTCGTCGCATGAAGAATGGTATGTGCATGATTTGGACGACAACGAGTGAGGCAACGACGACGACGATCACGATGACGATGAACGAAATGGAATGATATGGCTGAACACAACAACGCCACTGCACAAACATTCCAATAAATCGGAAAGAGAACAACAGCGATTAAAACCACACATACGTACGAAAATATAGCGTGTTGGCGATAAATAGCTTAGGAAAAAAAATTTCCTTCTTCTTTCCTTGATTCAAAAACCAATACCATTGCAGCTGTACCAGCAGCAACAGCGAAGAAAAAACAACATTCAGCTACTACTTCTGTTCCTGAAGACAACGCATCGACTCTTAACACTCATACACACACACATACTCATACCGATGTGCATACGCACACATGCATACATGCACACACACACACAACCATACACACAAACTGGCTGTGTGTAAACGTCTCACAGGTAAATGTCGTTTATTTCAGTTGAACAAGTGATCATTCGCATTAAATGTTTATTATATATATACCATTTAATTGCACAGCATTAAACAGTGGTGGTCGTTTGGTGCATTCCATTCCAACTTTCCCGAAATAAATCAACAAATCAGCAGTTCTGTGCATCAATTTTCTCAGAATACATGGACAAAAATTCGGTGTAGCAGAATATTCTGCTGGTTACTCTTCTTTTTTTTTCCTCTCTTCAACTTTTTCTTCGTTCTCTGCTCTCGATTCAGTGTGTGTTCTTCAAAAGGAAAATTGAAATAAAATTAAGCGATAAAAATTTGCCGAACAACAACAACAATAGCAGTAGCAGCAACAAAAGAAATCAACGACCCGATTGATAGTGTGTTAAATAAAGATCTAACTGCGACAGAAAAAAAGAGGTGTTGGAATTCGTTGACATAATATTAAATGAGACAAATCAAGTAGAATCTATTCAAGTCAATCAACAAGTGGATAAAAAGGCAAACATAAAAAAATGGCATTTTTATGCCCAGTTCGAATAGGTCGCAGTAAAAAGAAGAAATGTAAGTGGTTTTTCTTTCTTTTTTTCTTTCTTTTTTTCTTTCTCGCTCTCTCTCTCTCTTTCCCTCTCTTTCTATTTGAAGTGAATCGAGGAAAAGTTGCTAATTTCTGAGAAAATAAAAACAAAATGAATTCTTGCGTATGGTGTTAATTGAACAATTTCTTTTGTGGTTTTTTTTTTCTCCTTCGTTTTAAATCGAAGCGGTCAATGGTGAGATTGATAAGGATTTGACAAGATCAAACAGTGGCTTAGGATTGAATCATGGGCTCGGTCGCATCACTGGTTCGGCCAGCATTGAAACATTGGTACGTGTTGGCATTGAAAAAGAGCATGGATTAAGTCCCGATTCTAAGATGATTGTCTTACACGATTTCACACCTTGCGTTGATGACGAGCTGGAAGTGAAGCGCGGCCAAATCGTTAACATTCTCTATCGTGAAAATGATTGGGTTTATGTCATTGGCCAAGACACACGCCAAGAAGGATTCATACCGTACTCGTATTGTACACCGTACAACACACAACTGGCCGATTTGGCCATTAAGAAAAAATTACCCCGCAACGAACAAATGCTCTACTTTGGCAATGAAAATCCTAACGATAAAGGTAAAAAAGGTTGGAACATTCATTGAAATAAATTTTATTTAGACTAACAATTTGATCATTCCGTTTTTGATCGCCATTTTTCACCTTTGTTCAACAGGTGATTCCAATGCAAATCCAAACGATAATAATAATGATACGAACAACAATAACGAGGGAAATAGCAATAACAATGAGGTAAACTAATAGCAATCACATTTGCTTGGAACATAATTTTTTTTTGATTTTATTAATGAATTTCTGGCTCTAATTTCACAGCATAACAATGGAAATAAAATGAACAACACGACTTCGGTTGAAAATTCAGAGGTTTGTCAAAATTGGACTTTTTCTTTTTTTTTCTTCGAACATTTCTTTCTATATCTTTCTGCTTTTTTTTTATTATGATTGAAATCAAAATTCGGGAAAAAATTAAATGCAATTGATTATGGATTAATTTTAGCACAACAATGGAAATAAGACGAATAATCCACCATCCGCATCTGATATAATTGACCTGTCAACAGCTGAGATTCTCGATGACAACACAATGTCCGGTTTGATTGGGCTGCAAAATTCCATGCTAAAACATTCGCAGGCTAGTTTAAGTTCCGATCAAGACTACATTCCGTTTGCAAAAGATATTTGCGGTCGATATATCGTGCTTTACACATTCATTGCCCGCGATGAAAACGATGTGTCGGTTGAACGAGGGGAATTCGTTACGGGTATGTTTCGTTGTACATTTTTTTTGTTGAATTTTTTTTTTAATTTTCTATTTTTCATTCGGCTTCTACGGTCTGATTTTTTACGGAATCTATTTCCTTTCTCCTGTTTTTTTTTGTTTACCATTTTTTTAAAACATGCCCCAATGGTTTTTTCCAACACAAAGTGAATAACAACACCTGGGAGAAATTATTTCATATCAACAATAAATTTGATCATCGATTTTTTGTTTTAATTCTGTGATTTTTTATGAAAATTTAAATTTTAAATTCAAAATAATAAAATAAAAACTGGTCAATTCTGCATCGTTTTAGTTCTAAACCGTGAGGATCCAGAATGGTTTTGGATTGTGCGTAGCGATGGTCAAGAGGGATTCATTCCATCTGGATTTGTGTATCCAGCGGATAATATTTTGCAGAATAGCACCAAACCATCGGTACAAAATGCATACAATGCAGCCATGAATCAATTGAATGATGCACGTCAATTGCAAAATCAAACATCGGACGCAATCGTCACCAATGAGACAACGAATACGTGCCAAACGCACAATATGCAAATGGGGCCAGCCATCGGTCATGTGAACAATGGCATGAGTGATCAAGCAATGATCAATAATGCAGCCAACAATAATTCCAGCAATACCAATAACCAAGTGCAAGTTTCACAGCAACAACAGCAACTACAACAGCAACAGCAGCAGCAGCAGCAGCAATCCATCATCGGTGGATCAGAAGAGTTACGTTATCATGGAACTGAATTAGTTATGTTGTACGATTACAAGGTAAGAAGAAAAAAATTATTGAAAACGAAAACATTTCGATATATAAATAAAATTCGCGATTTTGTTTTATCTCTCCCCCGCTCTCTTTCTCCCGCTAGGCTCAAGCACCTGATGATCTGTCAGTGCGACGTGGTGATTGGATCTATGCCGATTTAAATAATCAAACCGTTGATGGTTGGCTCTGGGCCTATGCACCGAAAACCCGAAAATACGGCTTTATTCCAAAAGCATATGCACGCACTCCTGCTATGACTAGTCTCTAAATAATGAGTCTTGTGTGTACAAAACAAAATCCGAGTCCAACGAAAAAGAACTACAGTGCTATAAATAAACGGCAAACTAGTTTAACTTAGACATAATCTCTTCATTTTGCTTTCTCGCCGGATTTTCTTTTTAAGTCGTTTAGATGATGAAGAAGAAGTAGGAAAAAAAAAATTACCGATGCAATTTGGTCCGAATTTGGAACGAGACTAAAAAATAACTCGCCAATAAAACAATTATGCCTTTTTGAACGTAGATTTATAAAACCAAAAAACAATTGCTAATATTTTCTATTTTAATATCGTATTTAAATTAATTTTTTATATATAAAAGATTTTTTTTGTTTTTTTTTTTTTGTATCGATGGATTGAGAAGAGCGTGGCTTTTTCCAGTGAATTTTTCTCTATTTAGAGCGGTCTGCATTTAGATATTTGACATAAAGTCAATCTTATTATTATTATCGGAAACACATTAGTTATCTGTAATTTATGGAATAATTTTATTAAATGTAAACATTAATTTTTTTTTATTTTTGAAAACATCCTGGTTTTATTTGATTTATCCCTTGAATACTAAAAAATTAACATCCATACACAAATGGGTTTTGTTTTGTTTGTTTTTTTCTTAGTAGATCTTCCATTTCTTTTTGGTTGGTTCGATCTTTTTGGTATCTTCCACTATCTTCAATTGCTCGTACTGTTGTCGGACCTCGTCAATTTGCTGTTTGGAAATCGTTATATCGACTTTCAGTGCAATCTGTTCGTTTCGAATAAATTTTAAATTCTTCAATTTTTGCGCCAAGAATGGCAACTGTTGTGATTCCAATTCTTTTCGATAAGCGTCCAATTTTTGTTTTCGTACATCTTCGCAATAGGTTCTGGTCAATTGACGCAAACCCTCTTTTCTTGCAACCATAATTTCATCTTCCTTTTGTGGCTTTGGCTTAAATTCCAAATCCAATCGTTCCAGCAGCCATTCGTACTGTTTATAGTCGGTTTCACGTAGATTTTTAATCAATTGAATACGTGCCTGAATCAATCTATACGTTTCCAGTTTGTAAAAGTGTCGCTTTCGACTGTGCACAATACCGTTTTCTATTGCGTGTTGCATGAATCGAATGCTGCCGGTCAGTTGAGCAACTAGAAACAAAATTATTTTAGTTCAAGTTGATTGAAAAATCAAAACTGTCCACTTCAAAATCAATTTTGTGTATATTTTTCTTCTCAGTTTCCGTTACTTACTCATGGCCACAGGCGATGTATAGTCATAGCGATGTGATCGTACCGAGTCCATCAAAGATTTCTCATAAAACTCTTTGCTGTATTCCATTGGATGCCATCCAAGGGTGAATTGATTTCGTACATTTGGCTCGGCACTAAAAGCAAAAGACGAAAATGTCAATTTGTGATTCTTGTGAATAATTCTCTTCTTTTCTTCCTCTTAACTTACTTTTCTAATTCGGTGGCATATTGATATTGTAGGCAAACATTCGATGGATCTGGTTGAACGTAAGTGCCAATATCGCCACTTCTCACACGACTATAGCGTGAAACTCGTTCGGGTCGTTCCCATTTCACTTTGAGATCGACCACTTTGGTGCGTGCTAATATTGCTGGATTTATAACAATATTTCGGGTCGTATTGAACGATTGTTTTGCAACAAAATTGAACATTCTATTTTATTTTTGTTATTTATAAAAAAGAAAACCAAGGCCAAAAACAGAAGTACGAGCTAATCAACCGATTGACAACTTGTGTAGTGGGCTCCGAATTTTGATACCTAACCTCAATGCGTCAAATCAACGCATTTAGTTCATTCGAAAGACGTTGATGGGCGTGCAAATCGCACAGCCACACCATACACACAAATGCTGCTGTAGTTCATTTGACAGTTCATTTGAAACAAAAGCCGCAGCGAGCAAAAAAAAGCTGGTAAACAAATCTTGTGGAGGCTGTGCGTGTGTCAAATCAAATCAAATCGCTGAAAATTGTCGCCAAATGGTGAATATGGTCATGGATTATGCAAATATAATCGACAATGGGGCGTACTCAATCAAAATCGGCACATCCGTTGAAAATGATCCAAAGTAAACAAAGTGAAAGAAAAAAATGTGGAAATCAGTGATATTTTTTCTAACTCATCCCAGTTTCGGCATACGACTAATGGATTTGTTTGTCTCCTCGTTTTTTTTTTCAGAACCATTCCGAATTGTATAATGAAAGCAAAGTCAGAGAGACGGCGTCCGTTTATTGGTGATCAAATTGAAGAGTGTCGAGATGCGTCTGGATTATTTTATATTTTGTGTTTTCAAAGAGGCTACTTGGTTAACTGGGATGTTCAGGTATGTTTTTCATTTGTTTCGTTTTGAATGAATATCGTCATTTCAATGGGCAAAACTTGTTCCAATCTTTAGAAAACCGTTTGGGACTATGCGTTTAGTAAAAGTTGTGCGTCTGTTGATTTCTCCCGGCCGACCATCATAACCGAGCCACAATTCAATTTCACATCCATTCAAGAGGCGATGACGGAAATTTTCTTCGAAGAATTCGAATGCGAAACATTGCTACGAACAACCGCCGCCGATTTGGCCTATGAAAATTATGCGGCAACAAAAGAGCTGCAAGCACCACATTGTTGTATTATCATTGATATGGGCTACAGTTTTACACACATCATACCGTTTGTGAAGGGTGAACGGGTTAAACAGGCCATCCGGCGTATCGATGTCGGTGGCAAAGTGCTAACAAACCATTTGAAGGAGATTATCTCGTATCGCCAGTTGAATGTTATGGACGAATCGTATGTTATCAATCAAGTGAAAGAGGATTCATGCTATGTATCACAGAATTTCTACGCTGACATGGAAGTGGCGAAGAAACGTTTCCCCGATAATAGCATAGTGCGTGAATATGTGCTGCCCGATTTTACATCAATTAAACGAGGATTTTTGCGCGAACCGGTTGCCGGCAAACCGGCCGATGATCAACAAACGTTGCGATTAACAAATGAACGATTCACAATACCCGAACTACTCTTTCATCCATCCGATGTTGGGATACGACAAATGGGCTTGTCTGAAGCGATATTCGATGCCTGCAAATCGTGCCCTGAAAAAGCATTAGGTCATCTACTGCCTAATATTGTGTGCATCGGCGGCTGTGCCATGTTTCCTGGCATGGCCGAACGACTGAAGAAAGACGTACGTGCCCTCGCTCCAGATTACATTGACGTTGCGGTTACTGTACCCAAAAAGTAAGCCAACCAAATTCAGTTTGATCGATTTGTTTTTGGTTAACTGTGTTGAAACGATTTGATTTTAGTTTAGTTCCAAACTTTTTGCAAAAGTCAAACTCAAAACATATTTTCCAACCAATTCACGTCGCTTATTTTTGGCTGAAATTCTTTTCTTCATTTACATGAACATTTTTCTTTTTCAGTCCAATTTCATATGCATGGCATGGCGGAAAAATACTCAGTCAACAGGAAAACTTTTTGGCCAAATGCATGACACGCGAACAATACGAAGAGGAAGGAGTGAGAGGTGTTACTGAGAAATTTGCGATTTAAGTGTTATACCGATAAATACGAGCTAGAGATTTTTTTAAGCAACAAAGAAGCAAGAAAACAAATAAACAGAGACAAAAACAGAAGAAAAAAAAACAGTTTATCATCATGACAAAGTGAGGCTCGGTTCGCTGATTCAACTGGCGCCATTCAAACCGAGAAGTGGAAAATATCAAACTTACTATCAATTTAATTTTATGTCAAATGCTCCATTTTTAAAAAAATAATAAGAAGAAATAGAAGAAACTCACACAATAAAACCGATTGAAATTGATTTGAAGTGAACGTATTTTTTTATCGTTTTTTTTTCTCTTCTCAAGGGAAAGAAATAGGAGCTGTATTTTTTTAAACAAAAAAAAAGAGCGGTTGTTAATCGCATGATCAATCCATATTTGAATGAATGCCCATAGTTGATTTAAAAGTAAGTGAAAAACTGTAGCAGTAACAAAAACAACGATAAAAAAAACAGTCGGACTTAGTACAAAATCCGGCTAATGTTAACTCATATGGTATGCGCGCCTCTTGGCATTCCTTCCATTCATTCAAACTTTGGGTTGCTTTGCTTGTCTGCCTGCTATGCTGCCTGCTATGCTGCCTATGGATGTGTGTAAATTGTGACAAGCTGAACAGGAGAAAAAAACAAAAACTCCGAACCAAATACATAAATGAGAGCTTCATACCATATACACACATCTATCTCGTACGCTTAATTTATATCGTGTGTCACAGTATGCATGATTTGGTTGGTGCTGTTGTTGTTGTTGTTGTTTTTCCTAATAAATTCTGTTCCTTTCTGTTTCTTTTTATCTCTCTGTGGCATATTCGGTAATGTGTCAGTTCAAGTGATTTGAATGTGGTTGTTTGTCGAACCGTCGTCTCTCACACGCTCTTGCACGTCTTTGCAGTCCCAGACATAAACAATACTACACATCGTAGTGTACACAGAGTACTCTTGGGCAATACAAACAGCCAGTGCAAAAGAGAACGGGCGAAGAGGAGAGCGAGAGCAAGACAACCGATGCGTCTTTGTGTGTATGTGGGCAAATAGTTGTTGAATTTGATTGTGCATTCTATTGAACATCAGCAATAGCAGAAGCGGCAGCGATTGTGTGCGTGCGATACATGTGTTCGTGTGTATGTTTCTGCTGCTGCCTGTGAGTAATGTGTGATGTTTTTGTCCGCGCCAATACCATATAATATTGTTGTTTATTTTTTTGTGTATTCAGTTGAGTTTGTGATTTGAGATGTGACTAAACTCGATTCGGGAGAACGAAAGAACGAAGAGAATAAAAAAAAATCAACAAAACGCCACCACAACAACGACGACGACGATATATACGACGACAAGAACACACGACACACAAAATACCACGAAACGAAATAACACGCATAGCAAACGCAAAAGAAACAAGAAATAAACTATATCTATATAGATTTTGGTTTTTTTTTTTTAAATAAAAAATACGAGAAAAAAAGGAGAGAAACAATCTCACAACACACCACAAGCAAGAGTGCAACCAGTGAAGGAGAGAAAGAAGAGTCAAAGCCAATGAAAACGCATTCATATATTATGAGATCCTTTTGGAATTTTTATTGTGTGTTATTACATTCTTATTAACCGATAATAATTCAGTGTAACAACAGAATAACAACCGAATCAGTTCGTTTTTTGTTTTATTTTCGATTTTTTTTCTTTTCAAATCGTCAACACCACAAAATTATTATTATTATTTTAAAAACACACACAGCAAAATATGATACATTCGCACGCGCCGGCCAAGAACAATTTCAACCAAATAACAACAACAACAACAACAAAATTCCATCGAATACGAAACAATGCTTGCTGGCTGGCAGCAGTGAGTCGAGATTGAAAATATCGAAACCGAACACACTGTGAATGTGAATAATTAAAGGAATTTCGATTCGAGTGTAAAAGTCTCGAATTTCGATTCGAGTGTACCAATTTGCTCGTTTAATTTCTTTTTCGCAAATGATTTCCTTGCGTTAAAATGTGTTTTTACTATTTTTAAGCCAACAGATCATTAATGTTTTTGTGCAGTTTAAATGTTGAGTTTTATAATGCAAACGATTTGATGTCTTTGTATGTGTGTATGTGCGTGCGCGATCACTTACCATTGAGGATTAGTTTGTGGTCATTTGGCTGTGTATAGATTAGCAAAAAGAAAAAGAAAAAGAAGAAGAGAACCAACAATTGCACAAAACCATAGATAACAATGAAATGAAATGAAATGCACTTCGGTTTTCGGGAATGGAGTATCATTCAGACAGTGTTTAGTGTATTATCGTTTTTTTTCTTCTCAATAAATAGCAGTGATAAATCAAGTTTTTGTGTGTGTAAGTGCAACCGATTGGAAATTGATATAGTTGATTTTCGAATACACCGCATTTTGATCACCATACCACCGTTGCCGCCGCCGCAGCCGCCGCCGATGTGGACGGGCTGAAGTGTTGTTTGTGCCCAGAAAGACAGCGAACAGAGTGTCCGAAACCATTCTTTGATGTGGATTGGTGTGAACGCATCCACGTTCATCGTGTCATCGCCTATATTCGCCTCAGCTAATGTGTTTAATTGGTATGCAGATTTTATAACGTTGAGTGTACTATTTTATACGTAAATGCACGCATCATCGACAGTGGGCTGATGTGCCGTCGTGTATATCGTTTCGATATATGCACAAGATTATTTTCATTTTCGTTTCATTTCAATTTGTTTTTCTCTTTCTGTGCTCAATTCTTCCTCGGTTTGAGTGTGTAGTTTTGTGTGTGCTTTTCTGTATTTGAACTGAAGTGAGAGTTCTTTGTTGTTGTTTTTTTTGTAGAAAAAGGAAATACCAAATCATACTCATATATGCATGTGTTGATTGAGAGAGAGAAAGAGAGATAGAGAGAGTGAGGAAGAAAGAGAGTGTGTGGTGTCATTCGCGTGTTCTGTGGGTGCAATAGCACATATTCACATATACACACAAATGCGGCGACAACAAACGATATATAAATATTTCATTATATTCGCCTTCTGATTCAATAAAGTCGAAACACACAACAACCAAAAAATTATATGTATTTATTATGAATATGAAATACGACGCAAGCATAAGACAAAAAAAACCGATCCAAAGGAATTGGTTATCAAATCCCCAAGATCAGTGGATCGTAAAAGGTATTGGTGCATTTTCAGGCAATGCTTTTAGCATTTCGAATCGAGTTGTCTTCTTCTCCTTCTTCTTCGTCTTGAGATGTATTCCCATGCTTACGACGATGATTCGAGAGATGAGAAAACAACAACAAACAAACAAAACTAATAAGAGTTGCCCGAATTTATTCATCTAGCAAAAGGAATAAGACGGAATAAATATCAAAACTTACATCGCTAATTTGTACACAATAAAGCAAATGGCACGATTCATCTCTCTGTTGCCTGTTGGTTTTTTTTTGTTGTTCAGTTTCGTTAATTCTCATTTCGTTGAATCACTGTTTCTACAATTACAGCATGATCACATCATTCGACCATGCTGATCATAACTCTATATAAAGTGTGATAAAAAAGTTGCGCTAGTCATAAAGTAACTGGAAACAATTGTTTTTTTTCTCTCCATATTTTATTCAAATAACAAAGAAAAAAACACTATCGATATGCGCCTTTTAAATAGAAAATGTGAAACGATTGAGTTGTGGAAGAAAGAGAAGGAGCAAGAGATAGAGAGAGGAAGAGAGAGAGAGAGAGAGAGAGAGAGAGAGAGAGAGAGAGAGAGAGAGAGAGAGAGAAGAAACCCAAAGATGGACCGTGTCAATTGATATTGGCCCGATAAAAATACGACGTTTACCGCATTCATGCAGATTAGACACATATTTCCCAAAACAAATCATTCGCACGAAAACAAACACATGCCAAGTATTGTTTTCTGCTTGCTTTGCGTGAAACGTCAAGATATTTCGCGAATGGAAAAGAAGCAACGAAAAACAAAAATATAAATTGGCTATTTTCACCACAACTGCTTTGCGTTTCTAAAATACCCATTATACCGAGAGTGTGTGAGTGTTTTTTATTATCGTGGAATCAAATCTACTATAATAATTGCTATAGTGCAATCTTTACGTTGAAGTGAAGCGAATTGTAATTCAATGTTCCAGCGTATTATATCTCTGTTCGTGTAAAAAACTGCTCAAGGTGACTCAAATATATATATATAAAAAAAAAGGTGAAACAAACAAGTGAAAAAAAAAGATTGAGTAAAATTGCCCCCGTCTAGTTGTAATCACGGCCAAATTAAAATATATATATATATATAAAGTTTGTTATTCCTGCAGCACCGCGACTACAAACAGCAGAAAAAACACAATTTTGCTTCGTGTTTGTACCTTTCTAATGAACGATTCACTCCGGTTTTTTTCGCGTCATTCCAAAATTCATGCAATTTTTTAGTATTATTACCTGTTTTATTTTAATTTCTGTGTTTTTTTTTTGCACATGCTCACACACAATAGACATACACATATGACGCGAAACCTCAGCGCATGTTGTGTGTGTGATCTAAGAAAGTGCAAAGTTTGGTTTGTTAAAAAGCGCCGAACGAAAGTGACAACAATTATGAAATGGTTGTGTACGTGCTGTTTATTTGGTTATTTTCGTTTCATGTGACGAGGGGACGAAGATCGACAAGCGGAACATGGCAATCATGTAATGACATGTTGTGAATGGCATGAATAATGGCATCTCTTAAGATGCACATTCAATGACATTTGTATGGATTTCAAGAAGATCACTCGGTTCCGTTGTATGCTATGTCTGTGTGTGTGTGTGTGTGTGTGTGTGTGCATATCTCTGTTTGTACTTTGTCATGTGCTCTACACTATGCTCTCTTTTGTCAAACTTCAAATTCCGTTGCTGAAACCAAAGCCAAATACAAAGTCACAAGTTATGGGCGTTCGAACATAGTGCGCTGCTTTCAAAATTCATATATCGTCGAATCAGTGATTTAAAATTCCAAATGCATAAACAAATGAAAAAAACGATGCCAAACGCGACTAGAGAACATGCGTATACATAAGAGATTTTCAACAACAGCAACAGCAGCAACACTCTAGCATCTGATCGATTGTAAAACTGGCATGCAGTTCTGAGAGAGTTCTGGTTTTTTTTCCTCTCTACATATTATGCATATGCAAATCAGTCTTGTTGTGTTGCATACTCTAATCCACTTATCGTTCGAAACACTGCACGTTAACAAGCATTTAATTGTGTTGATATGTAAATGGAAAGGAAATCTATGTGAAGAAATCTGTCAATTGATGCATATCACCAAATTCATAGACTAGTGTATTAAATGAGTGTGCGTTCGTGTTGCGGCTGGATTGTTAGTTTCGTTGCAGTTTAGCAGCTCGTTTTCAAGCGCATGATCATCAGGCTCGCTTTCTCCTAGGGTTTTTTTTTCTTCTTTTTTCGTTGTCACCAAAGTTTTTGACCAAAAATGCTTAGATTGTCATTAAGATTGGATTTCGATGTGTTTCAATCTCGTTTAAATCGTATGCGGTATTCAATGTTTTCTTTGTTTGCCCCATTCAAATGGAAATGCGTTTGAAAAGTCCAAAAATGGACCGCGAGCGGCCCCATAACAAATAGAATGTAATTTATTTTCTGAGGCTATCAAAATATTTTTTTTCTCTTATTTTCTCTATCTCTTCCTCTTCAAATCCGATGCGAACGAACCGTGCATTGCATTTTCTTGTCGGTGTAAATAACACTTTTCCATCGGTTGATTGTTTGCTTTCGCTGCTTACCGTTTTGGACTTTGAAAGTTGTGTGTGTGTGTGTGTGTGTGTGTGTGTGTGTGTGGACCCGAGAGTGATTTAATATTCTCGTTTGTTATTTATTTCGTTTTTGAAGAATTTTTTTTCTTTTAGTTTTTCAACGCAGAAAAAGTTTCATGCGATTTGTTTCTATTTGTACATATGGTCTACAGACAGTCTGGGTGCAAGTCTCTCAAAATGAACGAACATAGCGTTGATATGTACATTTTCGCACAAACAGATGACCACCATCGACAACATGTGATCAGGTTAATGCAATTTAAATGAAGTTCTCACAAATATTGAACAAAAGACAGCTCAATTGTGTACTGTTGCTTTTTGTTGTTATATTTTTCTCTCCTTTCAAATCTTTTCGCATTGATTGTTCTCCTTATCATGGACGGCGAACCGTCGTTGACGACGTCTTAGTTTTTGTTGAAGAAATACAGAAGAAAAAAAAACACAACAAATTGTTCGCTTTTCTTTTCAAACATGTTCGACACATGATCCGTATCATTTTACGTGATGTGTGTCATGACTTTAAGCATCTATTGCATATCTCCAACTGTGGTGTGTTTCTGCTGCTGCTGCTGTTTCTTCTTCTTCGACTTTTTATTTTTCGTTTGCACATAGTCTCTCACAATCGCATACGGTTTTTGTTTGAGCGAAACGGAAAAAGCTGCTGCGAGAAGCGCACACATGCTGCCCGCGTCAATAATGCCTTTGCTGCTGTTGCTGCTGTTAGGCTGACGAATGGACATGAGTCGGTTTTTATACACAGTTGTGTATTTGAAGAGATATTTAAAATATGGAATATCATGTGTCCGTTGTTCTCACTCCGTACACTCTCTCATAAAGCATTCTCTCTTCTCCTCGTCATCGCACTCGTTGTCATCATGCAAATGCAATAAATTACGCATAAGTCCAAATGAATGTTGCCACCGCCGCGCAAATAACGCAAATACGTACAAATTCCGTTTCGTGTTCTCTCTCTCTCTCTCGATCGCCATTTATGTACGAAACCGATTGCCGTTTCGAACTTTCGGTCGAATAAATTGTATATGATTTGCGTGTTATGTTGCTTCGACGCGTATATTTGGTTGCCATTACATCCACCTATTTTTCAACTCTATTTCTTCTATCTCTCTCTCTCTCTCTTGGCTAGCGTACAATTAGACCCATTTCAACGATAAAGTTTATAGTTCAATGCAATGAGGCTAGGTTATGGTGTGGTTTGCTGTGCTGTGCTGTGCTCGCTTAGTTGTGCTCAATTTCACCCGAAACCAAAAATGAATTCCGATCCAATACACACAAGCACCCGACGAGTACAAGTCAATGAGTGTGTACGCAAATTAAGGCAAATCATTTGCCGGCAAACGCATTATTACTAGTTAAAGATATAATAAGTCTTTCTATTCTAATCGAGAGCTATATATTCATCTTATAATCCCTGTGTTATGAGTCATGCAAACCGTGCTCACGCTCTTCTTCTCACTCTCTCACTCTTCGACTACGACTTCGATCGATTCATTAAAAGGCAATGACTGTGCACACGCTTCAAAGTGGGAATGTTCATTTGATATTTAGCTATCATCATTATTTTATTGATGAATCGCGATGGAAACATCGACAAAAATAGCGAATAAAAAGAAGCAACATTAAACGAATTGATATGGAAAAAGCGAGTTATAGAAATGATTATGAACGACTTCCATTGACCGAACTCTCTCTATCAAATTCACAAGAACTAGAAAATACGCTTTGGTTTTTTTTCGCTTCATTCCGCCGGCCAGTGCTCGAACTCAAATAAGGAGTGTATGTGCGCGCGCGCTCGAGAAAAATGAAAACAAAGTAAAGAGAAAAAAAAATCCACACCATTTCTCAAAAACAATCAGGCGATTCTATACAGTGCCGTAGCCAGAGCGCAATATTCATTAATTCAAATGGCATTTTCTCTTTATTCATCGCTATTTTCATTTGACGTGTTTATTTTGCCATTTATATAATATTTATACACAAAAAAGAAGCGGAACAGAAACAAAAAACTGCGCACTACATCAATTCAAATTGGATAACGGATATTGCAATCAATTTGCTCATTGCAAATTGGTGCTTATCATTTTCAATATAAACATGTTTTGTTTGTGTGTCTGGTCTCGTCTGCTCATCATAATTTGTGTTGTTTTTTTCGGCATTTATTTACTGATTTGAGTGTTGACGACTGTCACCACCCGGTACGGGTGTTGGTGTATTTTACCAAAATAGTGCAGAGGCGAATCGATTGACCAGAAAACGTTTCAAAGTTCTTGTCTTCGTTAAGGAAGATACGTGTTTCTCTGTCGGTATTCAAGAGATATGTCTCTCTTGTATTCGACAAGTTTAAAATTCGTGTTCATGACCGTAGATGCGTTTTTGTGTGTAGTGAATATTTCTTTGCCATTGTTGTGCAGTAGTCCAAAAATAGAGGAAAAAACTAATAAATCGACAACCATTTAAAAACTCGCACCAAAGTTAGTTATGTGACGCGCCTTTTTTCATTCTCTCTCTTTCTCGCTCGCTCTTTCACTCTATTGTTACACATATATAATAAAATGTGATACTGAAATCGAATCCATTTCCCGTTCATTGGGCTGAACTGGTGATCGAGTTTAATTTGTACGCATCGATACAAAGAACATGTGGGTTACTTCATAAAGACAACGCATAGAATGCTGTTGCTGCAGCAACAGCAACAGCAACAGCAACAGCAGCAGCATCAACAACAACAAGCGATAACAATAAATTGAAATGCATATGTTGCTTTGGGTCGTTGAATGCTTGTCCTTTCCGTATGCACTCTTTCAATACATTGTATGCACATTCGAACGAAACCGTTCACAACATCCATCCAGCAGAAATGAACTGGAATTGTATGTACAGCCAAGAAATTGTATGCATCCATGTCGTCGTACATACCAGCATAGTTTGCGCGAAGATATTCTTGGTTTTGTCTCATTCACCCACAAATTATATTCCAACTTCATTCATCCATCGCCATCGTTCGCTCTCTCTCCTTCTCCCTCTCTCTCTTTCTCTCTCTCTCTCTCTCTCTCTCTCTCTCTCTCTCTCTCTCTCTCTCTCTCTCTCTCTCTCTCGTTCTGTTCCCCACTTCATTAATGGTCAGATCAATATAGATCGTTTCCAAAGACAAACGATTTCCTTCGGACCTGTGTTCACGCGTTTGATATCGCTCTTTCGCGTGCGCACGGCTTTTGATGAAAACACTGTGTGTCTCTCATTATTTTTATGTGCCGAAATAGATCGAGACAGCGATGAATTGAATCGAATTAAATTAAATTAACGTGAAAAAAACAATATTCACATCAATACCGACGCCGAACAAAATATCGGCATTAATTTGTTGGAAAGACGAAAATAAAAACGTCTCAAGAAAAAAGAAAGCATGATGCTATGGGGAAAAAGAAGAAAAAAACGCACCAAATTACTATTTGACATGATAAACAAATGCACTCTCTAACTGTTGCATTCTTGCGATTGATGAGAATGTTTTTTTTTTCGATGGTTTTTGATTTTAATGTTGATTTTCAATTTCTCTTTCAGCCACCGAAACGACAACAACACCGACGACGACGGTGTCGTGCACACACTGGGAACGCCGTAAAAGGAAAACCACACCGAAAATACAGAATAATTAGCTGCGTTACCAACCAGCACAGCATCAACAATAATTCGGAAAAGAGAATAGAAACTAATCAAACGGCGAATGAAAGAAAGAAAAAAAGAAAAAAGAAAATATAATAATGGAATGAATGAGTGCGATCACACCCAAATTAAACGATTGCATACATTAATTGTACGCGGTGTGTGAATTATGTTCACTGTGCACAACCCGATTATCTAGAAACGAAATGAAACATATTCATGTGATAAACCGAAAAAGTGTTGCACAACGAAAATAAAAGAATAAAATAAAAACCGAATCACACCGCGCACGCAATCTTCTTTCGGTGTGCATGTGTTAGTGGCCAAGCGTAACAAAAAAAAGAAAGAATTCAGTTTTAAGCATCTCGAGAGAGAGAGGAGGAGGAGAGAAAAGAAGAGGAAGCAAAAAGAAGGAAAAAGAAATCAAGACGAGATATTATTTATATAAATATGGGATTAACATCATCAAGAGAAACGGCCGCACAATCACCCGCATCACCTACGCACAATGACACCACCGGCAATGATCTGGCATCGGTGTTGGCCGGCACTGCAGTTACAAATGTTACACCAACCACAACCATCAAACGAACCACATCACCGTCGAAAAGTTTGCACAATACTTGGAAACAACAGCAAAACCATCATGTCCGGCAGGCGAGTGTACGGAGTCGAGCCGCTCTCCCAATGCCCGATCACAGTGAACTTGATAAACGATTTGCTAAAGTCTTGGTAAGAAATCGCTATCTCAAAATTTTCGTTCTGTTCCGTTTTTCAATCGGTTGATTTCAGTCAAATCAAAAATGTTGCCTTGAAAATAAATCACTTTTCGAATGATTGACCATTTCAACGGAGGCGTTACACGCCAATCGAGACTTTGATCGATCGATTAGCGAAAAACCAAAAGAATGAAGAAAAAAAGCACGACAACACCGTGTTAACGCATAACATTGAAATTTGTCGAATAGTCATCGCATTTATCAGCTTAATTGATTAGCCCTTTTTTCCATGATGTACACGATAATCGCTCGCAATCGATTCGACAATACATTTCTGAAAACAAAAACAAAAACTGATTATCATTTGCCTTCAATTCACCAGTTTATAAATCATTCATCAGAATGATTGAGTCTCATGAAAGAATCATCGACATGAAACACACAAAGTGCGTTCGTTTGTTGTTTATTTCGTATGTTTTTTTTCTGCTGAACTCATCACACTCAATTCGATTCTGTTCATATTGGACTTTTGAACGGACAACAAACCTATAAGTCGGTTTTCTACTTAAATACACCAAATGTTTATTTTGATGCTGATTTTTTTCTTCTTTTATATAAATAAAAAAAACAGTTATAATAATGATATTGACGAGCACACGATCAGCGCACAGTCGGCAAATACCGTTTTGGCTCAATTATAATTTATCTATTGAGAGAGAGAAACAACGAAATATTTTTATGCGGAGTACCTTCGTTTTGAACTTGTATGAACAGAATGAAGCGTTGGGCGTCCGCACAATTTATTTCGTTTCGTCTATTTTTGCTGCTGTTTAAATCCAAAACGAAGGGAAATGAATGGAAAAATAAATAAATGAAATTTCACAACAAATATTAGATTGATGTTAACTAACAACAATATATTCGTAATTTATTACAACAACAACAATGAAGAGAGTCTCGATTCGACCGACACACAATACAATTTCGAGTATGGTTCAAAGAGGCGCGCACAAGTGATTATTACGACACAGTAAGCAAATGGAGAAAAAAAAGGTAATTTGCTACGGTATTCACATTTGCGAGCGCGTCGTGTTTTTCTATCTCTCTCTCTCTGTCGATTTTCACTGTCTACTTTATTCTTTTTCCATCCATTTTCAACCAAATTTGTTTTGTGTGTGCAGCCAAAAGTGAAAAAAAGTATGAAATCGTGGTCGTTTTTTTTCTGTTTTATTCTTTCTCTGGTGCGCAAATTGTTGTTGTTGTTATTGGTTCAAGTACTTGTGTATTAAAAATAATTTAAAATTGCGCTTGAATTCGCAATTAACAACATTCATACAAATTATTGGATTGGACAAATGGTCGAAAATGTTGAGCAAACAAATTGTGCGGTGGGGACAAAGAGAATGAGAAAAGAAAAAAAAATACAACATGTGAAATTCATTTTATTTTTCATTCAATATTCAGCCCATCAAAATCAGCGTAATTCGAGCTATGCCGTTTGGGCACCGAAGTCACATTGTTGATGATGATGATAGAAAAAAATATATACAAATTTGGCTGCAATTTCATTCAAATACAAGCAAAAATTAAAATAAAAAAAGAACATTCGCTTGTGTACGCAGACAAACCCAAAATGCGATACACTCATGCACAATTAAAAATCGCTTGCAAAAATAAAACAATAGCCAAGCATTTGAAGAAGAAGCAGAAAAATAAACCCGATTCGCAACTCAATTCAACGCATTTTCAAGCCGATCTCTTGTGCAAAATGATGAACAGTATTCATTGCTGCGACTCATCGTCATTTCATGGCTATTGATATATCTATGGGTGAGATTGAGAGTAGTGTATGTTTGATTGACTTTGTTACGAAAGAGAAGAGCAAGTTTCTGTCGACTTAAAAATGGTTAAAAGCGAGTATGTTCGTTTTTAGCGGGTCCTCGCGGTTTTTCACGGTTTCCGCGGAACTGATAAGAGATAACAACTTGGTGTCTTCGGCAAAGTTGTAGCACTCGAGATCTTCTATAACATTGCTGAAGACAGTTATCTCTTATCTCTTATCAGTTCCGCGAAAAGCGCGAAAAATGATAAGAAAAAAAAAGTTCTATATAAAATTTGCTTTTTTATGTGCGCGATTTGCGCGCAACTGATAAGAGATAAGAGATAACTGTCTTCAGCTTAGTTATAGAAGACCTCAAGTACTACAACTTTGCCGAAGACACCATGTTGTTATCTTTTATCAGTTGCGTGAAAACCATGAAGACCGCGGAGGCTAGACGGTACTACAACATACTCTACTTTAACGCCAACAGAATCATCAGAAAACATACTCGCCTTTTCAAAAATATAAATCGAAGAAAAAACATACTCCACTCTCAATCTCACCCATAGATATTGTACTCGTCACACTCGACATTTATTCAAATGTTCCTTATTTTTTTTTGTTCATCGAAATGCTCACCATCCAAAATGAAACGGCACAAAAAATCAACAACAACAGCAACAACAAGCGAATACATACGCACATTCAATTTGACTTTTTTGCTACTGGTGGACTAACCGACAAAATCAAATGTCATTTCTTAAAGAACGAAGGATTTTTTTTATGAGATCATGAATGAATCATAGAATTTTACCAAGTATAAACGATTCATTGTGTGCGAGTGTTGCGTTGCTCATTTCTCGTTTCTCATCGCTTTGATTCGATATGTGTGCGAAACGACTGGCAACAAAATAAACATTAGAATATGATTTCATGGATTGTTATAATTGATTTATTCGACGACGGGATGTGTATTGTGTTTATTGCGCCGCACATACGTTTCGAGTCAAAGATCCAGTCAGATTAGCCTCGATACGTACTGGTCGTCTTTGCCTTTTTCAGTGGCCTCTCGCAAAATTTCGCGAGAATATTAAGTAGCCTCCGATGAATTAGGGAGGGAGTGAATGAGCGAGAAGGAGAGAGATAGCTAGAATGGGGCATGGGAGAGAGAGAGAGAGAGAGAGAGAGAGAGAGAGAGAGAGAGAGACTGTTCGGTTCAAGCTCGTGTCATTCGTCATGTTGCAAATATGCTCAATTGCTCAATCAAATTTTCAGCTGTATGCATACAGCTTGCATGCAAGTCGAACACCACAACCACAATACCAAGAATGTGTTCGACGAAAAAAAATCAGTCACAAGAGTGTTTCGATTAAACTTGGCTGTTAGTTAGAATTTGATAAGCAAAATAAAAATGAGGCGAACATTTTTTATGTTATCGCATGCAAATTGTTTTCTCTTGTGTTCAGCATTGGAAAGGGCAAAAACTGGAATGAAATGAAACAGCCAAGATCGTTTTGGAAATGAACTAAGAAATTAAAAGGAATGAATGCGATTTTGATGAAGTCTTTTTCTCTCTCTCTCACTCTTTTTGCTTAACCAAATCAATTGACGGCGTCTCTGATTCAGACATACACACATTACGTGACTAGCCGCGTAGCGCTTAGCCAGTCCAAGACACATACGATATGATTATATGTATATCGTTTATGGAGAACACAGACTTGATAATTGACTTGCTTTTTATGCCGAGAGTGAATGATTTTAATTTGGCTTTGCCCAAGCGTTGACGAATACTCTATAAATAACATGGTGTGGCTGTGGGAATAAGCGCACCGCATCGAATCAAATATAGTCTAAAATATCTACCTTAGATTTTTTTCCATTCAGCTTTTTTGAACGAAGCTCAACTATTTCTTATTGTCCATTCCAAGCGAAATGACTGTCAATAAATATATTTCTCACTTTCTGTGCTTGTCGTCCGTGTTCGTTCAATTGATTAAATAGCAATTAACCTCAAAGCTATGCTTCGTCTTTGATTGAATCAATTTCTGCCCTTTCCCACCACGTATCACATATGTTGCCGCTCCGGACTGTTTTTTTTTTTAAATTTTTGCTTCGATTTATATTCCATCATTGTGACGAAATTGATTGTCAATATCTTTTATTGGAGGCAAACCCAGCTCACCTCGTCAAATGTGTGACTTTTTTCCTGGCTAATATTAGCGCTTTTAATGTGAATTGCCGATGGTATCAGCATAATTAATGGCCAAGTGGCAATGAACCATATATATTGGGCTTTCAATACATGTGTGAATCTTGGTTGGCACATTTCGCAAAACCACAAACTTTTAAAAGCATTTTCACACGCCTGTTCACATATCCATTTGCACATGGAACATTTCGAACGGGACCTGTGTGGCCCAGTGTGTATGTCGTGACAATGATAATTATTTTCATTTAATTAAATGGAAATCAGTCATTTAGCAAATGGGCTCGAAAATTGAAAGGGGATCGAAAATTCAGCAACAGCTAGGCCACATATGTCGAAGTGTTTGCTTAAAAAGGCTTTTTAGCACATAATGCATTATTAAAGTAATCAGGTCGATCCGTCCACTCATTCATTGGCTGCGGTTGCCATAAAGCCAAAAAGCACACACACACGCACGCACATCATTTTTCGCAAACGATGACATGTTATCATTTAATTTCCCCTGTTTCGCAGTAAATCAAAACCATGCCATTCGATAGTAATTTTATGCCACGGTGTCTTTTTTTCTGTTCGTTCATTCATTTGATAGACATCGACCAATTTTACGATCAAACCGAAAAGCAATTTATCAAACTCATTTATAAACTGACATTGACATGTATGTATGCATATTGAAAACTCAATCTTGCGCGCAAAACACTTGAAACTGGAGCGAACGAATCTAAACACATGAAATTTTTCGTTTCCTTTATGAGTAAATCCTTTTGTAAAATCGTGTGATAGACTCGATGACGACGGGTTTTCTGTTTTGCCATTGGTAAAACAGTAAAGTAGGTGAACGAACTGATTTCGCTATAATATACGTGCGATACAATCAATATGCCGTTAAGTTGATTCATGAAAATATAAGCTCACATCCAAAGTCCGTGAGCAAAGTCGCCGATTGAATGATAGTGTCGACTCACTAAATCAAGAGTGACATCTTGGTTGGAAAAACAACACACAACCGGTATAGCACATTTCAAGTTGTCATATTATTTTTCTTTTAATTTTATATGCGTTTTTGCTAGGCATTTTCATCGATCATAAACTTTAACGAGGTATTAATAAACGTGTGCTGAAATCCAATAAAAATTTATGGTTCTAAACGCTTCCCATTCTTTTCGCTGAAAACGATTCACCATCATCATCATCATCATCGTATTTCGATTCCAAATTAAATGAGGCAGAGATGGGCGATAACAAGCAAACAAACGAAGAATGAAACTAGTAAACTTAGCCCACATAGACCATAGCATGTATTTTCTTATCACATCCATTCATTCATTCATTCAGTCCGAAGTCTAGTTTGTGTATAATTTTAGATATTCTTAACTTATGATTCAATCTGTTTGATATTCGCCGAAAGTGATATGATAATCACTTTTGAAATGATTCATTGAATTACATCGAATCGAATCAAGTCGAATCAAATCACAAGCGCTTGAATTCTGAAAAAATTTAACCAAAAAAAAATTTGTAGCCATCACTGAGGTGAGCACACTTGAAATGTGCAATATGGTAATCAGTTGGGAGAAAAAGGACCGAAAACCCATGATGCCCCCCAATTTGTAAACGTTTGCATTGTGATGTAAATCGTTAAATCGGCACAGCAGCAACACCATCACCAATCAACGAATCGTAATTCATGAAATAAAAAAAAAATGGTGTGTGTTGTGTATTTAAATGATAATGAACTTCCTGTAGGCTTTGATCGTATATTTTTCATTCGTCGCTTGCTTGGTCGGGTGTTCATGTTCAGTTTATATTATCCATTGACTTTTCTGTGTGCACATTTATCATGTTTATTCAAAAAATGAATGTTTTTTTTTCTCCATTCGACTGCCGAAAATGATTAGAATGAGAAAAAAATAACTCACATTCGAAGTCGAAAATGAACAGCGTAACGCACTAACAAATGGCTCTTAATCAAGCGAGTCAATTTCATTACATGACGTTAGTCAAAACAGTTATATATTTCTTTTTTTTTTCATTCACTCATCATGTTTTCTTCGTTGTTGTCGTAATTTTCACGTCATGTTTTCCTCATCGCCTGTCTGTCGAACCGATTCATTCAATGATGTTCGGAATTTTTTTTTTTTTAGCCAAAAATAAAATTTCCGATTAAAAATACACCGATTAGATATTATATTATTCATGGAAGCAATACACATACAAATGTTCATAACTGCTGTAAATGAAAAAAAAAATGAAAACAAGTGTTTCGATTACAAACTTTGTATCGCATTACTGGAAAGAAAAAGCATGTTTCAAAAACGCAAACAATCGTATCACATAAAATGTAAAAACATTTTCCGCCCTCATCGAATATGAGCAATGAATCTATTTGGAAATTGGATGATTTAGATAGATTTAAAAGTAATATAGGTTGCAAAATAATGTGGAAACAAGAGGACAAGACAAAAAAGATAGTTGCCATTTGTTGAGACTTGCATTCCATTGTTTCTCAACACTTTGATCGTAGAGTTTAGCATCAGTTTTCGATGGCTGAATATCACATTTGAATTGAATGGAGTTAGACAGAGAGTGCGAGGAAGAAATAGATTGTGCGAGAGCGACAGAGGGAGAGATAGAAAAAAAGATCAACTGAAAAAAACGGCTCTTTGTCTTTATTGTTTGGGTGTTTGGGTTTAAAACAGACGGGAAAGAAGAAGAAGAAGAAGAAGGAAAAATTGTGCATGAAAGATCGCTGGCTCTAACGGTGACGATGATATATAACAGATTGCCATTTGGTGTACAATATGTGTTGCAGTTAATGATGACTTTTAAGACAAACTGATTTGAACCACTTAAATCATGGTTTAGACGGTTGCGAGTTACACAGCGTCGTTTTTTTTCTCGCTTCGAACGAAAGCAGAGGGGAATTAACGCCAGCAACTCGAATTTGTTTGCAAGCATAAACACACAACAACTCAGACACACAGACACACACACACACACACACACACAACGGGTGTAATCAGAAAGGCGCAGCATCGTTTGTAATCGAATGGCATGTTTTTCATCGTCTTTGTATGCAACTTTAATCTTCTAACAACTGATTTGATCTTTGAACCATTTTGGGTACAGAGAGAGAGAGAGAGAGAGAGAGAGAGAGGGAGGGAGGGAGAGAGAGAGAGAGACGAGCAAGCGCATGTCGATCAAGAGCAGAACGAAAGGAAAGAGCTGAAAATGCAATCCCGAAACGATACGATCAACGGAGCCGATAACTATTAAAACCGCATGCATTTTACGTGATTCCTTTGCCATTTTGTTGTTATCATAACCGAAGCATATGGTTTCTGTTTTTTTTCTGCTTCTCGGGAGTTCATTTTTTTGCATCTCTTTTGCCTTTTGCCGCTGAAAGCACGTCTGTGTGATCGATTGCAGTTTTCTTTCTCTCGCCCTCTTCCTCTCTGTCTCTGTTGGGCCAGCATCAATCAATGCCGTGACGATGCGATTCCCCTTTTCTCGGAAACATTTCTTCTGCTTCCCTTCAATGTGCTTGCATTTCTTCTGTCATTCGTTTCCTTTTCATCTGTGTACATTTGTTTGACAAAAGTAGTTTCGGTCAGCACTGAATTAACAATTCATTCATTATGAAGCAATGACTGCGTCAGAGTTTGATCTTTGACAGTGGATAAGCAAGCGATTTTCATTTTCTGCTCTCGTGTTTGGAACAAAGAAAAAAACCGTTGTGCTTGTTATGTGATTAAAATGGAGAGATATCGTTAACGATTTCTTCATACGATGTGTCACCCTTGTGCCCAAGACAATACCCATAAATCACAGCCTAATTAATAACATGTTCTTCGTCCACAAGCACACATGAAACCAATGTGACATAACAACAAAAATCAAAATCGCCGCAACCAAACCGAATGAGAGAAAAAAAAGACCGTTTGCATACTATCTGACAAAGTAATGGGTTTTTTTTATCTCTTTCTCTCGTTATATCTCTGGTTCCATGTACAAATTCCATTTTTATACAATGTAGATTCAGTGCGCACGTACTTTTACCGCACTCCGTGCATGAATGTGTGAGTGCGACAATTTTGAGAAAGCGAAAATGAACAAATTACAACAATTTGTGCGAATGGGCTTTGGCGGAAACGAAACGAAGCACAAAAAACAGTACAACAACAAAATATGCGTTTTATATAGACAGAGAGAGAGAGAGAAGAGAAGCGAACGACGGACGAAAAAAAAGAGAAGAGTCCAACAAGAGCCATTATGAATATTTATGGCTGAATGTTGCGATTGAAATATTAGATCAAATTGCATTCACATTGTACCACACATAAAAATAATCATTCAGTTGGATTAAGTGAATGCGCGAGCACGAACGTGAATGCGAACGCGGCGCATTCGTTTGCACATGATGGTTTATGCCATGCTCATGCCTCTTTTTTTTGTCTGCTGCACTCCAATTTTTTTTTCATCATCTAAAGAGTCCGAATGCGAATGACTAATTTGCGCTCTAAATCACAGCGCACAAGTAACCCAAACGACGATGTGACACATTCAATTTGTTTGAATTAAACACCAAAAATGGACCACAAAATCTCAACGGAAATTCCTTTCGATTAGAGCTAGAATATTGCGCATAATTCATTGGAAAAGTGAGACATTTCTTGGCTATTGTTTTTTTTTTCGTTGTGCGTTGCTTTTCAACAATTCCAAGGAATGAAAGAAAAGTGAGGCTCAATGATGAAAAAAAGGAGAAAAAATCGACCGAGTTGTTGAAATAATCTTTGAATTGATGTGTGTGTATTGCATGAATTAATTTGAAAAGTAAAATGCATTTCCGGTGTGTATTATTTTCAGGCTTCAATGGATTTGCCGCCGGATAAAGCAAAACTGCTGAAAAACTACGATAACGAAAAGAAATGGGACATCATATGTGATCAAGTAAGTAATAATGCCCGGAGTAAGCGCTCGCGCTACCGCATTTTAATCCGATTTGAATGCTATTATTGAAGAACCTTTATTAAACCCCATTTGTTCATTGGTTTCTTTCGCCTGTCTTTCTCTCTAGGAAATGGTTCAAGCAAAAGATCCACCATCGCACTATTTAACCAAACTACGCACATATCTTGATCCGACCGCGTCAAAGAGCCACCGGGTAAGTTGAAAAGATGGAAAAATTGAAAATTCACATGCTGCAAAAATGAATAACATACGTTCAACATCTCAATAGTATTATCTCAGTAGCGAAAAAAAAAGATGTACAGAAATATCCGACGGAACAGAGAAAAAAAAACAAGTGAACACATTAATTAAATACACGCTTGACGTACGACACGAGCGGCGTTAGTCATTATGACTTAATCGATTTAGATACGAATGAGAGATATACTATACAATTGAATGCCATGCTATTGCACACAAAAATACACACACCGCTCGCGCACTCACAATATTGCAAATTGACAAGCGTGTGCCACCAACATCGGCAACAGCAGCATCCCATTGTTCGCGCGACAGTTTGAATCGTTGTTTGAAATGTTAATCATTTTTGTTTACAATTCAAGACTTTCATTAATAAATAATTGGTCTTTTGATGAATGTCATTGCAAAGAAACAAGATCAGATGATCATCATTTGATGTGTAGAGTCAGTAAAGTTTGTCGATTGACAGTCTTGTTTGTCTCACACACTCACACACCACTCCACATTTCGCATTATACAATTTTTCTCTTTTGGTTGCTTTCCAGAAGCGGAAAATCGTTGGTGAATCGACGTCAACGCAAGTACTACGTGATCTCGAAATTTCGTTGCGAACCAATCACATCGAATGGGTGAAAGAGTTTCTCGACGAAGAGAATCAGGGTTTAGATTCGCTGGTCGATTATTTAAGCTTTCGCTTGATTATGATGCGCTATGAGCAACGAATCGAAGAAACGCAAAACGGTTCCGATGAACAGCTGTCGCAGGCAAAGAATGCGACCAACACATCAACGGCCAGCGGCGGTGATACAAAATCGAATGGATTCCTTCGGCCAAGCCTCGAAGAATTGGTTGACAGCCCGAATTTACGGCGACGCTCTCGACACATTGCCAAATTGAATATGGGCGCATCGACCGATGACATTCATGTGTGCATCATGTGCTTGCGAGCAATTATGAACAATAAATATGGTTTCAATATGGTGATCCAGCATCGCGAAGCGATCAATTGCATTGCACTCAGTCTAATTCATAAATCGTTGCGCACCAAGGCGCTGGTATTGGAATTACTGGCGGCCATATGCCTGGTTAAAGGTGGCCACGAGATCATATTGTCGGCATTTGACAATTTCAAAAGTGTTTGCCACGAGTCGAAACGCTTTCAAACATTAATGGAATACTTTATTAACTATGAAATATTTAACATTGATTTTATGGTGGCTTGTATGCAATTCATTAATATTGTCGTACATTCGGTGGAGGATATGAACTATCGCGTGCATTTGCAATACGAATTTACGTCACTCGGTTTGGATGAATATTTGGAAAAACTGCGAATGACCGAATCCGAAGAGTTGCACGTACAAATCTCCGCATATTTGGACAATGTGTTTGTGGTTGCCGCACTGATGGAAGATAGCGAAACAAAAACCGCCGCACTGGAACGTGTACAAGAGCTGGAAGAGGATCTGAGCCGAGCATTGGATCGCATCAATGAAAATGAACGGCATTTTATGTATAAATTGGCCGAATTAAATTCGGAATTAGCACAAGTGCGTGGTGAACGCGATGAACTAAGTCAAATTAAGCAGAAAACCGATGAGGAAGTGTCCACTTTGCGTCGTGTACTGAAACAAAACGAAATGGAATTGAAGAATCGCCAAAATATGCTAGAAACTAAGAATTTGGAATTACAATCGCTTTCAAAGTCGCTGCCCAAAGGCACATCCATCAATGACAAACTCGCCGAATTGGCCAACAATAATTTGACGGATTCGGGTGAGCTATAGAATACGTTTGACTTTTTTTTGCTGTTGAGGAAATGACAGAATTCAATTGGAATCGATTTTTCTTTTATTGAATTGTTTTCAAAGTCACTGTTTTCAAAGTCACTTTTCTGAATTCAATATGATTCTTTTTTGACATTTTTCAGCTTCTAAAATTGAAGAGTTAAAAGCACCTGAGCCTCCGAAGCCACCGCCATGTCCACCTCCACCACCAATGAATATACCAATTCCACCGCCACCAATGAACATGAAACATCCGACACCACCAGCCCCTCCAATTCCAGGCTTTATGCCTGCACCCGACGGAGCTATGACAATCAAACGAAAACATGTCACGAAATACAAACTGCCAACGCTAAACTGGGTGCCCTTGAAACCAAATCAAGTACGTATATTCAATGGAATAGAGCAGCAATTTTAATTCCATAGAGAATTTCTGAACAATTAATAAAAAAAAATCTTTAAATTTCACAGGTTCGTGGAACAATCTTTAATGAACTGGATGATGAGAAACTTCACCGGCAAATCGATTTTGTCGATTTCGAAGAGCGTTTCAAAATTGGTATGGGCGGCGGCATGGCTAATGGCCAATCGGATGTCGATGGTTTGTTAGCCTTTCCAAGTAAACGTTTTAAGAAACCAGAAAATGTATCTGTTCTGGAGCACACGAGATTAAGAAATATTGGTGAGAATTCGAATGAAATTTTGGTCATTGAATACAAATCGATTTTCAATTTTTGAAAATTTGATTTTTTTTCTAATTATTTGCAGCAATCTCTCGTCGAAAACTCGATATGCCGATTGAAAAGGTCATTAATGCCATCAATAATTTGGATTTGAAACAAATTTCGCTGGAAAATGTGGAAATTCTGCAGAAAATGACACCAACCGAACCCGAAGTGAAAGCGTACAAAGAGTATATCATCGATCGTAAAGATCCGAATTTATTGACCGAAGAAGATAAATTCATGTTGCAATTAACCAAAGTGGAGCGCATCTCATCGAAATTGGCGATTATGAATTACATGGGCAATTTCTTTGACTGTTTACATCTCATTAATCCGGTAAGAGGCATTGAAAAAGTATATTTTTATTCTATAGCTATATATAGATCTCTCTCTCTCTCTCTTCTTCAAATACGATCTGCTTTCAATTCTTTTTCCTGTTTACTTTTGTTTCTATTCTTTCTCTTGGAATAAAATTAAATTAAACCACCATATTTATCGTTTCCAGCAAATTGCGGCCATATTGAACGCCTCAAATGCGGTTAAATCATCGAAGAAGTTCCGTTCGGTGTTGGAAGTTGTGCTGGCGTTCGGTAATTATTTGAATAGCAACAAACGTGGTCCAGCCTACGGTTTTAAATTACAAAGTTTGGACACATTGTTGGACACAAAATCGACTGATAAACGCATGTGCCTTTTGCATTATATTGTCATGACAATTCGTCAGAAATTCCCCGAATTACTTGACTTCGACACTGAGCTAATGTACATCGAAAAAGCGGCTCAAGTTTCGCTCGAAAATCTAATCACCGATGTCCATGAACTGGAGAAAGGCATGGACATTGTGCGCAAAGAATCCGACGTACGAAATAAAGGGCCACAAAATCTGGTGTTGAAAGATTTCCTCACAAATTCGGAAGACAAACTACGGAAAATGAAGCAAGAAGCGAAGAATGCGCAAGACGCATTCCAAAAATGTGTCGAGTTCTTTGGCGAATCGGCCCGAACTACGGATGCAAATGCATTCTTCTCACTTTTGGTGCGGTTTAAGCGGGGTGTTAAGGTGAGCTAAAAATTGACTGGAATAAAGAGAAACAAATCTTTCTGTAGAACGAAATGAATATTTAATTTTTGTTCATATTTTAAATTCTTTGCAAAATGAATTGTGTGTATGCAAGAAGCATTTTTCTTCAATTTTTTTTTATTTGAGCATTTTCTTCATTTCAAAAATTCGTTTTCGAAAAACTAAAAATAATCGGATATGTAATTCAATGAACGAATTTCGATTTTCAGACTGCCGATCAAGAGAATGAGCAAAGACGGCGATTGGATCAAGCGACAGCTTTAGCAGCCAGTAAAAAGCAGAACGATGAAGTGGTTTTGCGTAACAATAAAATTAATCAGAAGAAACAGCAGGTACGTTCGAAATCCAAGAAAGGAAAAATGGAATAAATTGAAATCGAATCAAATTGAACGGTTTTCAAAATATTTTCATGTTCGAATTTGCTTTACAGGAGGCAGTGATCAACGAACTCAAGAGTAAAACGAATGCAGTGCGTGAAAAGAAGTTGCTTCAGCAGGATGAGGTTTACAACGGTGCTTTGGAAGATATATTATTAGGTTTAAAGAATGAACCGTATCGACGAGCGGACGCGGTTCGTCGCAGTCAACGGCGACGTATTGACAATCGTTTGTCGCGAACCATTGAAGAATTAGATGTGTAATTTTATTTTTAAATTTTCTTCTTGGCTCGTCCTGTGAATAATATTTTATTTCTTTTATTAAATTTTTTTTTTAATTGCAAAATGAGCATGATGAAACCAATGGCCTTACAAATTAAATTCAGCAATTAAATTAGTTTCTACATTGCGATAGAGAAAAGTAAAAAGAGAGAAGCAAAGAGCAGGTATTTTTTTAAAAGAAAAGAATCTTATTTGTCGAGTGCTGTTTTTGAAACCACTCATCCACACATTTTAATCGTAGTCAATGGAACTGCTCGATGAACATTTTAATTTTTAAATTTTAAATCATAAACCATAGATGTATTGATCTTCTGCCTGTTTGAATGATATTATTTCATCTGTTGATGGCCAATTCAGCCAACAACAGATTTTCATTTGTACAATAAAAACAAGAATATTCTCATTTTAGTTCTTTGTTAATATGCTTATTCGAATGTTGTAGGTAACGAACGAAAAACAAAGAGAAAATATGTTGATAATTAATTTTTTCAACGCGTGAAATGGTCGTCAGTTGAATTATTATTATTTTTTTAAATTAATTTTTGTTGTGGCCAAATGTTCAATGGAATTTTTCGTCATGTAATTCAGAATTTTAATGGGTTTGACATTCCAAATTATTATTTTTTTTTAAATTTATATTCGAATTTGGCCAAACATTTTGGGCCACGGAATGAATATATTCCATTGAAGAAAGAGAAAAAAGAAAACCAAACTAAATGATATTTTTTTAGATGTTTATTTGACATTAAAATCGTTCTCTCTATTTCGCTTCTCTCTATATGTGCGTGAAGTGTTGTTAAAATTGCCGTAACAGGGATTATATTTAAATTGCAAAGACATATCCATTAAAAGAGCAACCATTTTAACACAAAACATTTACTAGGGTCATAATTCACTGTTTAGACATGTGAAAATTGATTTGTTCCGCTGTTTCAACTCCAACGTTTACGATTTGTATTTGTTCTATTATTTTAATTCGAAATGGAATTAATTTTTGATTATTTTGAGCTTCGATGTAATGAATTAAGTTTCCGCTTACTTTACGGATCGATTATGCCCTTATTATTTTTGGTGGTTTGCTTAAAAACACAAAGAAATACACTACAAATTTCGTATTCCAGAATGTTTTCAATAAAGTGTCTTAAATATTAGATTTGAAATGTATTTGTTTTTTTTCTTTTTGCAATTTTTTTCGCAGTTTTATCATAATTTCAAGCGTCTTAAGCACACATTTTTTCAATTCCTCTAAGTTTTTTTCTCATTGCATGTAAAAAATTGATCTAAATTTATTCTCAACAACAACAGAATATCCCAATGGAAAACCGAGTCAATTGGACTAATGGCTAATATTGAATACATAAAACTAGAGAGCAACATTGGATATTACCCAAATTATATCATCATTATTATCAACACCATAGTGTCGTTATGACACTGACACTGAATCATACCAAATTTTTGTTACGGTCAGGTCAAACCAACGATTGCAGGTAGGTACTTTGGATTTAATGATAACTAACCCAATAGTAGCTTACGGATGTGGCTCGTAATCACAAAAAATCGCAGCGAAATGTTTTTCGCATCTTTTCATTTGTTCAAAGACTTAAAAGCCATATAATAGGTGAAAACTGCTCGAAGAAACTAAAAGAATGAATGAAATATTTCAAACTTAAATCTTAACAAAGTAACAAACCAAACCTCCACGACAAAATGCCTTTAAATTCAAAATTGCGATGCCGAAGCCGTGATAGAATATCGGTCGCTGTGCATTTGCTATCATGACAACAACATAATTTTAGGGTTTACAAACGTTTCGGCAAATTCTGCAAACGGTGATAAAAAAACGTTATTTTTCTGTAGTGTTTTATTTTGACAATTCAAAATACCGCAGAAATAACGAGAAAAAAAAAACGAAAATAACGTTTTTTCGAAACACTGAAAAATATAACGCGTTTTCAAACCCTACTTTTGTAGAGACAAATGGCCATTTACTCAAGGCTGTTTAAAGCCATTTTCCCAAAGAAACAATGGAGAAACAGATTCGAAATGATGCAGGCAGCAACTACCAGAAATATGTATACACACATCGAAATTCATGTTGTGTAATTGCTGCAATTGACAACAACATTTTTTTTTTTTTGAAAGGTCGTTCTGAATTTTTGTTTTTCTGATTTTATGAGTCATGAATATACAAAATAAATATAACAAAACTGATTGAATATTAAAAAACCCTACAAGATCCAATTCAATATCATTATTATAAATCGTTTTAAATGGCATTTGCAATTAGCATGAACGTTTCCAAAGGAATAAAGAACATTGACAAAGACGATGATTGTGAGAGAAGAAACTCGTTCGGAAAATATTCGATTCTCTTTTTGAAGGAAACATTGTGCATGTTTTCATTTGAAAATGTCATAAAAACGTCTAAATAGGAAATTACTAGGAAAAATGGATGAATAAATATATGACATATGGCTTTGAGAAAACGGATGTGAAACTTGATTGCAAAACTTATGTTCAGAAGGTTTTCATTAGCATATACGATATTTCAGCAGATTTTCGAATAGAAATTCACTCGAATCACCCTAATGATCTGTGAAGTGGTCTGAAAACATGATAGTGATATCTGAACTATTCTATGATAAATTCTAGGGGAATATCACGCTCCTGAATCTTGTGAGATATTTGAAATAAACATCAATTGTATGACATATCGTCGAATATTTCGAATAAATAAATCAGATTTTTGTGGATTTTGGAGATATTTGAGATTTTTTGCATTAAATCCGAATAAATATATTTAAATATTATTCATAAGCACAAATATCCACCATATTTCATACGTCAGATTCTTACTTAGAGATAAATTGGATTTGTTTGAAATATTTGAAATAATTTAAGCGTGATATTCCCCTAGGATAAATTCCCATGCGAAAACGTAAGTACCAATAAGTTTTCTCCAAATCTAACCACCTTATGAAATGGTTCCTTCTGCATCTTCAGAATAAACAAACTAGGTAATCAGCTCAATACAACCATTTGTTTCATTTATTAAATATACTCTAAGGTGTTATTTGTAATTGAATCACAGGAAGAAGGTACTCGTTTCACCGTTCAAAATACAATCGAACTTTCGTAATTCTTTCATTCGTAAACGTTTCTATGATTTTGGGGGTATTCATCTAAATTAATCTTTCTCGCAAGAAGCGGAACAAGTAATTGGAATTGATACTTTGCCGTATTTTCCAGTTAAATTTTGCTCCATTTTTTCATTTTTAATACCAATAATGTTTGCATCGAATTCAATTCGGAAATGTTTAATGGGATGATAAGTAGACAAAGAAACAACAGAGGAGAAAAACACCGGATCGATTTTGATTGATTTGAAAAAATGAATGTCATTGTGTTTTTTTGGGTGAAACAAAAGCGAAGACTGTTTTCATTTTTGATTGAACATTTGTTGATCGATCGCTCTGAGTTCCATCACATGGAATGATACGTGTGACGGCATATTTTCACACGGAAATTCGTTCCCAGTGCGCCGAGCACTAGCTACATGTAATAACGTGTGGTTTCTAATATTCGGATACGTTCGCTCTATGTATAGCAAGTGCACGGCGCACTGGGAACGAAGTTCCGTGTGAAAATATGCCGTCACATGTATCATTCCATGTGATGAAACTCAGAGAGATTTGTCAGTATTTAAACATGAATTTAAAATTTGTCAACAGAGCATTCACACGCGAAAAAAATTTATCATTAGCTACGATTATGCTGGTAGGCAAATATATTTCGATTTGAAATAAATCAGATTGTCCAGCTCGAAGAGTGAACTTGAAAAAAATGGCCATTATGAACTGTGTGACATAGTTTGATGAGCTAACAGATTTTGTATAAAAATATCGTTGTGTTTTGCCTGGCTTCAGTTGTTTGTTTGCCAGATGATATTAGCAACGCTATTTATGTTGATGTAATGAATTATACTGAATTCATTCGAATTGAGCGTTTTTCTTTTATTATTTTTTGTTCAAATCTTTGCATATTGTTATGTTGTTAGGGATGCTGTCAATAATCGAATTATGTGATCAACAGCATCTGATTCATACAATGAACACAATGAACAGAGTGAACATTACAACAACAAATAACATTTTGTATCTGTGTATCTACTGTGTAGGCAAACGCCGAAAAACACCTTATCTTCCTACCTTTGTCCAATTCTAACAGCGATTTCATGCCCAAAAAACAAAGTTGAAAAAGACTCTGCAAAAATATTCTTCAAAATTGATTCGCTTCGTGTTTGGTGTAGCTTATTCAATGCCAAAGCTACTCGAAGAAGAATCGGTTGTCCGTTGCGTGCGGCGTCATTTATACATTCGTTTACAGAAGAAAGTTTGGTCGTTTCGAATGAGAGCGGGTGAAGTTTCGTTATGATTTTGAATAGTTTTTTCCGTTGCAAAATTGCAACCACTAATTACATTTTAGAAAGAGATACGTTTTACGTTAAAATCACGATATGAACCTGAAACAGTGCTTCGTTTACCGAATAATGTCACAAATCGTGTGATTGAATTTTTTTTATCAAATCTCCCACTGGCCACCGATGAAATCGGTTCGATGCCTGTTTGACGTCGCGCTCGTTCATTTCGTCGAATCATGATCGGATATCGCATTGTTTGTTTATTCAAAATGCCAGAGTTGCAAACATTTGCACAATACATGAAACTAAAAAAAATTGTTCATTTTATCAGAGTTGATGAGTATCGCTCTATATTTTGTGCTGTTGTCGACACAAAATCGTTGATGCTTCAAAATCTTTCTTGACTGTGTGCGACTCGAAGCGTTTTTGTTTTGCCGGTTGAAATTCGATCTGCACTCGTCGACCATTTGAGCTCGTGCGATATCGGCTTGGTATGCAACATCCGATTGAAGGGTGAATGAGATGCAAAATCAATATATTTGGTGGGCACTGGGCATTCCATAAGGTTCGAATGGAATAGCCACACACTGTTGATTGGTGCATCGGATGCTTAACGAACTCAATCGACTTGTAGCTATCTGCAACACACATTCTTTAGTCGTATCCCTTCGCTCACATTGTCATTCGGCGTTTTGGATTGATCGAGTAAAGACAAGCGTTGATTCACTGGTGAAAAGGTCTTGAAGTAAAGTGACAAAGTAGAAAAAAAGAGAATATTTCAATTGAAATTGAACCAGGCAAAGTAAAAAATCGGTAGCCATGAACGGATACGAGGATTTGCAGCGCATGAGAAACGAGTTGGAAAATTTGCATGAGCAAGTCTTGTGTTCCAAATTTGATCTCAGTAAGATGAGAATAATTGTTTCATTGAAAGCTGGGAAAATTCGTTATTATTTACTATTTGCTAAGAGTGTGAAAGCAATACACAGTCATTTTCGGAACATTTGTAGTAATTACACCTGATTTTCGTTTCCATTCAGAGATTGAAGAACAAAAGACACCCTTCATCCGAGATATGCTCAAAGCGGAAGAGATCAAACAGCAAAACTTGGCAAAATCGGAACAATTCTTCGCTGAATGTTGGAAAAAGATGGAGGAAACAGATGAAATGTAAATGTTTGTCATTTTTGATGCAAAGACAGGAAAAAAGAATTTTTTTTTTCGTATAGCATGCACCAGCTTGACTTGACGCTAGGCGTTTCTGGTTATCATCAAGATATTTTTTGCGTAGTAGAGGAAATTCTACGACATCGGCAAAAGATTTCGGACGAACGGGAGCAAGGGCATCGACGGCGTATGGCCGTGTTGGAAACAGAGCTTATGCGTATGCCTCATGGTAGATTTGTTTCTTTTCATATATTTCGAAGAAAGGCATTGCTTCTTAATCGCCACATAAATTTTTCCTTTCCATTTTGCAGCCAAAGCCATGAATGCTCAACGCAAAAAGCTGCAACAACTCGAAAAGGAGCTCGACGAACTTGATCGTCAAGTGGCTGCCGAGCAAGCCGAAATTGATGCAATCACTGAAGACGAGCAGAAATGGGCCACAACGTACGAGTCGAGTATTCGTGAAGTTGAAATGGAAATGATCAAAGACGAAGCTGAAATAGCACAAATCGTAAGTGAAATAACAAAAAATGGACTTTTTTCAACGAATTAAAGCAATCGGAAAATGAATTGTGATAAATTTGTAAATGAAAACATTGCAGACGGTGGAAATTGGACGGATCATTGGGTTATCAGTTGAAACGAGTGCAGAACAATCGATTGCACAGCCAACCTCACAAGCGGTCACAGAACCGTCAACGGTAAATATGGTTTTGAGGCGTAATGTTCATTCAATTTATTTGATACATCATTCGTTTTTTGGTTTTAAATCGGCAAATATTCACTTAGGTTCCGAATGAAATCCCGTTGCATCTTCAAAAATTGGATGTCGTTGAAACAACAATGAACGAATTCTCGGACATGACTTTGAGCTTCACGGAAGTGAGCACACAAGCAGCACAACATTTTGCACCCGCTGTGAGTATTATTTGAATAAACGAACACAACATATTTTGCATCGAATACTGAGCAATGCGATTATTTGTCTGTAGGATCAAAGCGCACACGTGAATGTACTTAACCATGGTGAAAGCGGAAGCAGTAGTTTGCCAACAGCAGACAGCAGTCAAAGTGTTTCGAACGTAAGCAACAATTCTGATTTGATGAGTCTTAAAACTGAAAACAATGCGAATTACTTCTTTCCTCAAACAGGCTACACGTCAATCGGTCATCACTATGGTGCGCACAGATCGTTCGGACGAGTCGAAATTGGTAAAAACTGGCGAGAACAATGCACCATTGTTTCTTGCACCATTGGCACCTGCTCCACATAATCGCAAAGAAAGTCCATTCGTGCAAGCGTCACCGGCTAAACGTTGCTCGTTTGAGATTGGTGAATCATCACTCGAACCACCGCGCAAAACACCATGCAAGCCACCACGCCAATCGCTTCAAACCAAAATTGGTTCCATCGAACGCAGTCGCATTTATCGCAATGAACCCGGTTTGAATTTGGTCAAACGACAATATCCAACTGAGCAAAAGTTGATGATTAAACCGTCATCTATACAGAAGATTGTGATTACAAACTCTGCACAAGTAAGTATACTAAACAGATTCGATAAAATTGCAATTGATTTTATGTAATTGAATCTTTCTTTTGAAATAAAAATAAATCTACTAAAGATTGAAAATTCCTTGTTTTCAGTCACCGATGGGTGCTACCCCACGCGAAGTTGTATTGCAGTTACTCGTAGAGCATCATGAAAATGATGGATCGGGTCGCTCGGTTCAATCGTCTCCATTTCAGCCAATTAAAATACCAGATCGCCGTCCAATCATATTCAACCAAGCTGGCAGTTTTCCTGTCATAGCCGGTGGTCGAAGTGTGTTCAAAGCGCTAACAAAGTTTTCAAGCGTCAAGGTTTGTAAATGAAGAAAATCTTAACTAATTCCATTGAATTTTTCGAATCTCAAATACATTTGTGGAAATTTTCAGGCAACGGCTAATGGTCTGGCCACAGCTTTTGGTGAAGGTACGTTACAAATGTGGAAACATGATGACAACCAACAAATGGACAAGCCGAATGAACGACCAGGAACTTCTTGCTCAGCAGAACGGGTATGTATATTCGGAATAAAGAATTTTATTTAGAAAACTCACAACTTGTGAAATGAATTTTTCGTTCAGGCAAAACGTAAACATGGCGTTAAGGAATCAAACCATTCTGGTGGCAAAATATGCATTGAAGTAAGTGTATCATTTTAATTTTGCACACATCATACTCGGTATTTATATCGATTGGTTTTTCTATTCCTCTTCAAGGAATTTGATATGAACATCGACGCTTGGAAACATTACAAATTGAAATCAACGGACAAGCCGAGTGAAGAACCAGGTACTTCTGGCTCAGCGAAATCGGTATGTATATTTGGAATGAAGAATTTCATTTGGAAAATACGCAATTTGTGAAATGCATTTTTTTGTTCAGCCAAAACGTCAACATGACGACGAGGAATCGAATCAGTCTAATGGCGAGGGATCATTTGATGGTGTAAGTGTATCTATCATCCTAATTATGCACATATAACACATTTATATTGATTTGTTTTCCTACTGATTCCCTCTTAAGGATTTGACACGGGATACGAACGAATGCAGTTGGGACATGGATTTGGAGCAGTCTGATAAAGTGAGATGCGATCATTGGGGTTTGGAATGAACAGACGTTCAAAAAATCATAACCAACGCGCCATGAACGTTTTATCTTATCAAAGATGACAACATTTTTCTTATTTAGGTCTTTCGATAGACTTGATTCAAGATTCAATACGGATAACAATTGATCATTTTCATTTTTTTCTTTACATTTATTCATTGATTCTTTTTGTTACTTACATTCTTATTCGAATAAGCTCATTTTACCAACATTCGATCGAATTTTTTCCAAATAGAAGTTCGTCTCATTTGTACATCTTATTTAATCAACAACAACGAATTGTTTTTTTTTTACCAAAAAGGAAATCGAAATGTGACACAGATTTCGTTACAGCTCTAGCTGAATGCGAAGAATTATATGAAAGCATGAAATAAGAAGAAGATTTTTAGTTTTTTTTTCTCTCGAGAAACCGTTATTTTAACATTTAAGAAGAAAGATATAGTCACGCATTTGTGTGAAGTGTTTATGAATTTGAATGATCCATCCCGGGTGAAACAAAATCTCATGAAAAAAATTCAGAGCACAGAACTACAGAAATAATTTTTAATAATGATGAGTTTTGATTGAAATAACAAAGCTGAATTTGAATTAATTCAAATAATATTTAATAATAATACTCTTCTTGTATACAAGCTATAGGATAAATGAATAAAACTGAAGCATATGATTTCCTTACTCCAGAACCATGGGTTCTCTTGACAAATATCAAAAATGTTCAACGAAAAATGGAAGATTTTCTTTATTTCTACTGTAATGTTCTTTTTGGCAAAGAATTTAAATAAATAAAAACTTATAAGCCAGAATGGGTTTAAAATGTTGAAATTGTTAATGATTTCGGTGGTGGAAGTTTGTTTGAAATTGTGTATTATCGTAAAATTTGGTGCTTTGTAGGGATATAACCTCCAGTCGACATGCAATCCATGAATGAAGTATGCAATGGGAGCGCAAAGCGCATCCGTGTAATATCAAGTTTTACCGCAATGTTCCGTTTTTTCAATCGAATTACATGGCACAAGTGTACACTAGTGAGCAGTAGTGAGAATTTTTACTCTGTGAAAAATAAATCGCGTCTGAGAAGAGCCTATTTCATGTACAATATCAAAATGAGGATACATGAAATGGCCTGTGCTGTTCAACGCAGTACAGAAAATGGAATTTTCGGTCGAACGAATCTCTCTCTCTCTCTCTCTCTCTCTCTCTCTCTCTAGCTGTTCATCCAACAAATTAAAGACTGCGTATTATATGCGGAACCCATTATTCGAATGAAGCAGGCTCAAAATGTGCGTGGACAGAATGAAGCTTTACGCATTGACGCAGACCATGACCTACTTTCATCGGACTAAGCAATGTGTAATATCGTTTAGCATGAGGTTTTCAAGGCCGTTCATTGACCCTGCCTGACAGCAGCTTTTTGGTGCATCACAAGCATTGTGTTGCGCATGTTTTTACCGGTATTTAAACCATGTATATCACTCTCGCGAACTGTATGTATCCCCTCAGTACGTATCACACCGTGATGTTGTTTAACATCACACATCAAATGTTTGTGCATCGGTGTGTATGTGTGTGTGTGTGTGTGCTGCGTTGCACAAAAAACCGATGTTGCTGCACAAAATGCCGTGATTTTTCGGCATCAAAAACCACCGCAAAATGCTGTTTACACAATATCATATAAGAAATATGCGCTTGTTTGCCAAAGACCTATAATAACCATTCATCATTTTCCCCAAAACAATTGCAATAAATCGCAGCAGCACAAAAAGCAAACAAGAGAACAAGGCACACTGGTATATAAACAAGCATACAAAAGACAAAATGCACGAAAAATGCAGACTCGGCCAAAAATCGAGTTGGTACGTAGACATCTTTGGCTATTTTGTGAGTGTGCATTATACATACACATCGCTGCTCTGCGATGCGAATCGGCCAAACGCATCACATCATCATTTACAAATGAATGTGCCATGTGGGAATCATTGAAAAACGCATTCGAACACGTACACATGCCATTAAAATACACATATTTGACTTAAGCAGTGTTTCCTATTTTAATGATTCCTATTGGATTGTGTTCAGTGTACCGGCTGCTGTTTGCTGAACACCGTCGAACCAAAGAAAAAAAAAAAGAAAAAAATGAAGCGCTAAAAAAAAATTATTCGTTGTGCGAAATGCGACACATAGACTAAAAATACATAACATTGTAACACTCAAGAATTTCTATATATATATATATACCAAAGAGGGGAATAAAGTACACAACAAACTTGAGAATCAAATAGAAGCGAAGCGAAAATGAATGAGACAAACTCTCTCATTGAGAATGAATGTATTTTACGCTATGGCAAAGTAACCGCCACATTCCGCAACATTTTCGTTATCTTTATTTCTTCTTATTTTTTCCCCGTTCACAACGTCTATTTCCGCGAACAAATGTGACTGCTGCTGCTACTCTTTGTTGTTGCTGCGGTATTTGTAGACATAAATACTGATCGAAAATAGCACATTTTCTTATAAATATCGCACCAAAAATAGTTCACGTCGAATATTTTTACATCGCGAACAAAAAAAGACGGCGAACGAAAGATAATTGCGTGCTCTTGTTTGTCTATCCTTTTGATCATCATTTTTGAATGTCAGCTCTTTTGTTCGTTCATTTGCATAACAAATGTATGTCATATGTGCTACTTGCTTTGCCCCGAAATCTCACGAACAGAGATGCAACAAAATACACGCATTTTTGGCGTTTTTTTTTTCTCGTCATTTCGTCCTTCTGTTCATTTTCGCTCAATTCGTCACAATTTGCCAACGATAAACTATGATGCATAAAGAGGAAAAACAAGCCGACATTATATTTTACATTCCACTAAATGGACCCGATCAATTTGTTCAACTTGAAAAATGGTCTTTCTTGTTTGCGAACAAATTTGTTGGTTTTTTTTCCTTTCTCGTTGATAATTTCATTTGAATGGTGGCCAACGTTTCACCCTTGAACGATTTTGATCAAATTATGGTGAATCAAGTTTGCATTTGTCGGTTATTTTTTCTCTTCATTTCATTCTAGTTTCGACCAAACTTCATCAAAACATACTCCATAAATTCTGGAATTGGGATAGAGAGGCAGAGAGAGGGAAAAATAGAGAGAAATAAATATTGAAAAAAGTGCTTAATGAACACCATTTTTGGTTTGACGCATGACCCACAATTCTACAGCTCGAAATCAATTAGCCATATTTACGAGCTGCGCCTATGATCAGCAGCAAATGATTAAATATTCACCTTCACTGTTCACAGCAGTGTGCGCGCGTGCGTTTGCACACAGACTCACACCAAATCTAAATGTGATTGAAAACAGAAGCCTCATAATCACGCATCAAGTGTATACATCGTCAGATGAGCAAAGATAAGATACAGAAAAGAAAGAACACTGAATATCGCATTGAATCGATCATGCATTAAAATTCAAAAAGGAAATAGAAACGATGCGGAAAAAAGCACTGTTAACCGAAAAAAAAAACAAAGCGAACATGAAAAAAAAAAAAACAAAAAAATACAATCGAAGCAATTCCATATATCAAAGTGAATTTCATAGAGGAAAAACGAAGAGCGAGCGAGATAGAGAGCAATGAACAGAAAATAAAAAATGATAAAAATTTTATGGTCGAATAAACGATGAATTATAATGCGACGAGAAAAAAAAAGAGACTGAATGCGCACAAACCTGCAATATTGTCTTATGCTGGAAATCGGCCTAGAACAAACAAAATCAAATGCAAAAACGAACAGAGAAAAAAAAGAGAGAAGAATTTGAACAAACGTGGTGAAAAAAAAACATACGAAAAGAAAAACTGAAATAAAATGAGAAGAAGAACTACCACCATCGTAGAGGCATTTCTATATCTATATGCACACGCGTTTAGTATGAGAAAGAATTGTGTCTAACTTTGATGCATTTAACAAAATCCAAGAAATGTGCAAAAAAAAGACCAACAAAACAGAAAGAAAAAAAAGCAACAACAACACACAATCGTTCAAACTCTCGTCCAAAACCGCATAACACAGATTTATGCAATGCAATCGAATACGCGAATGGCAGTTTGGTTGATGGTGGTGTGTGGATCTCTCTCTCGCTCTCCCTTGTGCCCGGCCAAAAGACTTCAGTTTGGCCACAACACTGTGGCATATGTAATATTCGTATGGTTGTTCTGAACTGTTGAGCAGCACCAGCAGCAGCAGCAGTGATTTCAATGCATTATGCCATTTCGATGTTTATTCGTGTCGAATATTCCATCTGCTTCGCACTGTTTTCGCTTGAAAATGATGTATAATGAGCATATTTTGTGCTTTTTGTTATATATTTTTAATGATATTTCATTACGATTATTGGTGTGACTTATGGGCACAAATGTCGAACCATTTCGATCGTCATTTTGAACTCGCTCTTTCTCTCTATTTCTCGGTGTGTCTCTCTTTCGGTACTTCTGCACACGTTTTCCGGATGTGTCTGTGTTCGTGTGTATTTGGGTGTTTGTTGTGCTAAAGCACACTAAAAATTACTTACATGGAACAACTTTATAGTGCAACAACACACCGAAAAAAAAACATACTCTCTACCAATAAATTGTCCTTTTCTCTCTCTCTAATTTGTAACTACCACGAGCAGTCCTGCAAGTACTTGAGCTGGCTTCTGGCCAAAGCTCTGACTCGAGATATTTTTCAATGGAGCGAGTGCACCCGCTCTTTCTCTCTGTTTCTCCCTCTGCCAAATCTCATTTGACCGTTTATTCTACTTTATTTTTATATTTCCAAAATATGTAGAGAATTGTGCAGAAATGTAAATACCCAGAAATGAGAATAATGTATTCCCATTGAATGGAAACATGACTGGTGTAACCAAGTGAATATTTGCTGCAACATTTCCAAAAACGAAATGAATAGAAAGAAAGAGAGCGAGCAAGCGAGAGAGAGAGAGAGAGAGAGAGAGAGAAAGAAAAGTGTTCGACTCCCATATATAGATCGGTTGTGCATGATGTTTGCAATGAGCAAGAGTTAAAGCAAATAGAAGCGAGACAGAATGAAAGCAGAAGAAGAAGAAAAAACGAAGAAAAAAAATACACAGAACCAAATGGATGAAATACTGGAAACAGTAGAGAGAGCAAAAGTGGCAAGTAGAGAATCAAAAGCTTTGGGTGCTCCTTTGGCAAATGCTGCATGTGATATTACTATACTATTAATGATTCGCACTGTCTGATCGAACTATAACACAGCGAAAACCAATGGGAGAGTAAGCGACCGAGTGAGCAAGAGACAGAGAGAGAGAGAGAGAGAGAGAGAGAGAGAGAGGGCCATGGATCCAAAGTGAGCGAGTGAGAGCTTGTCGAAAAAAAAGCGAAAAAGAAGATGGCAATTGGGCCGACAGAAGACAGTTGACAAAATATACATGAGAACCAACGGTGTGTATTAGCATTTCAATGCTGCTGATCTCTCGCTCTTTATCCTTCTCTGTGTATGTGTGTGTGTGTGTGAGTGTGTGTAATACGCTTGTTGTTGGTGCGGTGTTGAGCACAATAATAACAATAATATACTAGTCGAATATGGCGTAGAAATGTATA